GTTAAGCACGAATACACCATGGCAACCATAGCCTGTAAGAGGCTTACGGCAAGAATTACGATTTGTCTCGAAAAAGGGACGTTTTTGATGCTTTAAAACTTGTCCGCTTTAAATTCTTTAAAGCATAATGACATTTATTAAAGATCTTTTATAATTGGTAATTGGTTGACTGTCGTGGATAATGAAGAGAAGAATAGTTGGGGTGCTCAGTCAAAAAGGAAGGCAAAAATAAATTATAATATTTATTTTTTACATATGCCGACGTTTCGACCTGAAGTTCAGGCCTTCATCAGGGCTAAGAAAATAACAAGATAACAATGTATGAGAAACATAAGTAATGATGGTAAAAAAGGTAATAAAAAATGAGAAAATAAAATAAAAATAAAAATAAATAAAAAATTATTAGAAAAATAAAATAGATTGATATAAAGTAAAATGAAATTGTTAGAATAATGACTAAGAACTAAGAGATAAATAATAAAAAAAACTGTTACATAGTGTGGAATGATGAAGTAGGCATAATCAAAAAGGGGTGACAAAAGTGTTACATTGGGAATCTTAGAATAAAATGTAAAAACATAAAAAAGAAACATAAAGTTATATAAGATATGAAAAGAAAATAAATAGTAAAATTAAAACATTGAGAATGGAGTAGTTAGATAGAAAATTGAGATATTGTAAAGTCTATCAAGATGTATAGTAATATAATAAAGAGTTAAAAACAGAGAAAAGGAATGAAAGGAAGGAGGGAAGAAATTCTCATACCTTGTTATCTGGTTATTTTCTTAGCCCTGATGAAGGCCTGAACTTCAGGTCGAAACGTCGGCATATGTAAAAAATAAATATTATAATTTATTTTTGCCTTCCTTTTTGACTGAGCACCCCAACTATTCTTCTCTTCATTATTAAAGATCTTGTAGGAATCCATGAGTCGAAATAAGGATTAGTCACTTCTCCACCAAATTCCCTTTCGTTGGATAACTCATAAATCAAAATCCTGAGAGCAGGAAAAGAATCTGTACTATCGTATATTATTATAATTATATTTACATATTATAGTATTTATATTATCATATAAATAGTGTAGATAATCTACAAAATCATTTTTCTCTGAAACCCCGTGCTCGTATAATTACTTAAATAACTTTTAGTCAAATAAAGACCTATAGTCCCCTTAAACACAGTAATCATAAGAAATATGTTTAGATTATTTTTGTATCACAAATTTTCCACTGGTGGTATATTTTATTTGCAGAAATTGGAATTCAAAAATTTGTTACTCGAAGATTAAGATGGACGAGACATGTAGCTCGTAACAATCCATCTGGAAGCCTTTATGTTTCAAAGAATGCTTCAGTAGATGGCAAAAGGCCACGAGGAAGGCCAAAAAACAGATGGATAGATAGAATCAACAAAGATACAATATTGCTGCGTGCAGACGATAACTGGAAAGAAATAACCAAAAAAAAAAGGGCTTGTAATAAGGTTTGTAATGACAACAAAAAAGTTACGAATAGAAGTTGAAATTTCGGCCTAATTAGTGACTATGATAACTTTCGAAAGTTACTCATACTCACAGGCGGATCTACGGGGTGAGGGGGGAGTTTCGGGCTGAAGCCCTCTCCCCAAAATGGTAAAATATAACCATGCTTTTCAGAAAAAAATATTAAAAACTATCTTTTAAAGTATTCTTGTTCCTGTAATTACATTTAATAGGACTTCAGGAACCACTTAGACACCATTTCATATAGGTAGTTAATTTCTTTATTTTTTTTCTAATTAATTATCGTTATATGTATATGAAAAAAAAAATCTTTCGGGCTGAAGCCTCCCACTCAAAATTAAATCTGCTAGTGCTCATACTGTAAGGGTAAAAGTAGAATTATCGATTTTTTTAAATGCCTCTTGCAAAATTCATTTTTACTAAAATACTTTGAAACGTATACAGATACAAATGTATACAATAAACAGTTACGTAATAAATATTTTTATATAATGAAACCATTGAACAAATACAGTCGTAAACGACAAAACAAAGGAAAGAAGAAAAGTAACCTAAATATACAGATTCAGTATATTCCTCCGGAACTATCGGATCCTGCGTTTTTGAGCCCAAAAACATACTATTTTCGAGATAACGCAAGGCATAGGGTTCGCATCCACACAACCTTACATTAATTGTAGTACATGTCTCATTTATTGCCTTTATTTACCTTTCATCCGATTTATATGAAATTTTGAGGTATTGTGCGGGTTGGTGTCTAGATGGTCCCATATCAAATTCCATCTAGCACTTCCGCTTACGCATGCGCAAACGTACTTTTTTATATATGCCAATATTTCTGAAAGGGCTCCTTCGATTTGGCTCAAAGTTCGGTTAAGGCGATATTTTTATGGGAATATAAAATTTTATATTTTATTCAAAGAGTTAATTTATACTGTATTGTTCCGTCGATTCCAAACGTTACTGGCATGATACTTAATGTCGTTACTTAGATTTCGTGTAATTTTTAATAAATTTAAATTAATTTTTACTCTGAATTAGTAAAAAAGAATAATCTTATTTTTGATTGTGTTTATTTCTATTGAAGTTCAACTAGTTCGTTGAGGTATCGAGTTTCTGTGTTATTTTTACTTATATTTTTAAATTCCAGCTTAAATATTTTTTTCTGACTGAAGAAAAGTATTGGTCTCGTTAACTACGAAAAATCAAAAAGTTTAGTTTTTCTTATGGATGATTTTTACTATTCATTTTTGGAGTGAAAAAATGCTTATTAAGTACATATTACTACTGTTAGTGTAAAAGGTCATACGTAAATATTTTCGACTTTTTTTATTGCTGTGAGATCAATATTTTTGCTAATTCGTCGCATTGACGTCATTTATGATACTGGTTTTATAAATTTGAAGACGCTAATTTGACTTTTGCTTTCATTGTTACTTTATCTTTATCATTCTTTAAAGGTTTTTTAAAATTAAAACCTTTTCTCTTCGGTTAGATGATTATATTATTCTTTTTATAATTACTTTTTTTTTTAATTTACGGTACAGTAAGCTGAAACAAGGTCGAATGCACAAATATTCAAATGTAGTGGAGATAATTTGAAAATTAAATGGCCATTTCTCCTCAACTTAATGCCAGTAGATAAAATACTCAACCAACCGAAGGTCTTTTGGATTAACCAATACCACAACGACCTCAATAATACTGAACTTCTCAAATACCACGTTTCACCTTTCGGGGCTAGTGCTTAGTTTTATATGTATATACAAACATGTACGAATATAAAAAAATTGTTATGTTACGATTAGTAGAAATATGCAGAGTATATAAATTTTATACCTTGTGTAAATTTATAATAATTAAAATGATTTAATTTTAATAAATATTTTCTCTTGGTTATCTGTAAAGAGGGGTTTACATTATTTTTAATACATTTAAATTACTGTTAATTATTTTATCTAACGTTAAAAGTTGACGAATCAATGAAAAATATTGATCTGAAAATTCAAACTTAATTTTATTATTCGTGTACCAAATAATATTTAAGATAATGTGAGTTTTATCAAACCAAAACTTTTATTCCATACGTTTGATAAAAAAATAAAATAAGTCTTACAAACCCCACGCTAATTTTCCTGCTAATGGTTAATTGGTCATAAATATAGATAAATCGATTTCTGAGCGCACATTTGTGCTATTTATACTTTTTCTAAAGTGTTTATTTGTTTTAAATAAATTTAATAAAAAAAAATGAAATATTTGTCTATTACTTAAACTAATCCATTAATTAGTATTCATAAAATTAAAAATAAACAAGTGGTATTATTACTAGTTTAAGGCAAATACCTTAAAATAAATTAATTTTTAATATACACGAATAGATCGGTTGAAAAATTAGTTTCCATTTGGAATAGTTGGAATAGTTACAAAACTTGTAATGCATTGGAACACTTATATGTACAAATGCTGTATCAAAAACTAAACTAAAAGATTGACAAATATTTATATTAAATTATTTTATGATTTAATTTTATTATATTACATTTAATAACATTATATCGGTACTGTTAGTGCAAAAGATCGTATGTAACAATTTTATATGTTTATCTATTTACGCTAAAGTGGCAGGTTAGGATTATTTAAATAATTAAGAGGAAAAATCTTACGGTTGAACATAATCTTAGCTTGATTACGTCTCTGCACAACCGCAACAATTTCCTAATGACATGCCAATGCTTGTAGGATCCAAGACACATTGCCTTTAAGTGCAAAAGATTCGAGAAGCGAAGAAGAATTAGTTCAGGATCGCAAACTACGCATGATGGAGCTAACTTTCTTCGGTCCATGAACAAAGATAACATCCGTGTCTTGATAAAGTTCATGAATGGCATAAAAGCAGTCATATAATAAAATTCGTTGCTTATTCTCAGTTAATTGTAATGCTAATTCATCTCAGTTTTTAACCATTAGTCTTTCTAGTTTCCATATTATCTAATATCAAAGTTCCATATAAGTTACTTTCAGTGATCATCTAACTATAAATAATTAATATAAATCCAGTGTAATTTCCGTATAAAACCGTAATTTCATCTCACTATGACAATTAAAATATTTTACTGGCAAAATAGGACTTGCTTTTACAAGTGTTGAAGCCAAAAAACAGCAACAAAAAAAAACTTCCTAATCAAGTACTGAAACCTGAAATGGGTTATAGTGGTACATTTTTTTTTTTAATCTATGATTTGAAGCTTTTAATAGATAAAATAAACCAATAGCCTAGTTCGAAAATGCTCTTGATTATTATTTTTTTTTTAACGAATAAAAATAAAGTACAATAAGATTTACCCATATTTTTTTCCATGTGTCATCGTTGCCATCTGTTGTTTATGAACAGTTAGTTTTGCTGAGTTTTATAAGATAAGGTTTTATCGAGAGAACAAAGCCAGTCCTGGGCAGACAATATTGATAAAATGCAGACGTGTCCATTTTAGATATGGCGCCATCGACAGAGGAGCAGTGCGATTGGCTGAGACAGGCAGACTAGCGCTCGTCGCGGCCAGCGCGGCTACTAATCAATCTAAACAGAAAAAACGAAACCAACCGCCAACAAATTGCCACGGGGCGAGGTATACATGATCACAGCTACTGCCGCACCTTACTCTCTCAGCTTACATTATTTTAATCATTTCAGCGAGTTCTTTTTTTAATTTCACATCGTGAAACTCTGTCTATTTTTTTTGTTTATATTTTTCCTTTTAACAAGCCTTTTAGACTCTTTATAAAAATAATAAGTGTATTGATATCGGTATCAGTGCAGCCTACGTTCGCCAGCTCTCGCAGCGTAGCTTGTTTATATTATTGTTATTGCGCACCTGGGTCACAACGCCGATTCTCACCATTGGAATTAGTCTCGCGAAGATTGTGGTTTAAAGTACATGTTTTGAGGTTGTCAACAGGACATTTTATCGTTTTCGTTCTCCAATGGATCCAGAAATGATTGATAGTATTGAAATGGCACCTCCACCTGCTGTATGTTCTAGAACGGAGTTATCAAAAAGTGCCGAAAATCTTGCTGTGGATCAGAGGATTAAGAAGAAAGCCAAACGACTCACCAGGCATTTGTCTAAGGAAGGTGTCCCGAATGGAGTACACGTTATTCAGACCACCCGGAGCTGGAAAAATACCAGAAGACCAAGAAATGGCTATGGAAGAGGACTACCCAAGAAAGGTCATTCATTATCTCTTCTATTAATAGAGCAGTTGTGTATTGTTAAGTTGGAATCGTTGATCTTTTATAATTTTATCTCGGGGTTATCGATTTACTCAATATTAATCAAGATTGCAAAGTGTTTATTTTTTAATGTCAATATGAATTTTCTTTTTATAAAGTGTTATCATGCCTTGTTTTTCAATTGCGAGATTAAGCGTTCATCATAATTAGTTTGTTTATTTGTTTTGGGGTGTGTCAATCATCTTAAATGTCTATATTAAATTTAATCATCTATAGGAGGAGCAGGAGGTAAAGGTGTTTGGGGAAAATTGGGTTCAGAACTAGAAGAAGAAGACATTGATAAGAATGATCCAAATTATGACAGTGATTCTCTTGAACATGGGGAAATCGAACTGGCCACCGTAATTCCCGAAGCTCCGGATGAAGAGTTAAGGGTAAGTTGTTGAGTGTCACCTTAGACTTTATCAATAGCTATGATAAAAAAAATTGATTTCACTCTCTTAAACAAGTAAAGTTTAGTTTTGGCATGTATTTACCAAATAATTATTAAATTATTGATTGTTATTGTACTTAATATCAGAATAGTAATTCTTTTAAATAATAAATTTATTGTTTATTAACTTACGACCTAATAGTGATCATACATGTGGTCATAATTTCTCGTTTGGTCCTCTTAATTCATATTTCTTTTCATAGGAAATATATCAGTGATGATTATTTATGTATATTGATTTAACAGCTTAACAGAATGTTAAAATATAAAAGAAATATTTTAAAGTTGTGTTTTTAAAAGGCCTTTTAAAGTTGTACACATGGCAGTGTTTACCTTGACATTTCCATTAATTATCATGGACAAGATATATTTTATTATTTTTATTGTTTTATCTTTAAACTAATCTAGTTTTTAACATCGAGTGCACATGTTTTTTATTAAAGCTGTTATGTAAATGTTGACAGAGTTTTAATCTCGTTAGTTTATTTAGGGTAGGGTGTCATATGAGTAGCATATTTACCAAGTTATTCTATTAATGCTACTAAAGAAGTGGTTGTTTCTCGTAATAATACTTGTTCTTCACAAGAATAAAAACTCATTTTTAAAAAAATATCAAATATTTATATATTCTACCTTTATGATTGATTCATTTCGTGGTTCATAGGAAAAATTTGTATTAAATAATTTTTTTTCTTTTTAATTTCTATAAAATACTAATTATTCACAAAGTTGCTCAAATGTATGAGATATTAATATTGATGGCCATTAAATCTCTTCTTTTTTTTCTGAAATGAATTGATTTAAGGTCTTTAATTTATCAATTTAAAATTGTTAAATGACAGGAACAGAAACAAATATTTATGGGTTTTCAAATTAAAAAAGGAGACTCAAACATTCTTCTGTATGTGACCCATTTATGTCCATTTTTAGTTTTTACTTCAGGAAAGAATAAAAAATAATTAATTTTTTTATTAACATAGGGCTTAGTGAAATTTAAATGGCATACTCAAATATGTTTTTAGGTTGGGCTTATATTAGTGAATTTTATATTTCGGAGCATTCTTACATAAATTAAAAATTGCCATTTTGTGTAGTTTTTTTTTTTTTTTTTTTTTTAGTTTATTGTTTATTGTTCTCTCTCTTGAATCTACTTTTAATATTTTCCTGTAAAAAGTTTAAGTTGAAACAATCATTTTACAAACAAATATCCATTTTACGTTTGCTTTGGTATAGCCATGTGGCATACTGTTTTCAATGGAATTTATTACTGTAATACTAGAACAATAATTTATTTTTTGAGAAAATGAACTCCGTTAACATAAATTGGTGGTTTTGTTTATAATTTAAAACCTTTTTTTTTGTTTTTTTAACCAAACCCATAAGAACACAAAATTATTAAGAAAACAGATTTTATTCATTTTTTGTTGGGATCGTGTAATTTTTTTATTTATTGCATTTAAGCCATTAATTGTGATGATGAAATAGATTTGAATCTTCTTACTTTTTTTTTTTATTAAATTATATTTTGTAAAAAATAGACATAACAGGTCTTGTTGTTAAACGACTTTTTAGTTTTCAGTAAGTCGAGTCCTACTGACTGACTATTTTCTACCAAAAATTCTAATTCTGTACCTAAAGGGAAATTAAAGTGGCGATACTTGATTATTTCTTCTGGTTTTAGATCAAATAATAATTAATTTACCCACATTCGTTTAATTATTTAATCCTAAAGTAGTAATGTTTGACCATAGAGTGCGCTGCTCAGATTGTTTTTTGTTTTTTTTTTGTTGTTTTTTTTTCCCTATTCAAAAAGGAGGTATACCAGGTATAAAGGATAAGGGGTTGGACTTAACATTCAGCATACTATGTTACTATTGCCTTATTTTTATTTACTGCTAAAATAAATATATTTTTTTTAATGAAATCCTACTATTTTTGTTCTGTACTTCTTGTCATAAAACCATTGTTGAAAAATATTTGGAATATCAATTCTTACTCTATTTATAATTAATTTGTGAATGGAATCTTCCTTTCCTATATTATTTAAAGCCCATCTTACTCAAGTTCAATCAATGTTTAAAGATTTTCCCCATCTTCAGAGGGTGTCTATAATCAGGGAGACTGAGAAAAGTCAGAGAATAAGTTTAATTGACCTTTCCAAACTTAAGATCCACAGGCCATGGCTTGCAATTAAAAAAAAAAAAAAAAGCTTTTTCTATAAATAACTCTTTAGTTGTAAAATGAGTTTTATAAGAGGAATAATTCGTGCATTATTGTGATTGAGTGATTTACTTAATTTCGTAATTATTAAAATGTTACCATGTCGTCAAACTAATTTTCACGAGCCGGATAAGAGGTGATAGGGGACCATAGTGTGGAAATTCCTGATCTAACTCATCAAAAAATTAGGAAAATGTCCGATTATTTTTGTCAAAAAAATTAAATTAATCTAATTTAAAACAGTAAATAGGTACACAAGTATTTTTTTTATTTAGGTTTTATAATCTGCTATCCTGATTTGATAGATATTTGATTAAATCATTAAATGACTTCTAGTCCTTAGGTTTACATTAAACTTTTGTAATTCTGAACTCTCCCCGAACATCGTGATAACTTATTCCATCTGTTTCTCATGGAATGTATTCTTTACTTGACTTGACGCATTTAATAATTTAAATTCTTTGTACGAACGAAACAGCAAATAACCTGTAAACACATCTATATAAATTTACTAAAAAGTAGAACGAGAGGTCATGAATGAAAGTTTTATTTATTTTATTCCTTATTCTTGTGTTTTGGGTCTAGGTTAATAATTCATTATTTTCCAATAGAAAATTTGATTGTTTAATTTTTTCATAACATGGATTATATGTGATGTTATTAATAATTATATGTAGCCCCACCAATATATTCAAAAAATATTCGACTAACATAATTTTAAAAATAAGGCAATTCACTCACTTATTAAAAACTAAAATAAATAAATAAAAATTATTTATACTTCTCAGTTAGTTTTGTGTTGTACTATACTATTGTATACTATTTAAATTCTTTCTAACGGCTTCAAAATTAAGATCTCTTCTGGCTTCTTTTTATTTCCACAACTTCCTAAATTATCATCTCTTAATTTAATTCTGTCATCTGGATTGTTTCTTTTTCATTTAAAACTAACCCTAGTCTTTTATTTTAATGAGCCATGAGTCATGCCTTCTTGATTAGCAGCAGCCTTACAAATAAAACAATTAATTGCATCTCTACTATACTCAATCCTGGAAGAGGGTGTGCTAAGATGGCCCCTCAAAATACATCAGACTAAACAAAGGATTTTAAAAACTGTATTTTTGGACTTAGGAGTACTTAAAATTCATTATTAAAATAATTTATAAACAGTTTTAAAAATCAAGGAAGTGATAGTTATATATTAAAATGTGATTATAAATTTTTTTCACATATTTTACTGTCTAAGAATTAATGTTGTTTTTTTTTTTTATGTTATTTCCTCAGTTTAATTGGTCTGTATTTCAAACTATGATATTGTTCATCTTCATTGACCCATCTTAATTTAGCCATTATTCTATATAATCTCAGACACACCTGACTAGTGTTATATAATATATAGTTATAAAAATATATATCTTTAGAAACTATTGGATAACTTTCTATAAAATTTAAAATAGCAAAATAAACTTCTTAAAAGATCATTAATATCATTAAAAATAAAGAGGGAACACATTATTAATTACTTACTTTTATTATTTTTACTTAATTCGACAAAAATTAAAAAAAAAAAAATTAAAAATGACAGTAAAAATTTTCTTTATCTGGAAAATTAATATATATATATATATATATATATATATATATATATATATATATATATATATATATATATATATATATATATATATATACAATCAGTTGTTTTTTTTTTTAAGGGAAATAATGATCATACTCTATATTTTATTTTATACTTGATTAAAATCGAATTTTTTTTTTTTAATGAAGGCAGCAATTATTTTTTTTTTCTTAATTGGGGAAATTAAAAAAAAATATATGTAAATATAATCACAGTTTTATGAAGGATATAATAATCATACGGTAATCAAAGTCAAATATTACATATTAATATAAATAATAACACAGGAAAAATAATTATAAAACAAATCTAAACTTCATTAATAAAAATGTAACTTATGTAAGCAAAAAATATGTTAAAACCTCTTACAAATACCAGCATCATCATATGGTGTCCTTGGCTATAAAGTCTTCTCCTTTGGAGGAACTTATTTAATTTTTCTAATATTTTTAATTCTAATCATTGTTTGTGTGCTATTTTCAGAAAAGCGGAGAAATGATTATTCTTGAATACTATGAGCACGGCGAATCAAGTGAAGCTGCTATAGCATTCGATGAGTTGAATTTTCATAATAAGAAGCATATGGTAAGTTTCGATTACTTCATATTTCTTGTTCATCATCTCCAACTAAGGCGAAAGAATAGAACTGTTGATTTATGTTTTAGATACCCCAACTGGCTATCGAGATAGCTTTGGATCATAAACCATCTCATAGGGAGATGACCTCTCGTTTGATCTCAGATCTGTATGGACAATTGATCAAGCAGAGAGATATTGCCAACGGTAATATTTAGTTATTACCAATATTTGTTTACTTTGAATCTTTTTTGTTTTTTTTAATTTGTTATTCTTAATCTAACCAGTAGTTTTAACTATCTAATCTTGCATTATTTAGTTTCTTAATTGAATTCAAAGATGGAGATGTATTTTAACTGATAATAAATAGCCTATTTATCAGCCTATCAAATAATTGAAAATTTAAACATTAAAGCCTGCAAGCCATATAGATTGTTAGGGCTTCCATGTTCCAGCTAGCCAATAGGACTAACAGCGTCATGCTGATCCTGATCTAAAGCTAGCCGTGCAAGGGCAAGCTCGGATGGCGTATTGTGGCTCAGTTACTTGGTTTGATTTTCAATTAGTTGATATTCCAACAAGGCCAACCTAGATTTGGTTTTACTATGTTTGTTATTTTAATTATGCCCTGACTAAACTAGCTGGATACGATCGAGAGCGAAATTTTTAACAGTCCTGCTCCAATTTCCCAGTATTTCAACAACTTTGACCATTATGTACTAGCCCAATCAATTTCAATTCTAAATCCATCTATTTCAACCATCCTTCATAAAATTAATAGGTACAGAGCTTCGTTATTGCTATTTAATCTCTTAAAACTGAATAGGAAACTCTTATGAAAAATAAATAGGAAACAGCCTCCTTAATTATTAAAAAAGGTGACATAAATCATCAATTTTACTATTCAATCTCAACTTGCAAAAATAAAAATATTTGTCCTTCACATTTTTTATGTAATTAAAAATATAATGCACTTTTTGTTAATAATATTTTAATTATCAAATTGAGTTTTGAGGTAGTAGTTTGATAATTGATATATATTCACATAGTATAGTAATAGTATTTTAAATAAATAAAATTTATTGTTTCACAAATCTGGAGTGCACAGATAAAAACTCATCACAAATTAATTCATTATATTTGATGCACACGTTGAGAAAACTGAAAAGGAACCTTGTACCGTCCTGAGTGATGCCTTTATTTGGACTGAGCTTAAATAGACTTAGGTCAGGTGGCCTCATCCTGAACAGTTCGCTTGTTTATGATGTCCGTCAGTTATCATGAGCCAGAAGTCTCATGACGATTCTAGAGTATCGTTGATCCATTTATACTTAGTTATTATGTCCTAACTGCTGAAACAGCTATTTAAATTACGAGGTTTGTTGTGAATTTGTAAGTCTGAAGGGAAATCATATTAATCTTTTATGGTCTACTAATGCTAATTATTATTGATGTGGCATTGGGAAAAATAACGAACATCAGGCTGATGTTCTTCAATCGACAAACCGATATTTGGGATGGGAAAGACATTATAACCTTGTAAATTTTTCTGATTTATAAAATACATCATTAGAGATCCAATTACAGAATTTTTCTGGGATGCTATGGTTTAAATAATTAATTTTACGAATTAGCTGGAAACTGCTTATGCCAAAGTTTTTTATCTGTAGTTTTATATTTTTTCTAAATTATACTTATTTTAATAATATATTGTGATAGTCATACATTTTCTTTTTAATAACACAAAATTAATAATTTAGTGGTGCCCTGTTCTCAGATTTTACTAAAAAAAAATTATATGCAGCTTGGGATGTTTTTTATATATTTATTTTCTTAATAATATTTATTACGGATTTTCATTTGTAGCATTTGATCGATTGCTGAAGGATTTGCCAGATCTAATTCTGGATACTCCTGACGCACCGACGGCGCTTGGTAACTTTTTAGCAAGGGCTATCGCCGATGATTGTGTGCCTCCTAAGTTAATAGAAGTACTTAAGGAAAAAGCTGAGACTGATATCGCTAAGTATGAATTTATTTTGGTATTTCTCATTATCATAATTTGTTTTTCTTTTTTTATTTTGTCTATAGAATACCAAACTGAGCTGACGGACTTACATATCATATTATTATTAACGTTAGCATAGTATACTTATTAAAATCTCGATAACTCTCAAATCCAGCTAATTTGTATGTAATTAGTCCAAGTCCCTCTGGAAAAATTCCTGTATCTAATCCAAAACCAATGTGTTTAGATCCTTTTAGTAGTTTGTATAAATCATTACTTATGAAGCCTATGAAATATCTTAACTGAGATTGTCAACATCGTATATTGACCTCACCTCCAACTTCTCAGATTATAATTACGGTAAACTATCTCCACACCATTATAAATATCTTATCATTTGTTTTTCTCAGAAAAAAATTATATATAATTAATTTAAAGATCTATTTTTCTCAGAACTATGATTTATTTAATTTCTTTAGTTTTTGCTTTAAATTTGGTTTATAAAATAACAGAAATGCATTTTGTTTTTCATTAAAAAAATTTAAACTATGTCCATTACAAAAAAAAATTGAAGTTTCTTAAATATTTCATTGTTTCTTTATCCGCGATCAACTATATTATATTAATATGTATTTAATTAATTTATTGTTTAATTTTCATACACCTGGTGTGAACAAGTTTTTACATACGTTTTATTATTTTATTTTTTTGTTATGCTTTAGGCAAGTTTTGTTAAGAGCTGATACTCTATTGTCCATGAAACATGGACTCGCTCGGCTCGATAACGTCTGGGGAGTCGGTGGTGGCTTGCGCCCCGTCAAATCCCTTATTAGGCAGATGATTCTGTTACTCCAAGAGTATATTTCATCTGGTGATCTCAAAGAAGCAACCCGTTGCTTATTAGATTTAGAGGTGCCACATTTTCACCATGAATTGGTTTATGAGGTAAGTAATTCATTGAATTGTCATATTTTAAAGTATTATTATTTGTTTTTTAGCATTTATTTGTATATTTACACCTATCTCTCGGCCTGCCACAATAAGAGAAAGTTGTGATAAATGACACAGTTGGCAGGTTTGAGAAATTATCAAATTAAAATAATTTTCTTATAACCCAGATTTGCTAAGTATAAGACGATCTTGATAATCCGAACACATAGATTGCATCACCTATCAAATTATTGCATGGATATTATCAAAGATTAAATATAAAATTATGGGAAAATTGCACAAGATACAAAGTTAAACATGAAACACATTGGAAATAAATACATAATTTCTGAAAATGTTCATACTTACATTGGATCTCTTATTTTGTTGTTAGATAAAACACCGGATCTCGCATATTGCTTAAAAGCACCAGGCTTCGGCAATCAGCGTTATGTTCATTTATCCATTCCAAACACATATTTATGCCTATGGCGTTTCTATGACTTGTCTATAATGAAAAATAAAATTGATGTAAAGAAATTTTCAAGTAAATAAAAAATGTATTTCATACCTTCTTTGTCATCTTAAAAAATTATTAAAGAAAAACTTCGACTTTGCAGCTAATATATTTCTGGGAATTGGATATCCTTGTGATCTCTATTGTTAAAAGCACATACAAAGAGATTCCTCAAATTCTGGATTACCGCTTTGTTTTAATGTTCTCCGTTTAAAGACACTACAATACACAAACACACAAAGTAATTCCAATAATATGTACTGCTAAACAGAACCATTTCCTTTATATCTCTCCTCAGTCAACTTCCTTTTTTTTTTTCTTGTTCGGGTTACTGAGGGTTTTGGATTATTAGAGATTCAGATTATCGAGACTGTCCTGTACTATAATGAAAGAAAACAAAATTGTCATGTAAATCAGTATAGCTTCCTCGCCATTTTTTGGAGGATACATAATAAATAATCAGTTCATTTTCATTAAGTAGCTATGTATATTCTTGATTTAGGCCAACTGAATTTTGATCTTATTTATCGATTAAAAAAAAGAACACAGTAAGTTAATCAAAATGGCATAAAGTTTTTTATATATCAAATATAGTTACAAAAAGTGCAAAATATTCTGATATCACAAAAAAAAAAAAAAATTCACCAAATTTCTAAGATTATGAAATGTCATTAAATACATATACATTTCCCCGAGGTTTCAATTTTATTTTAAACTGAAACCACCATTCCATGATCTTTTCTGTGTCTGAAAGGATTGTGCCATTCTTGTCTTTTATGAAATTCAGTATTGGGTCTTGAACTTCAAGATTTTACAGAACATCTTTTAGTTGCCCCTGAGGTTTTCTTCCAGGAGTCTCTTTTGGCTCAGGTGACTAACTTCACCATTTTCCTCCACCTCTTGTAGAACTGGTAATTAGTTTTATTACTCCTAAAAATAAATAATCAGAATTTATTTTACTGTTTTCTTTTTTGACCAACTCCCGGACCCTCTCCTTGTGTTCATTATTTTTATTTTTATTTGATTTTTTCTCATATTATTTTTATTTTTTAGGCCATTGTGATGACATTGGAAGCAATAAGTACTACTGTAGAAGAACAAATGTGTAAATTTTTAAAATCCCTTTCTGCAGCTATCATTATCACACCCGATATGATGGAAAGAGTGAGTTGATTTCCATATTGTTATATTATTGTTATTATTTATATTATACTTATTGTAATATCTCCTATTTTTACCAATAATAATACTCCTAAGCGGACCCTACACGGTAATTCATGAATGAACGTCACAAGAATGGTAAAGATTGCTCGGGATCGCTTTGATCATGAAGACCCCTACACGTTCAATCATTACTGTTCATTACTTATCGTTGCTGACACCAATTTAGCTCAGTTGTAAACAAAGAAACATCATAGATATTTGGACATTATCATTTATAATATTAGGCATCAAGAGAAAAATGGAGATATAATAATTACTTCTTAGTGCCTGAAAATCGTTTAAACCAAAGTTAGAAAAACATAAGTCAACTAAATACAAAAATTTAGGAAAAGTATTGCGAAAATAATCAATTTGTTTGGAAAAATTAGTGGCAAATAAACACAACAGTTAAAGATTGTTTTTCTATAAGTAAATTGTGAAGTTTCCACTTTTTTTTCTCTTCAATTTATTGACTATTTAAAGAAAAAATAGTTGAAAATGGTTAATAATAATATAGACTAGGGATATATACAACTATTTACTTTTATGAAATTATTTACTTAATAACGAGACCTAGGTAAACTAACCTATCTAGTAGTAAGGTTAGTCTTATAGAAAATCGTTTCGACAAAAGTTAGTAAAATATAAGTCTACTACTTACAAAAATTAAGGAAAGGTATTGCGAAAATAATACATTTGTTGAGGAAAATGGGAAAAGAACTGATAAATATACACAGCGTTAAAGATTACTTTTTTTTCTTAAAGTAAATTGTGAAGTTTCCACTTTTTTTTTTTTTAATTTGTTGCCCACTTGACTATTTAAAAGAAATAGTTGAAGATGGTTTAAAAATATAAACAAGGGATATGAAAAATTATTAAACTATTTACTTATAATGAAAATCAGAAATTTATAATGGTTGTTAGGCCTAGGTAACCTAACCTATCCAGTAGTATGGTTAGTCTCCCCACTACTTTTACCTCAGTCCCCCCTCCACTTCTCGTGAATGAACCTTTGATTTCTGGATGTTCGGAAATCCCCCACACACCACCATCAGTACTTCATTCACTACCTTACACGGAACGTTATTAGTGCCTCGGAATACAATTCCGAATGACCGTGTAGGGTCCGCTCTAGAAGGTCACTTGAATATTATAGCGATACTTCCCAAAACAAATAAAAGGTTGTTAAAAAAACATGATTATAAGAGTCTTGATATATTAAAATGAAATTTACAATTATTTTATCTGAAGGTATGGGATTCTGATAGTCAGATGAAAAGACTCAGACAAACTAAAATTATTTATACTAAACATTGTTTCATTTTAAAATAAAGTCAAGAATGAATTAGCAAGCTAACCTTTTTATAAATACACTGTATCTTCCTTTGTAACACTGTAATTCACTTGTATTATAAACCAGGACCCTTTCTAATGTTCTGTTAAACAGACCTTCCAATAAGGTAATATCGAGATATCATCTACTCAAGTCATATATAACCTGGGACATCCTCTCTCTTGTATCTTCAAACAACCAGTGACCTAGCCAAACAAGTACCCCAGCCAAAACAACATCCTTTGTTCCTTGAGCTGCCATCTTTTCCTTTGTTTATCTGAAAAACCACCATTTTGTTTTTCAACTGTTGAAATTCTTTCAAATTCAAAATCTCTCTGAATAAGGTCAAATTGCCTCTTAATTAGGTTAACTTGCCTAAAATTTATCCAAACTGAATACAGTTACCCTAAATTACTGAATACCCAATAATAATTGGGTTGAGAAAAAAGTAGTTTTTTTTTTCTCCATGTTTCTTAAAGCAAATTTATTACTTTCCTACCTATACTAGGTAAGGAAAGCATTACAATTGCGTCAAATTTCCGCCATGCAGTTTTCGACGGATCTATTCGTTTCAGAGCCTCTGAGTCCGAAAAACACATTTTTAGCCATTGGTCTGTCTGTCTGTGCCAAGATTTTCTCGGGAAATACTGAACCAATTTTGTTGCTTCTTTTTTTATTTTGTAGGGTTTTGACTAGCAATGCCTGTGACAAAAATTCGGTGCTCCATGCGCAATAGCTTGTGCTGAATAAATGAAAAACATGTTTTTCTATAGAATATAGTGCAAAAATGGCTTTAACGATTTTGATGAAACTTTCCTACAATGTTCTATATGTTTCAGAGCCCTCTGAGTCCGAAAACCACATTTTAGCCTTTTTTTGAAAAGTAATGAAATTCCCTACAAAACTGTATAAAAATTTTTCATTTAGGACAACTATTAACGAAGTTACAGCTATTCAATTTCCAATGTAAGATTACCGGTTCATATCCTGTTGTCAGAAAGGGGTGAGAGAGAATAAAGATGACTAAGTGAAAGTAAGAAAATCTGTTGCCCGCATCACACAAGCTTCACTATTTCCTCTACTTTTAACAGAAATTATTGTTTGACAATACTAAGCTATGGCAAAAAGTTTTTGATCAGCAATATTAGAGAGTATTAAAATTTTTACATTGATCTACCCTAAGCCGGTTTACATTGCTTTATTTTCGTAACAGTACAAATCGCACTCAAATCTTATGTTTGATCAATTTTCAAGAAAATTTATCTAGTTCAATTCTTTTTTGTTTCTTCATGAACATATTTAAAGATATAAAAACTTTACTTAAATAGGTAGGAAAGTCATGTGAGTGGACATACCAGATATTTTATATACATTTCAAACACTAGTGATATATGTGCCGTTTTGTTCGATGACCTTTTGCCACTTTTCCGGCATAGCCAAAAGACCATCACTGTAGGAGTTCTGAGATTTCTGGGGGGGGGAGGTGATGAACCACTTTACTTTTACAATATTCTTTTGATACCAGCATTTACACTATCAATAGAGCTCTGGAGAGAGCAAAAAATAAAATGGTAGTCAGATGGAACAAGGTCGTCCAGGCTATACGATGGATGCTTCAAAACTTCCCAGCCAAGCTCTCTCACTCTTTGCCGGGCCATTAAAGATTGTGTGTAGTCTGTCGTCGTGATGGAAGACAACACCTTTCGTGTTGATCAATTCTGGTTTTTTCTCTTAATGGTTTGGCCAAGTTCGAGTGGCTCATGATAAACAATTCCTTTCTAAACCCACCAAACACTCAGCATTATTTCCCTACTCATCAATCTGGGTTTTGTTGTGAAGCTTCTGCTGGCTTTGACCATGATCTTTTTCATACATTATTGTATACGTGGTTTTTGGGACATCAGGCCTTCCCTAATCCTGAAGTAGGGGGAATCAAACCTGGATGCTAATTACTTGATCAGAAGGGGGTGTTCATGCAGAATGTGAAATGAGTAAAATGAGGTTTAACATAAAATATATTGATAAAATAATAATAATTGGTAAATGGTTGACTGTCGTGGATAATGAAGAGAAGAATAGTTGAGATGATCAGTCAAAAAGGAAGGCAAAAATAAATGATAATATTTATTTTTACATATGCCGACGTTTCGGCCTGAAGTTCAGGTCTTCAGGGCTGTCTCCAGAAGTGTTGCAGGGAGAATGCAACATGAGAACATTCTCCCTGCAACACTTCTGGAGACAGCCCTGATGAAGGCTGAACTTCAGGTCGAAACGTCGGCATATGTAAAAATAAATATTATTTATTTTTGCCTTCCTTTTTGACTGATCACCCCAACTATTCTTCTCTTCATGATAAAATAATATATTGAAATAAACAGAGGTTGATGGGGTTTAAGATGTACATTTAGGTTATTGTGTTAGTGAACTATTGGTTAATATGGGCTGACCAGATAAATAAAGATGCTGGCTGGTTGATGATAATGTTGAATTCTCCATTGAGAGACTGCTTTCTGTGTCATCTGAGTTGAATATGGGTTTTGGCCTGCTGCCATCTTTGATGTCTTGTGATGTGCTGACATCCATGCCGCCTCTTCTATGTGTAGGTCTAGCTAGACATGTAATTGACCCATTGTATGAACATGCTTGGCCATGGAGACCATTTTGTAGGCAGACCCAGACTCAGACTCGCACTGGTGTTGTACTTTGTCACTTCTGGTCCCAGGTCACCAGGCAGGGCTAAACTTCTTCAGCTTGCCAATAGATGGCACTGTCATGATGGCCAACACATGGCGCCACTGATGTGCGCTATTTGACGCACTTAAATTAAGGGCTACAGTGAGTGGCCTTAACAGGTGGTCCACTTTTCATCACTCATAATCATTAGTTTCATAAAAGGCTCAATTTCATCTCGTTTCAGTAACGATTCACAAATATAAACTAGGTCCATTAAATTTGTCTCTGTTAATTCATGTGGAACGCAAGTATTAAGCTTCTTTTGATATCCAGTCTTATGTAAATAGTTCAAAACTGTTTTCTGATTAATTTTTAGTTCCGTAGCGATGTCGCAAGATGTAATATGTCGGTCTACCTCAATTTTTTTTAAAAATTCATCAACTTTTTCAATAAATGGCCAACCAGAGTGAGGTTCATCTTGTATTTGCAAAAAGAAAACAAGCAGACACTGGTGTTCGCTTGAGTGCTCATTTTTATAAACATTATATTTTTTTTTTACTGATCACCTCAACCAATCTTCTCTTCAATTAAATAATTTTCAATGAGCCTGTGCTACATTTTTCTCTTTTCGGAAATAAAACAGTAAAATATGACAAAAATGACCTTCTGGAGCATCCATTTTTAAAGCGTGATAACTGTTGACTGAGTATATGAAAGACGCTATTTATTTATGTTCTATGGACTGTGACCTTTCAAACGCTCTATAAAATGGCTTTATTGAGTAAGGATTACAAGAGATAAAAGACTTTAAAATCACCCAGTGTTATAAAACAAAATTACTTTTTCCTCAACCTAATATATAATAATTTATTTATTCTGGAACGAGTCCCTTTAAAATAATACAGAAAGACATAAATTTGGGCTAAGGAGCCTCAGAGATACATAAATAAAAATATAAAGTAATTAAACAGTCATAGTAAGAAAATAAAAATTATAAGTTACTTTCTAATTTTAGTCAGTTAATAATAAAAAATTGAAAATAAACATGAAGTAATAATTTATATACATATTTACAGTAGTAACTATTTACAATTTTATGAGGACTGGATGTATAAGAAATGATTAAATAGTTGGGTTTTAAAGGTAGGAAGGGTTTTAGATTGACGAATGTGGAGAGGGATGGAGTTCCATAGGGAAAAGCATCGAATAATAAAAGATTTAGGGAAAGAGGAGTGGACAGAGGATTTAAATTGAAGGAGCTCGGCGATGTATGAAGGACGGCGGGAGTGAATTACTTGGAAGAGAAAGGATGAAGGAAATACGGCGGTAGGAAGGATAAAGCCACTTCAACTCTTCATAAAAACAGAAAACAGGGGCGTCCCTTGGGTGTCTATAATTTTTACTTTCACTTCTCCTTTGTCTAAAAATACTTATTTCTGCTAAGAAGAAGATGTTAAGTGAAAGTTATGTGATGCGCGCATCAGATTTTTTAATTTCTTTAAAAAAATAAAGGTTAATTCATACAAAAGCTCAAAAAAAAAATTATATATATTACTATATTCTCATATTATATTTATTAAATATGAAAGCTATATCATTTTTATTTATTTCATTTTTCTTCTTTCAGGGTTTTCTTAGAGTTTTCGAAGATATGCCGGATATTATTTTAGACGTACCTCTCGCTAGTACGGTACTGGAAAGATTTGTCGACCAATGTTATAAGGCTGGTTTTATAAGCGATGAGTTAATAAAGAGAATGCCCATGAGGTAATTAATTGAAATATGTTTTCAATATCGTAACTTACGTATATTTGAGTACTCTTATTAAATTAATTTATTTTATATTTTACAGGGGAAGGAAGCGGTTCGTGTCCGAAGGTGATGGAGGACGCGTTAAAGATCACACTGTTACCTTTCATTAGACGAGCCCAGATAAAAAATACCTCGTTATTACCGATATCGGTAGTAATTACAAATGTTGCTTTGTTTCTATATAGATATGTATATAGCTGACATCAGTATTTGTGTTCCTTTATATTCTTTGTGCCACAATACAAAATAATAATAATGATAGCGGCCTACGCCGTCAGAAGTGCTTCTTTATTTTTTTTTTTTCTTCGATATTTTGAAGAGAGCTAACCTGTTCTTTTACACCTCTAGAGGTAGTCTCTTTCATACCCATCTTAATAACAAGTCTTCATTGTGGGATACAGATAAGGATCGGATTATATGATTACCCAAATTATTTCTTAAAAGACAGTATAGTTTATACTATGATAATAACTCTTTTATATAGATTTCCATTTTTTCCTTATTTTTTTTTTTTAAGATTAAGGTACTGCTTTAATATTGTTTAAAAAAAAAAAAAAAAAATCTGTTGCTTTTCTGCTAATTAAATTAGCAGGATTTACAGTGTAAGTTAAGTACGTTGAATAATTTGTTAACATTTTAATGATTCCCTTTTTAACCATAATTTTATCAAAGGGTGATAGACATATAATTGTACAGTAGACTTCATTTCGTTCGTATGAAGTATGTTATTGAAGTAAGACTTTGAAAGCATTTTCTATTTCAAATTTGTTAAATGATGCATGAAAAATATAAATTGAGTAAAGAATTTTATTGTTTATTTTTTTTTGTGTTTTATTTTCTTTTTAACCTTATATTTTTATGTATTTCCGGCACTTTTGATCAACACAACTATATAAAACGGTGCAAATTATTCCACAATGGTTTATTATTTCCAGACAATTATACATCTAAAGTAACATTACCTTCATAGTTACAAAGAAAAAAAAATAAAAGGTGATTCCAATTATTGGACAAAATTTTTTTTTTTTAATCATTGGTAATATGCTAAAAAAAATAACATTACCATCAGTAACATATTCAAAATTTTAAAACTAAACAAAGGATTTTTATTCGTTATTCGAATTCCACGCATCCTGAAACGTGAAACCTCAAATTTTGTGAGGGGGTTAAGTTTTTGAATTTTTTGGTCGATCACAATGGTTAATTATTGAAAATAAAACAAAATTAACAATTTATTTTTATAATTATATATGAGTTGCAATTAAAATTAATATTGAAAAATACCATTTTTACCACATAAAAAGAACTGGAGACCATATCTTTGCTCTTAATTGTCCGATTTTAACAATTTTTTTTTTTTAGTTTTTAGGAAATTTCGTAAACTTTTTGAGTTATTCAGAATTTAATTTTACCATCCTTCTTAACTTTTTTTCCAGCTTCTTTTTGTTGATGTTACATAGATAAATTTAAAGGGTGTCAAGAAAATGACTTTAGCGAAGTTTCATTGAATTCGGTACTTTCGTTTTGGAGCTACAGTCTATAGCAACGCAGGTTTTTCGGCCGCCATTTTGATAGTAAAAGGCAGATGGTAATGTCAATGAAGGAGGATCATCCTCGGGTGACCTCTGATTTTATATCCAAATTTGAAAAAAATTGGTCCAGTAGTTTCGGATAAAATGCGCGGACGGACAAACAAATTTTTATTCGTTATTCGAATTCCACGCATCCTGAAACGTGAAACCTCAAATTTTGTGAGGGGGTTAAGTTTTTGAATTTTTTGGTCGATCACAATGGTTAATTATTGAAAATGAAACAAAATTAACAATTTATTTTTATAATTATATATGAGTTGCAATTAAAATTAATATTGAAAAATACCATTTTTACCACATAAAAAGAACTGGAGACCATATCTTTGCTCTTAATTGTCCGATTTTAACGATTTTTTTTTTGGTTTTTAGGAAATTTCGTAAACTTTTAAAAAACCATACATTATTCACAAAAAAGTGTAAACTTTTTGAGTTATTCAGAATTTAATTTTACCATCCTTCTTAACTTTTTTTCCAGCTTCTTTTTGTTGATGTTACATAGATAAATTTAAAGGGTGTCAAGAAAATGACTTTAGCGAAGTTTCATTGAATTCGGTACTTTCGTTTTGGAGCTACAGTCTATAGCAACGCAGGTTTTTCGGCCGCCATTTTGAAAGTAAAAGGCAGATGGTAATGTCAATGAAGGAGGATCATCCTCGGGTGACCTCTGATTTTATATCCAAATTTGAAAAAAATTGGTCCAGTAGTTTCAGATAAAATGAGCGGACGGACAAAAAAATTTTTATTCGTTATTCGAATTCCACGCATCCTGAAATGTGAAACCTCAAATTTTGAGAGGGGGTTAAGTTTTTTAATTTTTTGGTCGATCTCAATGGTTAATTATTGAAAATAAACCAAAATTAACAATTTATTTTTTTAATTATATATGAGTTGCTATTAAAATTAATATTGGAAAATACCATTTTTACCACAGATATTGTATTATATTTATTGTATAAATACTAATATAACTAACTGACACTTGTTGACATAGAAATATAAGCTTAACTTTTAACACTGATAACAAACTTAATATAGAATTCACTGACTTATTGTATCATAAAATCTCTTATTGATCAAAATGACTAACTCCATGTTTGAACTGTTTACTTACATAGAAGTGTACTGAGCCTAGATCTTTTGATTAACTTTTGACAATCAAAAATATTTTAATATAAAATTTAACAATTATTATTATTATAAAAGTAAATGTTACACCTATATTGAAAATCATTACAGTTTACGTATTTTTTAAGTTTTTGATGTTCGGAAGAATAAAAACATTTCGTCTTTTTTTAAACAATATTTTGTTAAAAAAAGGAAGGAGATGGTCATTTTGAAAATTCATTCAAAACCCGTCGAAATGTGCCCCTCTCATAAATTTTGGTGGCATAACTTGTGCCATGAACTCTACTTCTGGGCACCCCTGCATTATGTATAAACTCCAAAGTAACATCTTTCAAATTTTTATTTATATTTAATAAAATAAATTTTGAATGAGTACAATTAATAACTACTTATGCATTTATTATTTCATGTAACTGGCCTAAAAAGTATGGATTACTACTGAATGATTTTTACTTCAATACTTATTTGTTTTTTAATTTTGTTTATATCGATGTCCAACATTGTGCTGTAAATGTTTTCAGTAAATTGAATTGATGCAGATTAATTACCATTCATAAAACTATAATTCTTTCAATAAAAATAAAACTATCTTAATAAATTAAATTGCTTTTGTTTCTGGAATTGAATAAGTTAAAAAGGATCCTAATTGTAATGAATTTATTACAAGTTGTTAAATAGTGAAATGGTTAAGTTGAAGTTGATTAACTTTAATAAATATAAATTAGAAAAATACTGTCAAATCAGTACAATTAAAAAAAAAAATTGCTAGTATGCGAGTGGGTGTCCTGGAGTGATGTTCAATTTACTGCATTTTCGAGACACGGCTGTGATTGGAATTTTTCCAATTATAATCTATCATTTAATAAATATCTTAAAGAAAGTTATAATTTTTTTTTTTATTTCTTCAATAATAATATGAACACATTATTTAATTACATATACAGAGTTCACACTCGATGTCGATAAAATAAATAAATAAAATTAAATCTAATGGATTTCTCTGCTCATATAAAAATTCTCATTAAATTCAGTTAGTTCTATTGATGAATATTTAGTTTATTATTTTTAATATAATATTGTTTTTTATCTGTAGGAATCAGTTGATTTTTCTTTTTTTTTATTTCAATGGAATAAGAAACTGTTCAATCAGCCAAACATTCATAGTAATTTAAAAACTAAATATTATTGTATTTAAATTAAAGAAAATATTATTTAAACAATATGATTTAGTGTAAAGTAATGAGAAATATTGCAAAAGCGGAAACCTATGCTCCATTAGTTTGACATCACGATTGGTAATATACTGTACCTTCAGCTGTCCTTGATAGAGATAAAAAAAACAAAGTTTTGAAACTTGGCTTAATTTCTCCTAGATAAGTATTGCATCATACTGAAAGTTCCCAGGTGTGGGCGTCGAATGTGATGTGGAAAAATATCATTTAAAGAGAATAGTTTATTCTTCTTTTTTTTTTTTTTAAATCTGAGTAAACATTGACTTCAGCAGAAACAAAATTTAACTAGAGAAAACTTTCTTCACAAAAGATACCATTATTTTTTGTTCTAGTGTTTGTAATTTTGGTGATATAGTCAGAGTAAATAAAAATGGTGAGCTAAAAGAATTTTAAAAAATCTTGGTTTCTGACTTAATTTACATAATTACAGGTATAAATAAAATCTTGAAATGTATATTTCTTAAATATCCATAAAAGAACATGCTTTAAAATTACAGAAGAAATGGTCACTCTCTTATCTAATTTTAGTTATTCGATTAAAATATCAAAAAAATAATCACATTATGTTTTTTGATTATTATTTATTAATGTACATTTTTGGGAATCTCTTCATTATATAATGCCATTAATCGAGTTTTACCAACTGATCAAACTTACCAACAATTAAGACATAGATTCTCCAAAATGTGCATTAATAAATAATTATCAACAAGCTAAATGTGATTATTTTATTTAACTGATCAATAAGCAAAAAATAATGAAGATAATTTAGAAAAAAAAATGTCGAAACTGCAAAATGATAAAATATCTAGATTAGGCTAGATAAAATTGAAAAAAAAAAAAAAAAAAAGATCCTAAAGATTTTTCTCTTATGAACTATAATTTATTATACAATTATTCAAAAATCAAATATTCACAGAAACTTCTTTCACTATTGTAGCCAATGAAACATGTACTATCAGCTGTCGCATCAAAACTACATGTGCCACTATTATCATGACTGCTTATTTATAATTTTAATTGAATAAAGTAAAAAAATATTAATTTTTTAATAATTAATTTACTCAGACTATATCTCCAAAATTATTGCCAAAAGTAACAAAATGAATAGCATCTTTTTAAAAGACAATTTCCTTTAGCTTAATTTTGTATAGGGTTAGGTTTTTGCTAAATTCAATATTTACTAAGATTTAAGAAATAATATATTACATACACCCTTTCACTCAACTCCAATCATTGAGGATTTCTGTATGTAAAAAAAACATATTATTTTTTATCCTGTCAAGTAAAAGTACTCCCTGTTTTTAGCAAAAATAACTACAAATAATTGTTGTAAAGCTTTTATTTCTTGTTTTTACGTGATCTGGGATGTTTTATAATAAACATAATTGCCAAAATATACTTTTGATTTATAAAAAAATTAAATATTTGATAAATACTGATTTATCCGGTAAAGTGTTTATGATTCTGATTTTTTCTTCCAGATCTGTATTATAGAAAATGATTCATATTTACAAGTGACAGAATAAATGTTAATATTAATTTTTTCATGAAAATAATCTAAAAAATGAGCAGGTTTGTTTATTTTAAACGTACATTTTAGGACTAGAAACGTTCATTATGTCCATTATAAATACGGATAAATTCTTATACAGATGAGGATGAAAAACACAATTCCATAAAAATTTTGCCGGAATAATATTTGAAAATCATAATTATTCAAAAAAAAAATTTTAAAAATAAAAATTGTATTCAGGCAATTAAAGTATACTGTAAGCAGCATTGAAGACAAGTTTCAAGACCTAAGAGATTTTGTTCTCTTGTTCTGGCTAAATTAACTGGACTATTAGAGAGGTTTTGCATTTTTTAATATTGAGGTTATGGTCCTCCATTTACAAGCACTGTTAGAATGTTTAAAAACGTGTATTATATTTATAAAAAAAAATAAAATCATATGCCAATTATAATAATCAAATTTATAAAATCAGTCATTTATTAAATTTATCTAAATAATCTGATATACTTAACAAATAATACAAAAAGCTCAACTGACTAATTTTATTTGCAAATTGATATCCAATGCAGTCTGTAGGTGGTAGAATAACATTATACAAGTTATTACAATAACAGAACAAAAAAAAAATTGAATGTATTTTTTTGAATTACATAAACAGATCTCCCTCATATAGCACATTCTTTGTAAAATCCAAACAATAACAGAAAATTTTCATAAACAAGTTTTTCTTTTTTTGTTTATTTTTTAAAGTTCCACACTTACAAAATCAACTTGACTTTTTTAAAAAAACAAACAAAAACATTTATATAACCGTAATATAATATACAATATTAACATTTTAAGAATTATTTTCTTAAGTTAAAATCAAGTTAATTAAAAAATATATATTACATTTATAATGTAATAGAAAATAAACAATAAATAAAGGCATTTATTTACTATACAATTTATAATAAAGGTGATGAGATGTGCACACGTCATTGGTGATAACATTGAAATTGATAAGAGAGACCAATGCTGTTAGTGACATATACATGTTATCATTGTTAACAGTAATTAATTTTAGCCAATGGCTTCTTAAAAAGCTTCTTTTTTTTTTTCTTCTTTTAAGAAAGGACAACCCCAATTAATAAATTTTCATTATTTTAAATAATATAATATGTAACTATATAGGTCTACTATATATATTTATATAAATACGGCCATTTGACACTAAACAATTCCTCGCCTTTTCATTTCTTTAGAAAGTTCTATTCCCATCTGAGCAGGGCTCTTGCTGACAATAACTCCGGCCTAAAAATAAAAACAAGAAATTTTTTTTACAGTAGTACAAAAAACTTAGATAATATTATTTGATAAAGAATGACATATGGGCTATTCTCAGAAAAATGAGAAAAAATTTCCCACTCTTTTGTTTTTTCTACTCATTAATACGTACTTCTAAAATTTTTTTTTTCAAGTAGAAATTTCTTTCATAATTTTTTTTTTGTTTCTTTTATCGATTTTCGTTTTTATGTCAAGTAAACTGAGTAGAGAGAAAACTATCTACTCTCAGACAAAAAATGTAATTTTGAACATAGATAAATCCATGAAAACAAAACTGGGAGTATTTTTTTCTTTTTAATTTGATTATTGAACCATCCTTTCCATAGTTTAATTTTATTTTTAAATTAAAATTCCTACCTTTAATAGAAATTTGAAGAAAATGGAATAATGCTATCCTGATATAAGATGGTTACTGTGGTGAATAGAGAAAGTGAAGTTGGAGATAGATCTTGGGGAGGTTGATCTTGAGTGGGTGAGATCTGCGCGAGCTCCCTTCCTCTAAACGCCAACTTATGTTGAATACATTATACCCTTATTCAGTGTTTGCACGTTTCACAAAATATGAGAAACACTAATGTGTAAATAGGGTTTTTTTTTTTTTTTTAGGCTAGTGTTTACATCGCTCAGTTTGTGAATTCGAGTTACAGTAACTCAACATTAGTACAGTACTAATGTTGCTTTTACATATTTCTTTGTTTGTATTTCATGAGTGATGTTTAATTTAAGAGTTTTTAGTGTGATTTAAATAAATATTTGTTACACACTTTGACGAATTTCATGACTTCTATCATTTTTTTTTTTAAATTACAATAGGTTAAGGCAAATGTTATTCCCAATGCCTGTAATGTATGTTTATTGTTTTGGAAATATGTAAATCCAGTTATACATTACACTGAGGTAAAAAGTGTTTTTTCGTCCATTATTATGCTTATTTCTTTTTCAAACTCTGACAAAAACAATAATGATGAATTTTCACTTTAATAAAAACTTTGTTGTTGATTCAATTATTACCACAATGCGTCACTGAATTGATTTTTTTTTTTTTTTTTGTGTGTGTGTGTTGAACAAGACAATGACTCTATTTTATAACAAAAATGAGTTCAATCAATAAAAGACACACAGGGTCCATAGCTGAAATATTTAGAGGTTAATTTAGATTTTGTTAATTATAGAATAATCTAAACTTTCCCACTGCTTTTGTTGTGTTCTCATTGCGGTCAGAATATAAATTTTTCTCCATGTATCAAAGTATAAAACATTTTTTGAGAGATATTCTCCAAAGATACCAAGTGGTGATCCTACATAGAACATCCCATCCTTTCACAATGATCCACCCTTCAGTTACAAAACAGCAGTAACGTAAACTTTTTCAGAGAATAGTCCGTACATATTAGACCCAGTTTGGAGATAAAGGGAGAATGACTGATGCCTGGAAGATCAAATGTTTTATGAAGGCAAGGAACATACAGGAAATATCACAGGCGGATCTACGGAGGGGGGGCTTTTGGGCTGAAGCCCCTCCCAAAATGGTAAAATATTATCATGTTTTACAGAAAAAAATATTAAAAACTATCTCTTTAAGTATTCTTGTTTGTGTAATTACAATTAATAGGACTTCAAGAAACACTTAAACACCATTTCATATAGGTAGTTAATTTCTTTATTTTTTTTTCTAATTAATTATTGTTATACGTATATGAAAAAAAATCTTTCAGGCTGAAGCCTTCCCCCAAAATTAAATCCTGAATCCGCTAGTGGGAAATATAAGGAAGCCTTAAGGACACAATAGGTTCAATATAAAATAAAATCAAATAATTACTCCATTGTAAAAGGCCATTAACTACAAACAATTATATTTTAACCTGTGACATCAATCTTACTTAAGTTGTGAAACTTACATTTATTTTTTTATGACTTTATATTATTTGCCTTTTAGCTTATATATATATAATATATTTTTTCTCATATTAATATATTTTGAAGTATTAAGAGAAACATTTATATAAAATTGTATATTTTTGCTATCAATACCTGTTAAGGCAGCATAGACATATATCATTAATTTTTTCATTATTATTCTTCTCACCATTTACCCCTTTTTAGGCGTTAACAATAAAATGTTTATTAATTTTTTTGTTAAAAACTGAGGGACAATTGTCTCAGAAATATATTTAAGTTTATATAATATGTATATTTGGCTTCGTTTGTGATGTGTTATCGCGTTGTATATACACACAAGCCCGGCAGTAATACCCTGTCTTAAGGATTAAGACATCTTAATCCTTAAGACATCAAAATACTGCTGGGTCGCTAGTCTGGAACTAGCCTTTATTGACATTAGATGTGTAGTGGAAGTCTACCCCCACCAAGTCCAGATTCACCTCATCTCACCTGCCAACAGTCTAGCGCCATTTTTATATAACAGCTGTTTGGCGCCTCTGCAGTCGTCAATCGATCGATTGGCTATCGATTCGATTTCCCCACCATCGACTGCTTTGATAGCTGAACATCAACCTCTAACCTCTTTGGAAATGTGGCCTCCAATGTGGGATATTTTCGTTTTATTCTCCACCGTCACAAAAGAAAATAAACTACTTTAATTTTTTCTTCGCTAAAATTAGTTTTGTTCTAATGGACAGTTTTTTTTTTCTCTCTTGGTTTAGTATAATTTTAGAAGTTGTTTTTATTTATATTTTGCTATTAATGGTTAATTTGTTTTTATTTTCTCTGCATATTATATTTATGTTTTATTTTTCTCGCAACTTCACACCAATATTTATTTCAACTTTTGTACTTCATTAGATCTTTTTTTTATTCAATAAATTGTAAACGTTCAAAGGGGAATTTTTTTATTTTCCATTTATTTATTGAAATATTTTAATTTTTTAATATTTTCTTGTGCATGCACATTTTTTATGTTTTACAGGTCTCATTTTTACTCTTTTTCTCCTTCTTTTCCTTCATTTTTAATTTTACTTGAATTTCCCCCACCTTTGAGGAAACGCACCGGGGAAAGATTTGTACTTCGATTTTGAAGTACCCCTGGCCCCAACAATACCTGAACTACCCTCAGAAACCAGGTATGGAAAATTCCATAGAAGTTGATAGTTACAATAATTATTTAAGGATTAGTAAATATTTATTAAAATACCTTCTGCAGTGCGTTGATCTTGTCCTGAGCTCCCCCCTTGCCGCCAGAGATGATGGCTCCAGCGTGTCCCATCCTCCTGCCTGGCGGAGCGGTGATGCCAGCGATGAACGATACTACCGGCTTCGCACCTGTACCCTGGCAAGAAGTACACTATTGAAAGCAAGCTTCATCTGACAAACTGTTTCTATAGCAGTGTTAGTACTAAAAAGATCGCACTAAACACCACAATCATGAAATAATGATATGTTATGATGAATATCTGTCAGTTGAATTAAAGCTATTGTTAAAAAAAAAGAAATGTATTGTTAGATATCACATTATATCAGACGGCTGACAGCATTAAATCCATGCTCATCCTTTATATTATTCCAAATATTATAAATTATACCATTAGTTATTCATAGATTTTCATTTTATAATAAAACAAAAGGATACCCAGTAATTGAATTTCTATGTATAATTTAAACTTAACTAACTTTGAATCGAACCCATTTATTTATACTTAAATCAGCAAATAGTTTTGTTGGGGCTAATAGAGTACTTGGGATAACTATCGCTACTAAAAATTGATATAAAAATATTCATAGAACTTTAAGTTATGAGGTGTAGAAATTTCAATTAAGGAGACCATTATAAAACCTGTATTAATAGTTTCCACATTTTAATGGTCTTCTAAATATAATGTCCACATTATTTCATAATTTTTTTATATTGTTGTTTTTGAAATTTGATTGCCTTCTTGCAGATGGATATGATTAATAATAATAAAATATGCTTAAGCAAATTTGTTCTGCCTTATCATAACTGTATTTAATTTTGTTGATGTAAATAAGGAAATTTATAAAACACATAATTTATTATCTAATATTTTCGTGATAATAGAATTTTGTAGTGCTAGATCATGTTTATAAATTATAACATTGTAAAGTGAGTCAGTCATATTTAAAATACAAGCATAGAATGTATTAACAAACACATAAGATAGTTTTGATTTTTAATTTACTGCCAGAGATTTGATATATATATATTTTTTTAATGACAAATCAACTTTTGAAAAAAAAAATATACACCAATATCAAATTATTAACTAATAATGATTTGCCATAGGAGTAATCTAATATTAAACAAAAAATTACTCACACTCACTTGACAAAGTTTTTATACAACTCTTCAGTCTTCAACGGACCAGCTTTACAAAATTCTTTTCGTTTATTTTGTCATTCAACTGAAGACAAGATAAAAAGATTGATTACTGCGGATAGTGGCGTATTTATTAAATCCACTTAAATTACATTTGTTAAATTCTATTCGCCCATTTACTTGGGATCCACTATTTTAATAACCACATTATTGTTGAGACATAATTCTCTCAATAATATCCTATACGATTCTATCTGGAATTATTTCTTCAAGTCTTTTTCCATTCACTGAAAGAAAAATTGGAGCCTATCAAGCCAGATTTAGGAAGAATGAAGCATATAAATATTCTGGAGCATATATTATCTCTAACAACAATAAAAAATCCCAGAAATATAGCATAAAAATCCACCACATTTTCGCTGACTTTAAAATGTATTAGTGTAATCAGAAGAGAACTATACAAAGATATACTAGAAAAGGAAATCCTGTTCAACTGATTAAGGTGACTGATGAAAAAAGGGTGCAATGTGCTGTCTGTATCTGTGGGGGTAGATCCGAGGACTTTGAAACTGTTAAAGAACTGGAACAGGATAACTTCTTGTCATGTCATCTCTTTAACCAGGCTTTGGGAGTATGCGATCAGAACATCAGGGATTCAGATTGGCAAAAATATAAATCACAGGACAACAAAGATGCCTGGTCATGCTGATGATCTGGATGTCATGGAAAGAACTTTTTCTACACAGAAAAAAGGATTCATTCCTTGCTCTTACAAACGAATTATCTGAAATTAATTACCCGTAAATTTCTCAAATTTTTATTTTCGGACAAGAGAAAGTCTTGCGTCGCTCGATAGTCTGGTTTAATGGCAAAACAATATAATAACAAAGTGAGCTAAAACAAATATTTTTTAGTAATATTTGAATGCCTTAAAGCAATTTATTGTCTTTTTAATTGGAATGGTAAATTTAATCAATATGTGGAAACTGTTTTTATCACAAAAATTGTCAATTTTGTAGGAAATGAAGCAAATAAATTTAACATAAAATGCGAGTAAATACATTAAAACAAAAATCTTGTGTTAAAGAGAAGAAAACAACGATTTTGTGTAGGTGATTAGATTATAAACCAATACCAGTAACACAAGAAAAAAAAAAAAAACATCTCTGAAACAACTCCTTGATCCATAAACTGAATGGAATAGAATATAGAAAATAATTTTTTACTTACTGTATTGTGCTTGAGAAGATATTCAGAAGCCTGCTCTTCAGCAACTCCACCGATCTCACCAATCATAATAATCCCTTTGGTCGCAGGGTCATTGAGAAACACTTCAAGGCAGTCAATAAAGTCTGTTCCATTGAATGGATCACCACCGATGCCGATGCACAATGTCTGCCCTAGTCCAACCTGAAGTTAAAAAGAAAAAATATTATGAAACACTTCGCAAAAATGCTACAACAATATTTTAATAAAAAACTCATTATTTACAATTTTTTTTTTGTTTTCAAAATATGATGATTCAACAGATTTGTCTTTGAGATCAGGGTACAGATTATCAACTCGACAATCTAGAGGACCCACTTGTCGCTTATCAAATGTAAACAAATCAGTAAGGTGATTATAAAAGCAAATAATAAATCAGAATGATAAACGAGGTTAAAGATCTTTCTTACATCCTATCAGAAAGCAATTGAATCTTCAATTTTAGAAAGGTCAAAAGTCAAAACTATCTAAATATACTTTCTGGGAATATTGAACACATTTGCATTAGAATTTTATCATATAACACCTTTAATTTATAGAATTGTCAGGTTTCAAATATTAGTTTTGAGGCATATAGCCTTTCTAAAATAAATAATTCAATTAATCTTCTTATACATTTTTTTTGCATGTACATATTGATAATATCAAGGCATTTATATAACAGAAATATTACACTTAACGCAACTCGCTATTCAATTTTGAGGTCAAAAAGCAGTACACGACCCAGAAAGTAAAACATAAAATCTTTCCTGTATGTAAAAATAATGTAATAGATTTATATTATAATAAAACACAAACTCAAAAACACATCAATATTTATTTCATCATATGAAAGGTGATTTTCTGTTGTTTTTTTTTGTGTTTTTTTTTGGTAATTATATATTAATATCTGGAGAGAGATTTAAGCAATAGATATCTTTCTATATATGGGTCCCAATTTTGAAATAATATTTATTTACATACTTCAGAATAATCTATGACAATTTTATACAATTTTTCATAAAATTTAAGACAAATTTATAAATCTTGAAATCTCTGGCTCAATAAATATAAATTATACACAAAAAAGGCCAAATATGGTTTCCCGCACAAAGTTGAAGTCTATTAAACTTCCGATTACCATAATTTTGAAACTATTTTTTTGAATCGGTTGAAATTTTTTAATTTTTCATGTTTTTCTATTCACATAACTTGTAACAATGTACATGTGTAAGGCATCAATGTGGAATGGAACGGTCTAGTATAAAATTGTGTGAGAATTCTGAGCTGAAGTTCGTAATTTATTGATATAATCAAAATTTACCTGCGTAGTCTGGTGAACAGCTTCATATGTCAATGTTCCAGATCGAGAAACAATACCTACAACTCCTCTTCGGTGGATGTGACCAGGCATAATACCAATCTTACACTGAAAAAACAACATACAATATAGAAAATGGGACAATAACTTCACAACTACAGAGAATTGCATCTCTAGAATATGTTAGAATAATATGATTTTTTAAAAAATTGATAAACCACATGACAAAAATAATTAAAACTTGTTACCTGTTCTGGAGCGATAATGCCTGGGCAGTTAGGTCCGATCAAACGTGATTTATTTTGCCTGATTAACTTGTGTTTCACCCTGACCATATCATGCTGCGGAATACCTTCAGTAATACAGACGATCAAAGGCATTTCGGCATCGATAGCTTCAATAATAGCTTTCGCGGCACCTGGAGGTGGTACATAGATCACAGTAGCATGAGCTCCAGTCGCTTCTTTAGCCTGCAAAGTTAAGATTTAGTTTTATTTACATTATAATTATCTTTAAATTTTAACTAAACAAATTTAATAAAACACAATTTAAAAACATTGTATTTATTATAATACTCATGAAAATAAAAAGAACGACCAAATTAACCTATAATGGAGGGATGGGAGCCATACAATTACAAAGTTTATCCAGTAATATGAGCTGTTAACAGCAATATAGATATCGCTCAACTCACTGATCATAGACGTCATCTAGACATTTGGATATGTTAATAAGTATTTCCTTGCGTACCTTCTCCATATTTCCCTCTAGTGTTCCCAACCCTGTGCCTATAGGCACCCATTTTATCTGCAGGATGTCACGTGTACCTGCCTGACTTAACCTGTAACAGCGATCACTATGGTAGCCTTTAGCTGAATTACAAGTTGTAGCTATTCAACGAATTTTTTATATGAAATTTTGGTTAATTTTTTTAAATATCTAATAAATAATTAATATGATCATAGACTTTAGAAAATAGTCTAATGACAGTATAGCATTTTAAAAACAAGTCAATCAACATAATTTTTTTTTTTTTATTCCAAGAATGAAAACTCAATAGTTAAGTTAGTTATTTTGCATACAAAATACATAATTGCAAAGAGAAAAGACCGAAGAGAGGTGCCGATCATCTTACCTCAAACCCTCATAGACCGTTCCAATTATGCCTGCTCACCATATTTTCTTCAAATACCGCCATCAGCGGTTAAGAAAGCTTTAAGGAGGTTTTGATTACCAAAAGTCACACAAATAATTATAGTGTTGGTTTTATTTGTAAAAGCAATCCTTATAGACTATTACCATCAGATAACATTTCCAGAAGGTTACACTGATAAGGGCAAGGGTAGATAAAACATGTTCCCATGAAACATAAGTTAATTATAAAAAATACATGTAGCAGCCAGTAAATCTGTATTAATTTTAACAAACATAAGTCAACAGGTCCTTGCATGGGATTAATAGTTTCCAGAGTCTGCATTCAATAGGTTTTTGTTATTAAGAGTTTGGTACTATAAGGTTTATAATTAAATTTATCTTCAATAATAGCTTAATCACTAACAATATTCAAGAGTTTCACATTACGTTACTTAAGATAGTAAGTTGAAAGTAAATTAATTAAATATGGTTTGCTTTTGTTTTGTTTTTCTTTGTGAAAGATACTTGCAACAATATAAACTTTTATTCATTAAAATTTAAATGAATTGTAACAATAAAAAATGTTTACTACAACATATCTGATTTTGTATTTAAACTGATCAATAATCAATAATTTTAATTGTTTTCAACTGTAAACACTTCAACTCTAAAATATCAACTAGAAAGAAAAACATGTTTAAAAAATTAATTATAAATGATACCAAGAGATGACGATATAATATACCTCTTTAACGGTGTTGAAAACTGGAAGATTTAAATGAGTCTTTCCTCCTTTTCCAGGAGACACACCTCCAACTAATTTGGTACCATATTCTATAGCTTGTTTGCTATGAAATGTACCTTGTTTACCAGTGAAACCTTGACAAATAACTTTTGAATTGCTAGTAAGAACAAGGTTTTTTCTGCTACTGGTATAAGATGTGTTAGTCCTTACACAAGTAAATTGAGGAGCTGAAAATCAAACAATGGCATGTAAAAAAATGAATATAGAAAGAAAGTCTAAGTGGGTATGATAAACACAACTTCATTTACACAGCCTAGCACTAAACAATGTAAATTTAATATTCTGTAAACAATCAACTGTAGACCTTAAACCCAAAAAATCGGTGAGTATATTTCATTAATATGATTATGAATTAACCAAACTTAATCATTTTTTTGTTACAAACATTGAAATATATACAGATGTTGATAATTAGATAAAACAATCAACTTTAAAAGGTAAAAATAGACCTAGGCATATAAAACTAATCCCCAGCCAAAAGGGAGTATGTTAAAGACATTCGACACTAGAAATTTTCTAGTAAACACATTTACTTATAAATGTTTAAAAGAGTGAATAATCTTTTATAAAAAAAAATCTTTATCATCAGTTATATTTTAATACTTCATTATAAATATTTGATAATTATCACATAAGATATGGCCTAGTGACAAAATAATCTGAATAAAGATATCTTGAATCTTATGGCACAATAAATTTTAAAAAAGCAATAAGAAAGTTAGAATGCTATTACTGTCAAGGCTATGTTAACTTATCAATAGTGTTACAAGAAAAACCAATAAAAAAAAGGAGGCCAAAGTAAGACAAATAAATTCATAAAATGAAGAATCAAACATTTTAAATATTATAAACTTGTTTAAATAAACAAAAAATAATAAATATATAATTTTTAAGAGAAAATATTAATTGAAGGAAAAACAATGTTTTGATAAAATATGGAAATAAATGACAACAGTTCTACATGATAAAAAAAACATAGTTGAGAAGTGATATTGCAGAAAATATATTTTAACTTACTAATTAATCTTGAAAAAATTCTCCCTGTAGCTGCCATAGTAGTTTTCTTATGGGAAGGATTAAGCGAAGTTTAATATATTCCTAAATATGGCTATAATTAATACAAATATGAGGTTAAGAAATCTTAATAAAATACAATACTAGGACGTGGACGTGGGTCCCCTCAGCCTTACTTCAATAAAATTGTAAATCCAATAAAACCTTCACGCAGGGAACTAGATCCCTCGAGAAAGGACCTAGCAATCTACCGAACAGCTGATAGTCCAATGTCATCAGGATATTTTTGTAATTTATTCTCTTCCAAATTATAAAAAATTTATAATGATAGTTTTAAAATATAAAAATTTAATTTAGTTTTAATCAATTTTAGGCTAATTTTATAAAATCATTATGATGACATTTATAAACATAATTAATCAGTGCCCTAATATATTCAGATATTTCATAGTTAATCTCACGAAATCGAGAATTAAATTCATTCCATTATTCTCTAACACTAATTAATACTATAAAAACTGATTCGCCATTGCTTAAAATTAATTACTCGCCTTATCAATGAAAGTAAATTACTTCACCTAGCACAGGTGTCTGTTTTGTGTTTGTGTGGTACAAGCCATTAAAATATGGATCAATTCTTTTCAGTGAATTTAGCAAGACAGTCATTTCAATCATGACTCCTCAATTAGAGTTTAAAGAGAAAACCGTAGGGTTTCACATGAGTGTTGGAGATGTGAAATAACCCGAATTATGCAAAAATGGCCAATCGAAGACCAACATATTCTGTTTCATCAGAAGCTTTGTCTCCTAGTTTAGCCTCAGATCCTCTACGAGAACTATTCGAAGCTTGCAAAATCGGTGATATAAGCAAAGTTAAAAAGTTGATTAACTCTCAAACTGTTAATGCCAGAGATACAGCTGGTAGGAAGTCAACTCCATTGCATTTTGCTGCAGGTATTGAGCCATAGACACTGTATAAAATGACCAATTTGGTTTATTACTCGAGTTTTATATTCTTAAACTAATGAATAATTTTTAGGTTATGGTCGAAAAGACATAGTAGAGTTCCTTTTAGCTGCTGGTGCATCGATTCAAGCTCGTGATGATGGTGGACTTCATCCTTTACATAATGCTTGTTCCTTTGGACATGCTGATGTTGTTAGATTACTCTTAGAAGCTGGTGCAAATCCTAATACTCGAGACAATTGGAACTATACTCCGCTTCACGAAGCTGCCATAAAGGGCAAAATTGATGTTTGCATTGGTTGGTAATCGATTGGTATCTGATATACTATTAGTGCTCCTAGGACCTTATCGTCTAGCTTATAACTACTCTTGTCAAAATTCTTTCAACTTCTATTAGAAGTCAAGATTACGTTTCAGGTTTTGGTCTGATCTAACTCCTATTCTCACTCATTGTTGTTTTTAATGTTATTTGATTCTTTCTTTAACCACTAATTATTTAGCTCGATATTTTCTTAAAGTGGCATTTAATTAGTTATTAAAACTGTATAGCAACTAATATGCCATATGTGCTATGAGTAGTAAAATGTAACAGTTAATTTGTATGTCATGTCAGTGATCTAGATGTTTTTAGTTGACTTTGAAATAAAATTTTAATGTCTCTTGGAATTCTAAATTAATGTAGTAAATTCTTAATGTATTTGAAGTTTTTGATATGACAGATCTGTGTGACTTAAAAGGTTTTTTGAGACTGAATTTCAGTATTTTCTTAATAACTTCTCAAGTTTATTTCATAGTGCTTATTATTACTATAGTATTGGTGGTTGGGAATACAGTTTGCATGTCCTATTTGATTAGTATGTCAAGTGATTTTTGCATTGTAAGCTAGAGACTGGAAAAACAATAAATTAATTTCTGTTAACATTTAGTTTTAAGTGTATTTATATTAATTGGCCATATTGTATTTCTGGAAGATGTAATGTGATAACTGGCTTCTATGGGAATCTTTTTCTACTAACTCTATTCATGGTGTGTGTGTGTTTTGTTTTGTTTAATTGGTCTGTCACTCAAATAATTTTGTGTTTGCAATCTTTATTAATAAGGCTAATAGGCTTTGTCTATCAGATTAGGCGATGTCTTGATATTTGCCTGGTCTCAAGATGCTTGTCTTGTTTTGTTTGAGAATTGAACATTAGTTAACTCTGGAATACTATACAATGATTAAAACAATACCTTTATAACATTTAAGTAGTTGCTTTTATTAATAACCCCTTTTTGTTTTTCCAATTAATAGAATGTTTTCTTTATATTTGATTAATTTTTTTTTTTCATTTAATAATGATTAACATTGAATATCAGTAAATATTCAGAACAATCACATTGGGTTTTGGTGGTAGAATGTCGATTAGCCGCATATACAGAATGCTTGTTTACAGTTAGGTGTCTTAATCTAATAATTCTCACTCCCTTCATTTCTTGCTGGTGAACAAAGATAAATAACAGCACGAACTGGCTTCATAACTGTAGGTATTAGACACCATTTAGAAGTGCAAGTTTTCTTCACCTTTCCGTTAAAATGTTGATTTAAGAGATATATTTACATATATATTTGTTAATTTTATATGGGTATTATTATATGTATGAGATAAGATATGATCATTATAGATATTTATGAAATTGTAAATCCTATGTTAAAAATTAATTTTTTTTTATTTAGTCTGTTGTTGAACTAATACGAAAAAAAGAACTGTTGTTAAAATGCTGGACAGGCAGATGAAGAACACTAAGCCCTTATAAATGGGACCTAATATATAACTTAGTTATGTATAACTCAGCTTATGTTGTTACCGAACCGTAATCAAGCATTCTGAATAGACGTCCTAATCCCATCCTACCACCGATATTAATCCTGAATATTTACAATATCCAAAGTCTAAATTTTTTTCTTTATTTATGTTTCATTTTCAGCCCTACTGCAGCATGGTGCTGATGCTACAATCCGAAATACCGAAGGTAAAACCCCTTTAGAAGTTGCTGATTCTGCAACAAGGTCTGTTTTAACAGGAGATTATCGTAAGGAAGAGGTTTTAGAGGCTGCTAGAACTGGAAATGAAGAAAGGTCTGTGTTGATTTTATTTTATGTGTTTTTTCAATCGTATTTAAATATATGTCAACCTATTAAACACACAAGCAATTTTTTATTTTTTTGTTATTTTTATATACTTTCGGATATTTGATATCCCATTTTCATCAATTTAACTGTTTATTTTATCCCAAATAGACTTTTACAAACACTTATTATTACTTAATTAAGAAACTGGACACTTACAATTACATGCTACAAAGTAGTATTGACGTTATTTAGAAAAAATGAGCAATTCTTTCCAATCATATGGCAACATCTTTCAAGTCTCAGCCCAAAAATAAAAAATAGAATTATATTAAAATTATAATTTGGCAGGTTTTGTGGAGGCCATAATGATTTATAAGATATATATAAATTAAAATTTATAGTCAAAAAGAATGAGAATTAAAATTAATATTAGAAAAATATAAATTTATAATTAATGACTGTGAAAAATTAGTTATATAGTAAAAATAATAATATTTATACTTTATTAATAATAAATAAATAACACTAAACCAACTTTAAATATCATTCATGTACATTTTAAAACCTGTTTTTGTTCCATTATTAAACATAAGAAAAAAATCAACACAAAATTAAAAAATGCTAAAACTGTTGGAGTAGCTTTTAAAAATAATTTTCATGGGAAATTTAAAATTATTTTTCTTGCAGAGAATATGGTACGGATCCTCATATATTAAATTTTTTACCGACTTACATAAATAATTATATATATATATATTGTAGTAAATGAGACCATGGATGGATTTAGTTTTGTTGAATATCTTAAGAACAATATTCATATATTTATAAATAAGTTAAGCTTCAATATACATTTTATTACAAAAAAAATAAATTAAAAAATAAACGTTCTTAGTATAATTCATGTCCTCTATCTTCTTTCTTCAGAATCCTTTTATTTAAAGTTGACACAGTGTTAGTTTAGTAATTTACTGAACTGCATTCCGAAACAACTCTGCCCCACTTTCTCGCTACTTGTTGACAGTTTTATATGGTATCGTTCTGTTATCAATCAAACTAAGAAGAATAAACCTATTTTAATTTAATTTTTCTTGTTTTACCGTCATTATTTTTATATACCCATGCTTATATTTTATTCTTTATTTTAAAATTAACTTATTTTCATGTTGTTGATCCAATGTCATTGAAAATTTATTTTTTAATATGTTTGGAAACATTTGAATGTTTTATTCTATTCCAGTGCTTTAAACACTGCACATTTGATTTAATACACTTTTGATATTTGATTTCAGTTTGTTTTATATGCTGAAATTAATATACATAATTTTAATGCATCGTTAACTTGATTCTAATAATATTTCAATTTCATATAAAATTATTAGATATAATTTTGAATTATCATGTAATTAAACTCTGATCAATTTTACCTTCTTAATAAATTTTATGAAATTATTTAATTAAACTGTGGCTATGATTTAAAGTTTACAGTATATTAAATTAATACTTATCTGATTATTACAAATTTTGGTAAAACATGAGGTTATTTAACATAGGTGCAATAGTGAACGTATTATCCTTTCTGTTGATAGATTGTTACAATTGCTCACCCCTAATAACGTTAACTGTCACGCCAGTGACGGGCGAAGGTCTACCCCTCTTCACTTGGCCGCTGGTTACAATAGGAGCAGGGTAGTTCAGCTGTTACTCCAACACGGTGCCGACGTTCATGCTAAAGATAAAGGGTTAGTATCTTTTTGTTCAAAATTAACATCATATGAAATTTAAAAAAAAAATTGTCTTCGAATTCGTATAAAGTTATATGTTATCCGGTACTTTCTCTAATTGTTATGTTTGAAAGTGTAACACTACTGTAGATAAATACAACATATTTACTTTACAAACATACTAAAGATCTATTTATAAGGCAAAAAGTTTACTGTTTTAAATAATAAGTTTTTAGATAAAATGTATTTATATGTTGTATGCAACTATCATGCAAAAATGAGTCGAATCATTTACAGTAGCCTTGTCCATATATGGACTGCCCATTTAAATAATACTTATGTATATATAAAAAAAAAAAAAAAAAAAACTAATTTCTATTTTAATCTAAAATAAAACATAAGAATACAAGTTTTTGTTATGATATATTATATACGTTGGGTAAAACCCACAGTTTTCGACACCCTTAAGGAAACTTAAAAAGTTGTTTGTCCAGTTTTCAATCACATGGGTGCTTGATCCAACAATTTCGGCTCTGTTGAATGATTAAAGATTTCTAATTTCAAAATATATATGTGAAACAGTGCCTTTCATTTATAGTAAAATAGAAAAATGTACACCATTTTTCCAGCTTTTGGAACTCTCTGATGTGCCAGTTTCGACACCCCTTATCCAATTTTCAAAAATCTAAAGAATTAAATCTTGCAACCTCCATAATGAAAGTACTACAATGATATTTTGCAGGAATGTGTTTTTTTTGCCAAAAATATAATCACATCCTTCCCGGGCGGCACCTGTCGGGTTTTTAATATTTAGCAATTTTCGTTGACCTATTGGACTGAATAAATAGTGGGAGATCCTAGAATATATGAGTGAAGAAGGGATTCTCGCTTTTGTCAGTTCTAGACCATTCTCAAAACGTAATATTCTTCATTAACTGCAATGGATGCCAAAAACTGGATGGGATACTGACAACTGAGGGGGAGGAGTTTGCCTTAGGTAAACAACTTTTGTCATTTTTACAATGACAATTGGTTGCTTATGTAAAAAAAATATATATAATAATAATAATAAAGCAACATAAAAAAAACTATTTAACTAACAGCTGAAGTTGCTCCTGCTTATCTAAGACTTAACAAACATATCAACAACTGCCCTTTATTTAGAGGTAGGTACTTTTTGTCCAGGGGGCTGCTCCTGACTGCTATCTGCCAATGTTTATAACCTGAACACTGATAACTCCCATAACGCAGTGATAAGCCTTCTCCTACTTCATATCTTTGTATTATTGTATTAAATTCGTATTATTGAAAGTGTTAACAGATACAAAAACAAATGTAATAACAAAAAAAATACTTTTATTTGACGACACATATATTAATGAAATAATAAAAAAAACACATTTTAAAAGAACATATTTACATAGAAAAGAAAAAATATCAACACTATAAACAACATATATACAAATAATTTTCAGTTAATTATTCACTTCTTTTGGTCTTATTTATTTTGGAGGGCAAAATTGTTTTATGATTTTTAAAATAGCGATGAACGGGTCCTCTTCTCTGTGAGCCCGCCGCCACAAAAATTCGCACAAATATGAATCGAGGTGTTGTCTGACAGTTCCTCCATGTATTTAATTTCTCCACTCGTTTTGTGTCACAAGTCTTACGAAAGCATCTCCATTTGGCCTTCTTGGTTAACTTCATTCGATGACCTCGTTCACACAATTTCACGTCGGCAAGTACCCCAAAATTTTGAAAATACTGAATTGCCTGTTCTTCTGAAGACGGTAAATCCCATATTCTAAGAAGATCCATAATATGACAAAAATAAATGGAAAAAAAAAATGTTAAATAAACACAAACGGGCCAAAAACTAAAAATAATGAAAAATAAACACAAACGGGCCAAAAGTAAACAATTTAACAAGTGAACGTAATAAGGGAATAACTGAAAACTAAACAATGCAATAACTCAAAAGTTTGGCGGGATAAGAAGAGGGAGGTTATGTGATGTGACTTTAGATAAGATAGATAAGAAGTGAGGTTTCAAAATGGACCTCTAGACACAAAGTACCTAGAGATATCAAAAGTTATACCTAGCTCCAAAAATAATCATTCTCTTACTTAATATTTAATTAACTCAAAACATTTATTTAGTTTGTTTTTATATCTAGAATTATTACTAGGAGACCATAATTTTTTTTAGTTACAAAAAAATTAAATTACACTTTTGCCAAATAAATTATGTTTAATGGATAGAAGAAAAGTTGGGGTGATCAGTCAAATAAGAAGGCAAAAATAAATGATACTATTTATTTTGACATTAGCCGACGTTTCGACCTGAAGTTCAGGCCATCATCAGGGTTGAGAAAAGAACCAGATAACAAGGTATGAGAAACATAAGTAGTGTAGGTAAAAAAAATTAAAGTAAAATTCAGTTGTTAGAATAATGACAATAGTAAGAACAAAGAGATAAATAATAATAACCGTTACAAAGTGTGGAATGATGAAGTAAACATAATGAAAAAAAAAAGGGTGACATAATTATTAAAATGGGAATCTTAAAATAAAATGTAAAAACAGAAAAATATGAAGTTATATAAGATTCTATATTAAATTTTTAAACTTCATCATTCCACACTTTGTACCGCTTATTATCATTTATCTCTTTGTTCTTACTATTGTCATTATTCTAACAACTGAATTTTACTTTAATTTTTTTTTACCTACACTACTTATGTTTCTCATACCTTGTTATCTGGTTCTTTTCTTAATCCTGATGATGGCCTGAACTTCAGGTCGAAACGTCGGCTAATGTCAAAATAAATAGTATCATTTATTTTTGCCTTCTTATTTGACTGATCACCCCAACTATTCTTCTCTCCATTACTCACGACAGTCAACCATTTACCAATTATATTTAAAATTGTTTATAGTTTAACTGATTTACTAATTTTTATTTTATCCTTATTCAGGGGCCTCGTTCCTTTGCATAATGCGTGTTCCTATGGCCACTTTGAGGTGACGGAAATGCTAGTGAAAGCAGGTGCTAACGTCAATGCGATGGACCTCTGGCAGTTTACTCCTCTGCACGAGGCGGCTTCCAAGTCGAGACTTGAAGTCTCCTCGCTCCTTTTGAGTCACGGCGCCGACCCAACTTTACTCAACTGTCATTCTAAGAGTGCTATAGACGTTGCACCAACAAGGGAGCTTCAGGAACGGCTTGCATGTAAGTAATGAAGTTTCTTTTTTTTTTTTTTTATTTATTTATTTATATGATATTTACAACTGTATACAAAAAATACATCTGGTAAATTCGCACATGGATATAATGACATGAAACACATGTTGAGAAACTACCCATTGGTAGCACTCTAATAATATGTCTATATTAGGAGATCACGTGGCCATCTTCTTTTCAGACACCTCGGAGGGTTATCAGAAATTGAATAGGAAGCAAGGTTAGAAACAAGAGGGTTGGAATGGTTATGAAGTTCATTATGGAAGGACAGAAATCTGGATTGGGCTAAATCTGATACATAAGGAACATTAAGGTCATTATGGATGGTTTTATTTGTAACAAAGTAAGGAGTATTGAGGATTTTAAAAAAGGATTTTGGATTGTAAGGATTGGATGCGAGAGGAATTTGACGGTTTGGTGGAGCCCCATAGCTCAACTCCGTAAGTCCAAATAGGCCTTATTATAGTCATGTAAATGAGTCTTTTATAATTAATTGGGAGATTAGAGCGTTTGTCTAGTAAGTGGTGAAGTAGTCGGAAACGTCGAGCTGTTTCTTGTCGTTTCAGTTTGGTATGAGGATTTCAAGTTAGACGTTTGTCCAGATGGAGTCCTAGGTAACAGTAATGAAGTTAATTTTTTTTTTAGTTTATCCAATCATTTAATTCAATATATAGTTTAAAATTTTTTATAAATATTATTATTGATTTATAGTTATTGTTGAAAATACAGGACGGTCTTGATAATCCAAGCAGGCAGATTGCATAGCCTATTTTGAATATCAAAGGTTAAATTTAAAACGATGGAAAAATTGCACTAGGTAACGAAAAAATTAGTATTATCAGTTAAATATAAATACATCGCAAACTAAAAAATCATTTCTGAATTTGATCATATAATGTATGTTGATTTCCTGATTTTGTTACAAAAGAAAATGCTTGATCTCGCAAATTTCTTAAAAGCATTAGGCTTAGGTAGTCGACATTGTATCCATTCGCCCGCTCAAAGCAACTGGCTTTATGGTGATTCCATGGCTTATCTATAATGAAACATTAAGAAATTTATGTATAAATTTAAAATATTTGTAAAGAAATTTTCTAATGAAATATAAATTAAAATGGTGCTTTTTAAATTATCAAGCCAACCTTTAATGGTATTATAACCTGTTTTGTCATCCTTAAAAAACAATTATTTAAGAAAAACTGCCTTTTCAGCTAATATAATCCTCAGAATTCAGACACCCTTGTAATCTCTATTGCAAAATCCACATATCAAGAGATTCATCAATTTCAGGATTACTGCTCAGTTTTAATGTTTCTTTTTAAAGATACAACAATACATTTTCAACATTACCACTTGAAGCAATTCCAGTAATATTTATTGAGAAGCAGAGCCATTTCCATTTTGTTTCGCGTTAGTCAACTTTAACATTTTTTTCTATCTTGTTCGGATTACCAGGGTTTGGTTAAAAAAAAAAAAAAAAAAAAAAAAATTAATGCTAGATTACTAGGGTAGGGGTTCCTATTATCGAAACTGCCCTGTATTCATTTTTTTTTTTTTGTTTTTTTTTATAGGATCACTTACAATTTATATCTTAGATCACTTACAACTTTTTTACAGTTTTTGTTTTGTTTTATTTCGACTTATTTTAGGCTTCATTTGAATTACTTTTTGTGTTTATTTAAAAAAATTATTTTAGTTATCAAAAGTTACTCAAAATAAAAAATCAGCCATTATAGCTGACAAGACTATTTGTTAAGCATTACGATTAACAAGTCCTATAAATTAATATAACTGATTAAATTAAAGTCATTAAGTGCCTCTATTGATGGAGCTAAACTTAATTATTCTCCCATTATGGTTCGGAAATGTTGTTTATCTCCAAACTAAACTAAACTATCGAGCAGAACAAGGTGGTCTTTGAGAGGAAGATTATGCCTAAAACCTTTGGAATTGTGATGATTGGCAAGGTATAGAGGTATCCTTTAAGTCAGGAGTTCGAAGATCTATTCAAGAAGCTAGAATTGATCCAGTTTATGAGACTTAGTCATTAAGGTGTGCCAGGCAAATCGCTCCAACAGCTGAAAATGGTCTGCTAAAGAAAACAATGAAAGAGGTACTTCACATGGATCAAGGCGCACAGGAAGATCATAGCTTCGATGAAATGACAGTGTCGTGCAGAATGTCAAGACTTGAAATTCATTTGTAGAGTCGACTTTATGATCATACAAATAATGCATTTATATATCTTTATTAATTTATTAACTAATCTACTTCTACTTTTAAAATAGAATTTTAATATTACAAAAAAAATTAAAATTTATTTATTATTTGTGTTATTGTAGATGAATACAAAGGCCATTGCTTTCTCGATGCCTGTCGTCAAGCCGACCCGTCTCGTCTGAAGAAATTAATTTCTTCCGAAATAGTCAATTTCAAGCACCCGTACACAGGAGATACTCCTTTGGTAAGTGTAGCATATATAATATATATATGCTGTCTTTCAGCATAAGGCATTTTGAACTTGATCAAAATTAGTATACGAACATATATTTGGCAATATTTCAAAAATCCAAATGTCTTCTATACATAAATTTCAATTTTATTTTGAACTATACCTATCTTTATTTTAAGTTCTTAAGTTATTAATTATTTACTGAATGAACATGATCCCAAGACAAACTAGCTTATCAACCCAAGAAGACTATTTCAGTTTTTCGAGACTGCAGGAATTATGCTCTCATAGGAGTGACTTTAAATACAGACGTAAATAGGCCTTCATGGCCGCGGTGCATTTTTGCCGCACAGAAAAAAAAAAAAAAAAAATATATATATATATATTGTAATGTCAACATTACATGGTATGTAAATAGTGGCGCGAAAGTGGCAAGAAGATGAACTACAGGGAAGAAGAGGGGGAAGCAAGCTCATGTGATAGAGACTGCGACGGGCCGCCAAGAGGGGAGGTGCTAGCGGCCAGGGGAGAAGATTATGAGCCGCCAAGAGAAGATGTGATAAGCTGTCAAGAGAGAAGCCAGCAACTTGAGAAAATAGAAACAGCCACAAAGTTTAGACTGGGACAATAAAGGTTTTTGAAGTATAATTTTTAATGTATGTATCTCGTTTCTTATATGTATTTATTAATTGGTAAATTATATTTATTAAATGTGAATGAGTGTTCAGTTGTCAGAACCCAACCTGAGATGTATATTATATGTGTAAAATAAATAAGATATTCAAAAAGAATCTCGTTGTTTTGATTTATGCTGACAAGAGGGAATGTTACAACATGGCGCCCAACGTGGGGCTTTTGAGTACGTCACAATATGGCGTCCTACTAGCATGGTTTTTAAAAAAACGTATGTAGTCACGACAACTGAACACGCAATCTTTGTTATTTAATTTTTTTTTTTTTGTTAATAATTTTTTAGTAATATGGAGAATAAGCAGAGAGAGAAGTTAGAGATCTTAATAATATAATTCTTAGAAAATCTAATGGGAATGTTGTTAGTGTAGAAAATAAGGAAGAGTCAGTTGTACAAAGCCTACTTGATGAAAATAGACAGTGTGAAAACGGAAGTGAAAGTCTGTTGGGATTAAATAAAATAAATTAGTTTAGTGAAAATAATATGGAGCGTAAAAAAATAGATATAAATAGTAGCAACAATTTCAGTTGTGCTGATGTCCGTGGTATGCTTCAACTAATAATTACTGTTCTTCATGAGATTGAAAACAAGCAAACCCAAATGATTGCAAATATGACATCCAAATATGAAGTCCAAGAAACTACACTGCATGAAAAAAGTTCTAATAATGAACAGGAAATTTTGAAACAAGATTGTGATAACCTAGAAACCCAAATTATTGCAAATATAACTGAAGTTCAAGAAACTAAACTGGCTGAGAAAACTACTATTGGTCACTCAGAAAGTGATTAGAAGCAAATTGTTACTGAAGAGCTTAACAAAATTAATTCTTCACTTGATATTGGATCAGAAAATCTCTTAAGAAAGGATGAAGAAACTCTTGAAGAAAAATTAGTGACAACAGAATTTCTAGTAGAAACTCATACAGTTAATCTTATAGATATTAAGAAAGAACTTCTCAAGTTTCAAATTGAGTTCATAGGAGTAAAATCCAGCAAAGAAAAGCATGGTAATTATTTTATTTCAGAAGTTCCTTTAATTCCAGAAAAGTTAACTCTACGATTTAAAGATGAGTTAGGTAAGTTTGATGACTGGAGTAAGAAAAGAACAGGATTATATGAAGTGTCGTTCCGTGGACTTACTAAGTATAATTTTGAGTGTAATGGATTACCAATCGTCCTACTTATTCTAGAATATGAGTTTTATGGGGGTTATATGATTCTGGATCATGTTAGGGCAGGTCGCTCATTATGTTGTAGTGAGACACGGTAGTCTTTATCCTATCCAGAGGATAAAAAAGGGTTTTAAATTAGCGTCCCTTCCGTTGACGAGCTAGAGAGTCCTGGCGAAACCATCGTCAGGTTACCCATTCTGGATACTTGTAAATAATTAGCTTTAAATATATTGTAAATAGTCAATTACATTGTTGGTAGATAGGATAATAGATTAATATATAAAAGTTAAATAAGTTGTTTTGGCCGGATATTGCTAGCTAAAATCCATATTTTAGAAGAAAGTTTAAAAAATTGTCTTAATTAATTAGTGTCTTCTCTCTGATTATTCCTATAATGCAAGTTAAAATATATTTTTGAATGTTATATGTAATTTAAACAGTTAATTTGTAAGTTAACTATACATAAGATATGGGAATTGTACAGTAAAATTCTTTTGGTAAATATTGTATTTAGCTTATTTTATTATTTGTATATCAATCTATGTTTCCTGTACATAAATTAGATGAACAAGTTAAGTAATTACTGTATGTAGATTAAGGTAATATAGTGTAAATAATTCAATAATTTTGTATATAAAATTGTAAATGTTTGATAACCAGGTTGGGAAATCTATTGTAAAAAGTGTGAATGTCAAAAGTTAAATTTATTATTTTATATGAAAAAAAAAAGAAAAATGTAAATATTGCACCGAATTTTAAATTTTTATTTTTTTTTTAAACTGGAACAGAGGAGAAATGTAATGTCAACATTACATGGTATGTAAATAGTGGCGCGAAAGTGGCAAGAAGATGAACTACAGGGAAGAAGAGGGGGAAGCAAGCTCATGTGACAGAGACTGCGACGGGCCGCCAAGAGGGGAGGTGCTAACGGCCAGGGGAGAAGATTATGAGCCGCCAAGAGAAGATGTGATAAGCTGTCAAGAGAGAAGCCAGCAACTTGAGAAAATAGAAACAGCCACAAAGTTTAGACTGGGACAATAAAGGTTTTTGAAGTATAATTTTTAATGTATGTATCTCGTTTCTTATATGTATTTATTAATTGGTAAATTATATTTATTAAATGTGAATGAGTGTTCAGTTGTCAGAACCCAACCTGAGATGTATATTATATGTGTAAAATAAATAAGATATTCAAAAAGAATCTCGTTGTTTTGATTTATGTTCACAAAGGGAACATTACAATATATATAAGTAGGAAATCAAGGAGCTAAAGTAGGAAATGAGCAATATCCTGGTAAAATGTCTAGCTTTTGCGGATGACTTGGCCTTATTGCCAGAGTCGGAGGAAGAGGCGATTAGACAGATAAATTCTCTGAAAAAAATAGCTGAGAAAACTGGACTTAAAATCTCCTTCCAGAAGACTAAATTTATGACCACAAATCCCAACTTTAGGAAGACAGAAATAAAAACAGAATTCGGTAAAATCAAGGTTGTTAAAAGCTTTAAATATCTGGGCGAAATAATCAGCAGAAAGAAAGCATGGAATATAGAATTAAAAATTTGGAGAAATTATGCTACTTAACAAGTAGCATTTATAATAAAAAATGCCTCTCCAAAAAATCCAAAATCATGCACTACGATACAGTTGTAAAGCCAGTGATAATGTACGGAACGGAGACAATGTTCTTTCCCAGTTTGGAGAAGCTGCTGAAAATAGAAAGAAGGATTCTTAGAAGAATCCATGGGCCCAAAATAACACCAGAAGGATATAGACTGAAATCCAATAAGGAGATTTACAGTGAAACCTCTGATTTGGAAATGGAAATGAGGGTAAGAAGACTTAGGTTTTATGGACACATGCAAAGGATGACCGAGGAGAGATTAAACAAGAAGATTTTCAGTAGGATTATGGGATACAAGTTTTAACCATGGATATACGGTACAAATAAAACAGGAAATTCAGAGGCTTGGGATAACACGGGAATTATGTGAGGATAGGACAGAATACAAGAAATTCCTGAAAAGTACGGTGCATACGGTGGACAGTAAGGAACTTCCGTCCAGGAGGAAGTGGACGGAGGAGAGGAAGAAAAAATTTAGCGATATCCTCAAGCAGAGATGGGCAGAAAAGAGAAAATTGAAAAAGAAACCAGTTTCATAGTCGCGTAGTCCTTCAGGGCTGTTTCGCGTCAAATAAATAATAATATATATATATATATATATATATATATATATATATATATATATATATATATATATATATATATATATATATAAACATGTTCATACAGTGGACTCTAGCTAATCCAGACTAATTAAAATCAAGGGAGTTTCATATTAGCGAAAAATTTGGATTACTGAACAGGGATAAAAGGTCATTTCATAAATAACCAGTCAATGTAAAACCAAAAATTATAAATTTTACGTGAAAATATTTTTACAATAATTAATCATTGTTCAGAAATTGAATGTTGAATTTTTCGCAATTTCGTACTAAATATTAATTTAATGATAAGGTTTTTATTATATTAGCAGACTATATCTGCTGATGAAGAATTTAGAAAATAAATACGCTTCCAAATTTTAATAATTTAAGCTTAGTTTTTATTCTGAATAAAAGGAGTTGGCATTTTTAACTAGGTTATTTAAGCCTCAGCAAATATGGTGTTGATAAACAGTTTTATTGAATTTATATAGGTTTATATGTACCATACATAAAATCAAATCTACAATTTTTTTGGGGGGAAGATTGTTCTGATTATGGACTGGTCCAGATTAGTGGGAGTCCACTGTATTTTAGTTTCTTATACAATTGATGTTCATAGATTAAGATTCTCTTACTCCATTATAAAACGTTTTTTCCATAAAAATTGACCCTCGTATTTTTTAGATTCGGTATATTAAGTCTTCAAATATTGCTTGTTGTATGAATTTTTTTTTTTTTTTTCAGCATGCAGCTTGTTCATCTCCTTATCCTAAGAGGAAGCAAATAATGGAGACATTGGTCCGTAAAGGTGCCCACTTGAACGAAAAGAATAAAGATATGCTGACTCCATTACATCTAGCTACTGATATGAGCCATCACGACGTTATGGATACTCTCCTGAGGTTAGGTGCTAAAGTGAATGCTTTGGACGCTTTGGGTCAAACAGGTTTGTAACCATTATCAAAATATGTCTATGATTAGCCATTTCTGGTACAAAGTACTATTATTCATACAAAGTAATTCAAGTTAAAAATATTCAGTAGAAAAAAGGCCTTTTTAGTCTCGATAATTAAAATACTTGATTTTAAATTTATCCAAATTTTCGCCTCTTCAGAGATAAAATCTGACTTCACAATTTATTATTGTGAATTTTCAAGGAGCAGGGTTGCTCAGTGAGTTGGCACTGACTTCCAGAGCTCAATGTCCCAGGTTCGAATCTGGCCGATGGACTAGTAATTTTTCATCAACCGTGGATCGATCCTGTGGCCGGGGGACTCTTCTGGGGCATTCCCTACCTTTATAAAGTGGGTAATCTTAATTAAATAATTAATCAAGGGGATTAAGGTAGGCAGGGCATGTAGTTCGTAGCAATCCATCTGGAAGCCTCAACGTAACAATGAACGCCTCAATAGAAGGCAAAAGACCACGTGGATGGCCAAAAAACAGATGGATACATAGAATCAACAAAGATACAATAGAGCTACGTGCAGATAAATGAAAAGAAATAGCCCAAGACAGGCAGAGATGTAGCAGGATTGTTAAGGCGGAAACAGATCTACATGGTCTGTGATACCAACAGAAAAAAAAAAGTTTCAATTTAATTATACATACTCTTCTGTTTCTCTGTATATCTATTCAATTATATTCTTTTTAGCTGCTCAATCTGTATTAAATATTATTCAATTTTATTCGGATTCATTTTTTAATTCAAAGCTTCACCTCATTTATTCTCAGCCTTAGTTGTTTTATGCGTACTTCTTATTTATGTATATATTTTTTATTTGAGCTATTTATTCATTTTATGTTTACTATTTATTTTTTTCTCTTTGCTTATTTCTTTCATTATTATCCTCATGTTATGACAACTATAACCCACACAGTTGGGTCAAAATATCCACAACTAGAATAAAAAAAATTAAAAATCACTCAACAAAAATATATCTATATTATTTTTCTTTCTTTTTGTAACAGATTTTTATATAAATTCAGTAACACTATGAATAATCTCTTGATTGTTCTGATTTGATAGCCATATTTAAATAAAGCCATCTTTTTTTTTTTTTTATTCAATTGTATTTATTTAAATATTGATAATGAACATACGCTGTATGATATATTATATCCAAAAGGTAACTCATTCGATTTATCAATAATTAATTAATGGTTTTATATTAATTAGATTCAGAATTAAATAATTTAGAAGATCATAAAAAATATAAAATCATTTGAGAATGGTACTATTTGTTGTTTATTTAATTTAAAGATCATTTCTTTATTACAGCCCTTCATAGGTGCGCCCGAGAAGATAATATTCAGGCATGTAGGATATTACTGTCCTATTCCGTAGACACGACCATTGTTTCTCTACAAGGTTACACTGCGCTGCAAGTAGCTGCGGAAAATGTTCATAAAATATTACAAGGTATGTGATTCCCTCCTCTTTTATTTTATTTTTTTTTATAGTCATTCATTTATTTTTATTTGTTTTTATTATTTTATTTTATTTTTTTGTATGTTTTATCTACACTATAGTGCGGTATATCCCTTTTCTGCCTCTTAGGAGCAATAGATTTTAATGAATAGGGTATCAAACCAAAGGAAATTTTATGAAGAATTGACAAATTCTAATTTCGATCCTTAAATATCTACAACTACTTTAATATATGTTATCGATAAAATTAGAAGATTTTAACCTCAGATAGCTTCAATTTAAAAGGCACATAGAGGAGAAAGGTTTTGAAATATTTAAGGCATCTTGAATAATATAGAAAGAATATTTTTAATAGTTTAAATAAATTTTTAAAGATATCCAGCAATTGCTTTTGTACTCTTAGTAAAATCATGTAAAGATGGAGATTTTCATGTGTTGGAAGGCATCATAAAATCCTTGCATATGCAAATGTTATAACTGTCTTTTGAAAAAACTAAGAGGACATTGAGAAACTTGCTGAGACTCTGATAAGAGAAGCAGAGCAGCCTATAAGGAATCTAAGATAAAACAAAATATATGATGATAAACCGAAAATTTCATCCTAATAACAGGATCTGCATAGGAGGAAAGTCATTTCCGATAGTTGACAAATTCAAATATCTCGACTCCACAATAACTCAAAATTACCAACAGTCGGAAATAGACTAGTATATAACAAGCCCAGAGCTTCTCTTTTTGAAAGATATTGAAATCTCATATTAAGGTTGTACAATGTTATAATAAAGTCAGTTCTAATAAACAAGAAAAACTGAAAGATTTGAGAGAAAATCATCCGCATGATAACGGAGCAATCTGAAACCATAGCATTAACACATGAAGGAACAGGAACATGAAAGAACTACAATAATATTGCATGGCAGCTCAAATACGTTAAGTTGCTAAACCACACAGAATATTCAATCAATCAACAAATAATATTTTAAAAAACAAGAGAGAGTTAGATAGGGTCACTGCAACAGCTAATATATCAAGAACATTATACAGGATCAAATAAGCGAAAGACAAGATCAATCAATATATGTGGTGATGGAGGATTCCCTAAGAGTCTGAACTAATAGCCTGCATCTGCTCTCTTCCAAAATCGAGCCTCTGCATAAAATTACTTGTAGTACGAGGGATGGTTCCTCTACTTCCGAACCATAGCCCTTTAACTAAGAATTATCTTTTGCTGAATTCATCTCTATATTTTTCCTTTAAGTAGGGTACGCATCTCTTATAAATATCCTCCTTCTCTGCCTGTGCCCTGAAGTCTTGATCCTGATTATTTGTTTCAAATCTGATCGTGGGATCCACTATTAGTGCCTCCTTTTCTGTCGCATTGAACGCTAAAATGTCGACGAAGATAGTTGAGCCCATAGAAACTAGTCAGTAGAGGTGTTTTGATATGAAGTCAAGGAGGTTAAGATGAGCGAATCGTTGTAGCTCTGAGCAATCCATCGGGAAGCCTTTATTGAAGAATGAATAAGAGTAGATAAAAGAATAGATTGAATGAACAAAGATGTAATAGATCTGCATGCAGATAACTGGAAGGAAATAGCCAAAGATTGGCACAGATGGAGTAGGCTGGTTAAAGTGGCAAAAGATGTAAACATTCTGTAATTCAAACAGACAAAAAAAAAAATATTTGGTGTATCCACTCACACGACTTTCCTACCTATTTCCATCATATGTCCATCAAGAAACAAAAAAAATTGAATTAGATTTATTTTCCAGAAAATTGATCAAAGAACAGATTTGAATACGATTTATTCGATAAAATAAAGCAATGTAAACTGGCTTAGGGTAGATCAGTGAAAAATTTCAATATTCACTAATATTGCTGATCAAAAACTTTTTGCCGTTGCCTAATTTTGTCAAACAATAATTTCTGTTAAAAGTAGAGGAAATAGTGAAGCTTGTGTGATGCGGGCAACAGATTTTCTTACTTTCACTTATTTATCTTTTTCCCTCATTCACCCTTTTCTGACAACAAGATATGAACCCGTAATCTTACATTGGGAATTGAATAGCTGTAACTTCGTTAATAGTTGTCTGAAATGAACGATTTTTATACAGTTTTGTAGGGAATTTCATTATCTTTCAAAAACAGACTAAAAATGTCAGACAGACAGACAAGATATGACCAATGAGTAAAAATGTGTTTTTCGAACTTGGGGGGTCCTGAAAGTATAGATCCGTCATAAACCGCATATCGGAAATTTGACCCAATTGCAATAATTTCCTTACCTAGTATAAGTAGGAAAGTAAAAAGAAGTTTGTAAGTGAAAGAACCAAGGTTCTTCTGTACCAAATAGGTCTTAGCGAGTGAAATACTGGATTAGTATAAGTTCAGAGATTATTATTATCTTATTACTTAACTATTAAACTGGAGAGATCTTTTCCAGTGGTTAATCACTTATTTATCAACAAACTAATCACTCATTTATTAAATTGTTACTTTAACTGTCGTGGTAAAGTCTGAAGCTTCACCGATTGTGTGCGTTGAATAGACTATCTTGATTATATTGTTATCTCACTGGGTTATACTAGTTTATGTTTTGTTTCTTATTTTATTTTATTTTGTTTTATTTGTTTTGCAATTTATTTATTTTATTTTTGTTTTTAGATTTTTTTTATTTATTTTTTGTTTTAGTTTTGTTTTTCATTTAACCCGTTTTATTTTAAATTTCTTTTTTTTTTAATAATTTCTTATTAGAACCACCAGCTATTTTGGATTTAGAGAACAAATTGCTGGAAGCGTCGAAATCGGGAGATTTGGACCAGGTTCAAAGGCTGTTGACCTCTTATCCACACATCGTTAACTGCCGAGACTTGGACGGAAGGTAATTATTATTAGAGTGAAGTAGACTGTGAATGATTGTGTATGATTGTGTTTGCACGCTTCAAGTATATTGTATAATTAATGCACCATTACATAGAAAGACCTTTTTAAAATTCCTAGGCATTCGACTCCGTTGCATTTTGCTGCTGGTTACAACCGTGTTGCAGTTGTGGAATACTTACTTTCTCATGGTGCAGATGTGCATTCTAAAGATAAAGGGTAAGTTTTTTTTGTTATCAGTTAATACTATAATTTTTACTAGCTGCTTTTATTGTTTGATTCTCTTAATTAGTTCACATAATTTTAGTATTAGTTTAATTACAACTGATTAGTTAGTGATGTTACTGATGATTTAAAAATATATATATATATAATTAATATATATTTGCTACTGAAAAGTGATTTTTCATATTTTTGTTATCACATTATTACTTTTCTAAATCATTTGACAAAAACAATTATCCTGATAAATATCCAAATTTCTGTATTTAGATGTATTTAAACCTGTTTTATTTTTATATTAATAAAAAAAAAAAATTTTGTTTATCTGTTTTAAAATATTATTTTTATTAAATTAAATTTTAATTTAATAAGTTTTTTGTTTGGAAATTTTATTATAAAGAAGTTAAACTCTGTTATGTTATTATTATTAGTTTCTTAAAATCTTCTTTGAAAAATATTGTTTACGTTAGGTTGTCATTCATTCTTTTACCATTTGGACTTTGTTATGTAAAATGTAAAAACATAGCAACTGATTTTTTTTTATTATTATTTTTTTTTTAATCTAGTGATAATTGCCTAATTACTCAATAGAACGCTCAAATTTACCAAGTGATAAGGTGCATCAGCTGTTTACATTTTTGTCCCCGGCCATATAACATCTTATTAAAGAAAAAAAATAATACCGAATGTGATACAAATGTCTTATAATTTGACTATTAAAAATAATAAAATAAACATTTAATACGTTTCTGCATGACACCATCCATTTCTTAGTTTCACTGATGACTTCTATTTGAACAAATATATATCTATTACTTTTCAAATTATTAATAAAAAAAAATTATATAAATTTTATGTTTAATTTTATATGCCTGTGATTGGCATATAAATAACCTTTAAATCCATGCTTTCCTAAGGAAAACAAAAACAATAATACAAACATTTGTTGAAATTATATAAACTTTTAGGGCTTATTTTAATTCATTAACATTTAAAAATAAAATTTGCATGTTTCGCCTTCGCCTTTTTGTTTCATATTTTTATGTTTTTTATTGCATGACAGTTTAGTTGATGGTTATGATTATATTTCTTTGATTTAGTAATTAATTTTATACTACTACTAAGCCGAACATGTATTAAATATATCCAATGTATTGTCAATTTTACTATTTATAAAAATAATATTTTTCTTAAAGATTCAATTATGGTTTTCAGCTTAAAAGCAGAAATATGACACTCCCTGTTATTAAGAGGTTTCCATCCAACTCATGATCATTCTAAAGTATAAAATTCATATACAGCCGACTCTCGATAATTCAAACTCTTCAGTTGTTAACTTCGGTAAATCGAAAAAATACTGTATTTTGATACTACTCGAATTCCTTTTTGAAGCAAGAGGGAAAGAGAACATTCTATAATTCGAACTAGGCCACCTCCTCTCTTTATAATTTGAAATGTTTCCATTAATATTTTTATTATTTTAATTAAAAGATGTTCTTTAATATATCTTTTTTTTCTTTTTCATTTTTAGAGGGCTAGTTCCTTTGCACAACGCTTGTTCTTACGGCCATTATGAAGTGACCGAAATGTTGGTAAAACATGGAGCCAATGTTAACGTAGCAGACCTTTGGAAATTTACTCCTCTTCACGAAGCTGCGGCCAAAGGAAAATATGACATTGTGCGTCTCCTCCTACAGGTAATTTTACCATTAACCTCTTAGTGATGAAGTTTCTTTGGTATAGTTGACGGTATGACGTATCTTATCCATCTCAATCATTATTTGTTCAATCAATTCAGAAACTTTTGTGCATAAAATTTTTTTTCTATGCTTTTTATATAAGAAGAATTTCTTGTTATGAATCCTGTTAATTTTTTCTTTATTTCAATCATTTCTTAATGAAATTATGCAATTTTAAATGAGATAATAAATTTTAAAGAAAATTGGTGGGAACAGAGCTACGTCAGGAGAGTGGAGAAATGGCTGTTATGACATGCCAGCGCCTAGTTTATAACATTGATTATATATATTATACATTTTAGCTTAAAATAGTGCTTCTGGCTTCAAAACTTTGGTCCACGAAATATTTCTCCGTTCTCTTACCCTGTTTTCTTTGAATAGAAATATTTAGTTACAAATTTATTTTATTAGTTTTTATAAATAATTAAACAATTTCTGTGATATCTATATGGAAGGAAATATGTTTGAACATATACAAAAGTTTAAGTATCTAGGATCTACAATAGCTAGGAAAACAAAATTGGAGAGGAAATTAAGGTCAGGTTGAAGTCAGGAAATGTGGTATTTTTCTGTGACAAAACTACTTAGCTTGCGCCTCCTGTTTTGAAACTTAAAAATTAAATTCTATAAAACCATTATCCTATGTAAAGTTCTTTATCGATATGAAACATGACCGCTTACATTTAAGAGATGAGCAATGTCTTAAGATTTTTTGTAAACAAAGTATTGTATAGAATATTCAGATCGAAGAAGGATGAATCAACTGCAGAATCTTGACAGTTATACAACATCGAACTGTATCTGGTTAATCTAGTTGAAGTGATTGCATTGTGACAAATAAAATGGACGTATAAAATTGTTGGGTTTAATAACAAAAGTATCCCGAAAAGGTTAATATCTCTTTTTTTTATTTGTTACAATAAATTAGGCCATTTTTCACCAACCTTTTATTATTACGCTTCAATTTAATGTCTCGACCATACTAAGGGTCATTTTCAAAACTGGAAAATTATAATAACATTATTAGTTAATATTCAGCATTTATAAAATGAATCTCTTATTACATTTAATTGAATTGTCCAACATTCTATGTCAAATTATTTCTGATATACTTAAATTTATATAAAAATATACATAAGGTATACACTTTTTATTTAAAAAACCCTTACATGTACGTAACTATAGAGAGAAACACTTTATTTTCATAAAATATAAAGGATTGCTGCCCAATTATATTGGGTTGCTATACACACAGCATACTCTTCTATCCTTAGGACAATATATGAACTTATATATAAATATACAGAAGTATTAGTTAATATTAGTAAAATAGATATATATAACAAGATTGCGTTAAAGCTGATCTGGAAGGGTTGTGTTTGATCGGTGACCAGTGAAAGGAGGTATGTAGGCAAAAATTTGTTGTGTCGCCATCGAATCTTCGGGTTCGCTAATTATATTAATTTTATTATTAATTAATTAATTATATACAGATGTGGACAATATAAAAACTTTTTACGCAAATATAATTAATAAAATTCGTATATAATAATATAATAATCCACCAATGCAAAACATTAGAAGGAAAATCCCTCTCTTTTTGACTATCCCCACCAGGACGATATAAGTCGGTCCCTCCAGAAATGACGTAGGCGAAGCACCTATAAAAATTGACAAGTAATATTCACTGAACTTATTAATTAGAACATTAAGGATGAACATATTAGGAGGACTCATCAAGGTAATAGGCATTTGTTTTTAATTGTTAGAGTTTTAATGGTTATAGTTACGTACATGAAAGGGTTTTTTAAATAAAAAGTGTATACCTTATGTATATTTTTATATAAATTTAAGTATATCGGAAATAATTTGACATAGAATGTTGGACAATTCAATTAAATGTAATAAGAGATTCATTTTATAAATGCTGAATATTAACTAATAATGTTATTATAATTTTCCAGTTTTAAAAATGACCCTTAGTATGGTCGAAACGTTAAATTGATGTGTCATAATAAAAGGTTGGTGAAAAATAGCCTAATTTATTGTAACAAATAAAAAAATTTCAAGACACCAAAGGTAGGAAAAATGAACAGAAGTTAATATCTCCTATGACGACTGGTAAACATCTGATGGGTAGACCGAAGTGAGGGTGGGAAAATTGCGTTAAAGCTGATCTGGAAGGGTTGTGTTTGATCGGTGACCAGTGAAAGGGGTATGTAGGAATTTGTTGTGTCGCCATCGAATCTTCAGGTTCGCTAAACCTTTCAAATTATAATTATTGTTCCGAGGCCACATTCTCACTTCCCAAACACCTCCGAGACGCATTGTTACTTCAAGGTTTTAGCAAAATATGAACCTTTTTTATTATTTAAAAAGTGCAATCTTAATCTTATATACATTCTTTATCACTTAACTTTAAATTGATCCAATTTTTTTTTCCATGCAAGAACCCAGTTTAGTGTTTATTGTAAAATATTTATATTTATTGTTATAATTGAATGAATCTTTAAAATTTTCACGCAGCATGGAGCTGACCCAACAAAGAAGAATCGTGACGGAGCGATGGCCGTCGAACTTGTAAAAGAAGGTGACCAGGAGGTCGCCGATCTCCTTCGAGGTAATGCTGCCCTCCTCGACGCAGCCAAGAGAGGTAATTTAGCGAGAGTACAGCGTTTAGTAACACCGGAGAATATCAATTGCCGTGATACCCACGGTAGGAACAGTACACCACTTCACCTTGCTGGTAAATATCCGCTTGTTTTTATCTTTTAAAACTTATTGTCAGTTTATGACATAATTTTGTTCTTAACTATAAGTTTTTATTATTAGCTATTACACTATTAACATAAATAATTAAAATTATTATATATTTTTTAACATGAAATCTTAGCCAAATGAAATGTTCATGTCAAAGAAAGTGATTATGAAGATAAATAGAACTAAAAAACATTGTTGTTTTATGATATTCTAGAATAGGCGTAAGAAATCAGAATTCTTATTGAAACTCCACAAGAGTAACGATTTTGTATTAATTTTTAACACGTAGTTTAAATAATATCCAAATGTGATTTAGATACCTGCTAGTCTATATATTAAGTATTCTCTTTTTTTTTAATTTATTTTAAATCTGCCACAGTGGAACCCCTTTGTACTGACACGTGTTAATTCAACTCATTGCGTAAACATACCATTTTTGGGAGAGATAATTCATCTTAATAACCCGACTTTTAAAGTCGCTCCTTGCTTAAACTGATTTCTTTATGGTATGAATTTCTCTATATTAACTTTATATTATGTACCTTTTTTTTTTTTTTTTTTCAGGGACCAATCTCTTGCTCTATCCCTGTGAAATCATTGTAAACGGTTCCTACTCTGTCTAAATTAATAGTCAAGTCCATTTCGATAAATCTCATAAACCAATTTTTAAATAAAATTTTCAAATGTAAAACCTACAGATCGATAATTATAAACTAGTTTTATTATATTATTGTTGAGTTTAAATTGTGTCTTCTACTGAAAAGGGAAGTCCTAAATCTCTATTTTCATAGTATAGGCAGTTTATTTTAATAAATTAATAATTGCCATTATAGTAATTAAAAAATTTAAGGTTATATTCAAATTAAATTTAACAAGAAATAATTTCTGAGTAATCAACACTCATGATATTCATGAACCATGTCATGAATAATAAGTGTTAGAACTTTAAAAAAAAACGAATAAATATGTACAAGGTTGCGTCCGCATCCTAACCATAAAAGTAAAAACTATATTAATTGATTCATTACACATATTAAGGTAATTTCACTTTTAAATAAGCATTGTTACTAAACTGAATTACTAATGCCTAACCATCTGGTTTCATTTTCCACCTGTATATTTATTTCATTTTAATTTGTATATATTATTAGAATAGTTGTATAGATTTTTTTTTTATTGAATTTACTGTATAGTTTTTGAGATAATATCTTAAAAATTTGTATTTTTCAGTGTCGTTTTCACTACTTTTGCTCTCTTCTCAAAAGATTAATTTAGTGTTAATATATAAATTTTTTATTCTCGAAGAAGATTTGAGCTGTTGGTATGATATGATTTATCATTGTACATTCAATAATCTATTATAAAAACAATCTCAATAATTCATGAATCAAGCTTATTTTAATTAAACTGTTAGTTCTATGAAAAGGTTGTTTATTGGTAACGATTCAAGGCATTTTGTCCCTCTCTTTAATTCGTAATGATTTTCTTACACAAAGCCAATATTTATGCTTGCATCATAATTTGTAAGCACCTGTTAACCAATCCCATGTACTAAAAAAAAAAATTCCTCATTCCGCTCTTTAATTCTCTGAATAATGTTTGTTTACATTATTTTGTTGCTATTTAAATTGGATTGGACGTATATTATTTTTACTCAATTCAGTGTGGGTTTGTCATGAGTACAAAAGTAATGCGCATGTGTCTATGTAGATAATGTAGATAATGTATTAAAAAATTCAGAACAGATAGGCCATTTTTTTAAAAGATATAACATAGTGTGACTGTTTTTAAAAACACATAACATTAGAAGTGGAAATATAATAAAAAAATAATTTAATAAATGGGACATCCCTTGAGAATAATAACAGTTACTGAAAAATAAAATGTATTTCTAGCCAGTAGACTACTAGGTAATGGAAATATGAAAGAAAGAAAAAAATTAGGTTAGCTAAAATATTTACAGTAATGATTATATATATATATATATATATATATATATATATATATATATATATATATATATATATATATATATATATATAATAAATTTCCTCTAATAGATTGGCAAAATCTCTTACTAAAAAAAAGAAGAGAAATAAATAAAATTACTTCTGTTATCTAAAAATATTTGAGTAAATTTACATGATTATTTATTACGTATATGTATGGAATTTTTTTAAAAAATGATGATCTCATTATCCTGAATACTTACTAAATCTCTTTAAATTTTAAATGAAGGGTATACAATGCTGTCATAAAGGCATCATAGCAGAAAAAAATAAAACAATAATTTGTAATCCTATTCTTACGAAAATCTTAATTAATAAATTGTTGGGGTTTTTTCATCACAAATTATTGGGATTGTACTATTATAAAAGTGGTCATGTTTTTGTGTTTTCCATATTTCTACTTACTTATATTAGTCTTTGAATCAATAAATTGGTGTTGGCATAGATTTTAATTTTGACATATTTTTCTGTAACTAATTATTTGTTTATTTTTTTAACTTATTTTAATTGTCTTACTCTTGTTATACAGCTGGTTACAATAACGTCGAGGTAGCAGAATTTCTTCTAGAGAACGGTGCTGATGTAAATGCTCAAGATAAAGGAGGGCTAATTCCGTTGCACAACGCCTCCTCGTACGGTCACCTGGACATAGCTGCTCTCTTGATTAAATATAATACCGTCGTTAATGCCACTGACAAGTGGGGCTTCACTCCCCTTCACGAGGCAGCTCAGAAAGGTCGAACCCAGCTTTCTGCACTACTGGTAAATTCGTCTAATTATATTACAGTTTAATATTTATATATATATATATCTTTAGAAGCAAATTGGTATAAAAGACATAATACAAGTTTAGAATAAACGATAGTTAAAGTGAAACCTATCCTGTAATCACTGCGGTTTTTCTACTTCGGAGGACTTTTAGTATTTCTAAAATCACTATAACAGTTGAAACAGATTTTTACCATATTTGAAAATGTTATTAATTTAATTTTCGAATGATGAGTCGCATTATTTCAACCAACTAATATTATCATAATATAAATATACAAAATATATTCATAATGGTGAAAAATTATCATTAGCTTATCGTATTTCTTCAATATTCAGGTTTATTATTAGTTTTTCGAAGGAGCTTTTTATGAAAATACTATTTATTTTTATATTGCTCTAGTGTATCGATTTATTTTAACTTTTCAGATTTCTTGAGTATTCTTAAAAAAAGGATCTATTATTACAGTATCAGAGAAGTTTTTATGAAAATATTGAGAATTTTAAGATTATGCGTTCATGCACAACCTTTATAGTGACACTATTTTTAAAAGATATTGATATAATTTCTTAAAAATATAATAATAATATATAAATTTTAATTTATTTTGTAAGCTAATTTTAAAATTATTAATAAAAATATCTTTTATCTTGTTTTCAATAAACATGACAGCAATTAGCTATAACGCACTGTTAGTCATATATGACCGAATGTGACTGAGAACTACAGAAACCCACATGGTGGCCTCCTGGAATACCGTCTGTGAATAACATAAAAATAATTCATGACCTGGAGTACAATTTTATCTGCGTAGCTTTTCAGGGTTAAGTCTGCCATTTTCGACTTTACAGGATCTCCGACTGTATATCATAAGAATGTCCTTTTGGTCTAAATTGCATTTAACTTTACTATTCATTGTATACACAAATATTTACTCAAAACTAATAACTATTCTTAGACACACTTATCGATTTACTAGATCCTCTTTCACAGTGTCCCTATTTTCGGGCACCATACATTATAATATTTATTTATTCATAATTTTTTTATAATCTTAATGATATACAAATTTAAATTTGTTAATAAAAATACTCTTATATGTTATTTTCAATTATGCCAGTTTTGTGTTGATGGTTCACATGTTCCGTTACTCTGAATGGTTTGAAGTCTGATAAACGACCCAATTACTCATAAACATACATATATTTATAATTCAATAAAATAAATATTCTATCTGATAATGATTCAACTAATAATTATTAAAATAAAATAATATACTGTTTATATGACTTCTTGGTTACAAGTCCTGCAAACTCTATTCTTGTCAAAGGATTGTTGAAAATAAATGAATTGTTCTGCATAAATATTGAACTAGATATCTTTAAAAAAAATACCAAGCAAACTGTACTTGCCGACTGTTGCGAACCAACAACTTGTCTAGTTTCAAGCTGGGCAGGAACTGCGTGGGTCGTGCTCGTCATTACAAAAAATTTAAATTCAATGTAGACAAATCAGTAAAATCACAACAATATGTTATTTCAATTGTGAAGCCAAGTATCGAAGAATAATGATATGTTAAAATAAATCGAAATGTGAGCATGCAATCTCAAAATTGGTGATATTTTTAAAGACTAGGCATCAAACAAAAAATTAAATATGGTTGTAAAATTATTAGTTATTCACTACAATTTATTTGTTTTGAATAGATGTTTTTTATGTAATAATGAATAGAGTACTTTTACATCACATTTTTATTTATTTGTTATTGGAATAAAATTTACTCAACTGTAGCTTGTCTTTCTTTACCTCCAAAGGCCAGTCAACTTCGTTTTTAGGTTAACTGATTATCCTTCGTAAGGGAGCACTCACTTTGAAGCAGATTGACGAATTTCCAAATCAAATTTAATTATGCACTTATACTCTCTTTTACCTCTAGTTTTCTCATATAAAGTAGAAAAGGCAGTGAAAATATCAATTTGTTATTCTACCGAGATAAAATAATGATATATATTCTGTTAAATCTGATCCAGGTTGTTTGACATGATTTTTGTATTGCGTTTTAGCTGGCTCACGGAGCTGACCCCATGCTGAAGAACCAAGAGGGGCAATGCCCTCTTGAGGTAGCGAGTGGGGAGGACGTGCGCTGCTTGCTGGAGGATGCGATGGCCGGGCAGCCACCTGCAACTCAGGGTCCTACGCCTCTGCCGTCGCCTCCTCTCCCCGCTCCTGAAGACCAACTGCTTCTTCCTAGCGGAGCTTCACTCGCCCTTCCCCCACCTTGTTACCACAAGGGCGACGGAGCAGTCTCGCCAGCCAAGTCTGCCGATGACACTATTCATAATTTGGCTTCCTTCCTCACTTCGTAAGTTATATTGTTTTATAAAATTTTAACTATTACTTTATTAAATTTTTTCAAAAAGAAGTAAAAATGGTAAGCCTTCAGACATAATTTTAAAATTGTGAGTTGACATTTTATCTTAATCGTAAAAAAAAAAAAAAAAAAAAAGAATTCAAGTCTTTTTCACTTGACTGCAATCTCCAACTAATATCCCAAACACATTATCCACAGTCACCTAATGCTCCACTACTCAAATTTATTTAAATTTTTTTGGGAGATTGTAAATATTACTAGTATCTCATATGTATATCATAACTCAATTCCAAAATGGTAAAATAATGAAATGAAATGAAAATAGATTTTTATCATCCTGGGACTTTTGTCCCTTTTGGACAAATTATAGATACAGAGGAAATGCCTGTGTGGCCATAAAATTAAATTAAATATTTACAATGCTTATTAAAATAAAAATATTGGATGAAAAATAAAACAAAACCACTAAATACATATATATATATATATATATATATATATATTTATATATAAAACAAACATGTGAAAATAAAATAACATAATTAAACAAAACCATTTCTGGGGGAACTTGAAAAGTTCTCTTATCTACTTTTCATGTTCAATCGGGTTGGGAAAGAAGTAGGTGCTTAAAAACTAGGGATTTAAATGAGGAAACTGATTGCGCATGTCGGATATCGGGAGGGATGGTATTCCAGGTGGAGACGGCTTGAATTATGAAGGATTTGTCAAACGCAGCAGTTCGGTGAGGAGGTGGATAGAGGTCAGAAGTATGGGATCTAGTGGAACGTGAGGAATATTTAAATTGTGAAAAATATAGGAAGGTCGCTGAGTTTTGATGGCTTGGTATAGAAAGGTAGCAAGGAAGTATAGATGTATTTTTTTTCTCTTTATGAATTTTGGTAATAATTTTGGAATTTGGAAGTGGTAATATCTAATTAGTAATTTATATAGCATTTTTTCTATTTTATAGTACGTGGTACTTAAATTATTATATTTTCATTGATTACAAAATCAAATGCATGAAATCTGTATTTAGGTCTCATTGTTTTCTTGTACTTCTTTAAAGCTTCATTATATTGTGTTAGAAATAAATTATAAGTATCATAAATTTTCTGTTCAGTATTGGTTTGGAGCAACTTATCGAACCATTGGAGAGGGAACAAATCACTTTGGATATTTTGGCAGAAATGGGCCATGAAGATCTGAAACAGGTCGGTGTGACAGCCTACGGCTACCGCCACAAGATCATCAAGGGCATCGAGAAGATTCAACTCTCACCAGGTTTACTTTTACCTATTTAATAATAATATAGAACTATTTCATTAAAAATATAAATGAAACGAATTAAGAAAATAACAATGTCATTCATAAATGAGGCAACTAGTCTCAGATCAGCATATCACTTCATTTTCTCCTTAACTCTGTTGTATATCTTTGGTGGTTTCAATTTTTCTAGAAGTGCAGTTGAAAAATCTTATCAAGTTTCATGTTTTCTTGGGTATTCTTTCAATAGCCAGTATTTGACCTTCATCTATTTATTTCATGAATGTTAATATGACCATTTGTATGATGCAACAATTTTTTGTTTGATGGCTCAAATTGTTCACTAAGATTCCATGATTGTTTAGAAACGGTTTGAGCTCAAAAAATGGAAGAATTATTGTATTACATCGGGTTTAATCTCCCCGTTTTCAGTTATGTAATGATTTTTTTAAATAAAATAATTTTTTTTTTTTTTTTAATGAATCAAATCATTCAGTGAAATCCTAAGAATGTTCTGAAACAATTTGAGTTCAAAATATTTCATATCATGGGTAAGTTCATGATTGTATAATCTCACAATAATTTGAAAAACTAAAAATGTTCAAATAAAAATTAATAATTTGATTTTTTAGTAAGAAATGGACGAAATAAATAATCCTGTCCACCCTATATTTGCATATCTACTATAACATATTAATCGACTCTACATTGGGTATTAGTAAAAAAGTTGACATTTAGGTGTATTTAAATTTGGTGTTGTATTCAGTTCCTTTCACTACAAGCTACTTTTTTGGTCCACCCCTACCTCGCCTTTTAGGCTATATGGGAATTTTCTCATGCCAAGGGAGAGGACGGGGATTAATACCAGAATTAAAAATCCCTCCCAGCACTTGGATGCGAACTCATAATTATTTTGTATCTTCTAACTTCGGTTTATCATGTAGTTGGTTGCCACGCAACGCATATTTAGTATTCTCGGCTACCCCACCTCCAAGTTACAGCTATTTACATATACAATCCATCTAATGCATCTATACGTTTCAATATACAGTAAGTAAATAGATATATTATCGAAATTATCTTGAATTTGTACTTGTGTGGAAGGCATTCGACCACTACAACAAGTTTCAATATTCATAGAAATCAACTTGGCTAACAACATATCAGTGTATTTAAGTAGATAAACAAGTAAATTATCTGTCTTGGGATATGTGCGATTATTTCCATGTTGGGCTTTTTCTTTTCATTTTTTTTTTTTAATTTAATTACATTTTATTTCTATATAATATAGTCTTTTACATTTTGATTTCTTCATAAAAAATTATATGAAATTCAATGAATCTAAATTTTTTTTTTTTTTCAATTTTAGATTTGAATCCGTTAAGTTGGCAACAAGGGACTCTTTTAGTTGATTTGTTGAGAGAAGATAAGGAGTTCATTGCTGTCGAGGACGAGATGCAAAATACCATTCGGGAGCACAAGGACAACGGACTCTCTGGCGGTGTTTTCTCTCGATATCACGTTATTAGGGTGAGTTATTTAGTTATTAATAATACATAATATTATAGTATAAAGTATAGATTATTTGACTTGGTCAGATGGTGTTTATTTTGGTTCATTTATTGTTTACACTCAGAAACATGTTGTTGGAATATGTAATAAAAATATTTTCTATCTAAATTGAGTGCTAATTCAATCGATTGAATCCAACACAGCAATAAATATTGAATTTTGAATCAACCTGCTGTATTTCAGAGGAAGGTTACAAAACATGAGACAAAAGAAAATTAAGACAAGGAAATACCTATCTATTGAATTGTTGAATATAAAAAAATTATATTAATAGAAGGTAAACTGAATACAAATAAGTTAAGGAAATTGAGAAATAGCAAAATTGAGGTGATGCAATCAATGAATAATAAAGGAACACACTGAATTCCATTGATGAGTTTATGGGGATCCATTATTAGAATAACATTGATAGAAAAAGAATTGATTATCTTATCCGATGATTTGAAGTGAGTACACAAATTAAAAATACATTTGTCAAATGTTTTGTTCCAATCTAGATTACAATTGCTAAATTTCTTGAACTAATTTATTTTATATATTCTATTAGGATGTTAAGTTGCCAGAACGAACCTAAAATAATATTTTTAATATTTATTTTAAGTCATTTGTAGTAATTACTAAATTGTAATTGTAAATAACATGTTAAAAGGTTAATTGTAAAAGACTTTTTTGGCAGGCCAATAGTAAATATTCCTTCCGTTTAGTTGGGGGACTAGGTTATTTACACTCGTGAATATTAAAACAAAACCCCGGCACTGGATATAGACTTTTTGAGGGTGTTTAACTGTCGTTGGGAATTCGGAAATCTAATACCTTTTGTGAAAAGAAACAATAAGAATATATATATCTGAAATGTGGGACTGAGCAAATACACTTTGAATGAATTGACTCACCTGGTTTGTTATTCTTCAATTGTGAGGACAACTAAATAAATAAATGACTTTTTACTCCTATCTAACAAAACAATTAATTTTATAACTGTAATAAGTGAATATATTAAAGTCTTATAACTGTAGGCTTGATATTATCAGTCTTCAATGTAGTATCACTCTCTTCTCAGGTAACCTCATTTCTTCCTCCTTCATCGTTATTTTATCGATATGAGATTTTTCAATGAATAATTTGTCTACTGCACAATTGAGTACAATTCATCGTGAAACCTCACATTCATATATATTCCTTCTCATTCCCTTCCATGTCACCTAAAGGAGTAAATACAGCGGGATGTCCACTACTTATTCATAATATAAGTGTTTGTTTCTCATAAAGGACAATTGTAACCTTACATTTTATTCTCTATAAAGACTCCTGCATCTGTTTAATCTATCAAGTATAATCAAGATCTGCCTATAAAACAGAGAAGGTGATCTTTTTAAAGTTTCTGCTGGCCTTTCTTCTAGTATCTTTTAGAACTCAAGAAGCTGACTCGTATAATAATTGTTTGTTCTTATTTCACTCGACAGGTCCAGAAAGTTCAGAATAAAAGGCTTTGGGATAAATATAATCATAGACGGAATGAAGTGGCAGAGGAAAATGGAAATTCGGCCAATGAAAGGATGCTCTTCCATGGATCTCCATTTATCAATGCTATCGTCCAAAAGGGTTTTGACGAGAGGCATGCCTATATTGGTGGCATGTTTGGTGCTGGTAAGTCATTGCATAACTTCTTTTAGTGATAATATAATTTTATTTATTTATTAAACAGTTTAGGTCATTAAAAACTGAGATAACTTATATATTAATCTCAATTTATTTTTCAAAAACTATTACGTGTTAAAAAATATGTCAAGCAATGTAATATGATATAGATTATTATATATTTTTGTTTTGCATCCCTTACTACCTTAAAAATATAATAAATGACTATTAGGCCTTCAAATTAGAAAAAAAAATTATTTTTTTTTAGATTGAATTTTAATATTAATAAAGTTTTATTTTGTGCCTGATAAACAGGTATATACTTTGCCGAACACTCTTCCAAGAGTAACCAGTATGTTTATGGAATTGGTGGAGGAACGGGCTGCACCGCTCATAAAGACAGGTCCTGCTACAGCTGCCACAGGTATACTTTTTGCTTTACTTTATTTTTAATATAGATTTATTATAATGAAGAGAAGGATAGTTGGGATGATCAGTCAAAATAAAAATGGCAAAAATAAATAATTGTATTTATTTTAACATTTGCCGAAGTTTCGAACCGAAGTTCAGACCTTCATCAGGGCTGATTGAAGAGATCGCTTGAATAGAATGGTAGCAAGAGAGGGGGGAGCCAACCAACTTTCTCTTCATTATTCACTGCAGTCAACCATCAGCCTACAATTATAGATTTATTATAATTTTTTATTGCTTATATGTATACAACTTAGATGGGTCGGTTTTGTGCATTTATATGTCACTATGTACCTTATATAATGGTTATAATACTCATTCTTCAAGCAAAAAAAAAAACAACATAAATAAACTAGAACAAGTATAAATAGTCATAATTTTTGTAATAAATAGTTGTACATACTTTTGAATGTATAGAGAAATGTCAAAAAATCAAATATATACCAAGTGTGTATGTAAGAAACCGGAATCGTTCATAAATGGCTCTATTTATTAATTTAGTTACCATTGAGCTACATTATTTTTGCTATTCTCCAAAAGCTGGCAAAGATTTTCATCTTTACAACATAACATTTTATGTAATAACATCGTCTTGATTGTGTTGAACATATTGAATTTTGTTCCTATAGACTGTGATTTACTGACAGCATTAGTTTTTTGTTACCATTTAAAGAAAACTGCAAAATCGCATTTAATGCTTGTAGAAGCTTACTGTGAGTGTTGGGGCCAGAGATATTTCTAAATTAAAATATAATTCTTTTCCCGGTGAGTTTACTCAAAGGTAGAGAAAATACGAATAAAATTAAACTGAGACCTGTAAATATTTTTTAAAAAAAACATGCACAACAAAATATTAAAAATAAATATTGAATTAATCAAAATGGAGAATAAACAAATAATCCTCCTTTTTAATGTTTACACTATTTATTATATTTAATAATAGATATATATACACAAGTTGAAAACAAAATAAATAATGGTGTGAAAGTTCATTGAAATAAAAATAAAACATCAACAAAAATTAAAATTGATAACAAGAAAAATTAATTAATTTAGCGAGAAAAAAATAAACTAATTTTCAAGTGTCATTTGGGTGACTGTGAGATTATGGAAGAAAATCCAAGTGAGAGGTAGATAGCCCTACTCCCAACGAGGTTATCTCAGTCTGATGTTCAGCTGTTGATGGGGGGGAGGGGTATTGATACCGATAGGCCTGTTGAGCTGAGCCTCCTGGAGCTGGTGAAATGGTGAGGGAAGATGTCCAATTCGTGGACCCAACATAAATGAAAGCTCGCTCCAAACTGACTCCCGGCACTCTTATCACAGTATTTAGGCTGTCTTAATTCCTAAGACTGAGTATGACTGCCGGGCTGGAGCGTACAAAAATGCAATAAACATCATGAATAATGCCTAATTTTTAAATTATATACATTAAATAAATTTCTGAAACAATTATCCCTCAATCTTTCACAAATAAAAAATAAATAAACTACTATAAATGAACATTCAAAAAGGATGAACGGAGAGAAAAATAATAATGAAAAAAAAAATAAAGATACGAGTATGCGGCATTAACAGTGAGTAAAAACTTCTTCGTGAATCACTCAGCTTTTGAATTCAAAAGTGAACACTTGGCATGAGGAATGAAGAACATGCAACGTTTTCCTTGAACCATGAAACCATTATTAATGAACAATATTGATTACAAATAAAAGATTTTAATCGAGTACTGCTTGAAAAAAACGATCAGAATATCTAAAAAGAAAACACAAAAGTGATTTTGCTTCATGATAATGAACGATCACATACAGTCAAACCAATGAAGTAAACGATTGAGGAGTTCAATTGAGAAAAATCAGCGCATACGACTTACTTGCCCAACGAATATTTGATTACTTCAACGGGACAAACTCATGTTCAGCATTGCTTAACTTCTTACGAAAATGCCTTGATGACTGGTCTATTATATAAGAGCAATAGTTTGGCATGGCACTCATACATTGCTCCAGAGATTAGAAAAATGTATAGTTAATGCAGGATAATATTCCAAATAAATTATTTGTTATCATTTTTACATAATAAACATGAATTTTCTATACAAAATTCTGTTTTATATTTACACCATTGGAGTTTGATATTTTCCTAATTTACAACAAGACCATGTCGTCTTTTAGCTGCAGTTCTTTTAGCCCTAGAAATGAGTGTTATGCTTAAATTTTTATTGGTATGACTATTAGGCGAAATTTTTTTAAAATATTTCATTAATTATCTTTCATAATTTTGTTGAATACTTAATAGTTGTCTGTTGTATTTTAGTGGAAGAAGATGGTCCGGGGTGGAGGTCATAAATAGACTAAAATAGGGGGAAAACTATTTTATTTCAAGCCAACGATTCAACCCGATTTTGCAGGTCTTCTTCAGGAAGGTGTTTTCAGCTAGGAGTTTCAGTTAAAACTGAATTTCAGTTCGTTAAAATTTAGTTTTAACTAAAACTCCTTGCTGAAAACACCTCCCTGAAGAAGACCTGCAAATTCGGCTTGAAACATTGTCTTGAAATAAAACAGTTTTGACACTATTTAAGTCTATTTATGACCGCCACCCCTGTCTATTATTTATAAAGCCTTCCTCTTTCATAATTTTAATTTTAATCCATTCAATATACTCCCTCCTCCTCCTTAAATCGCTAAATCTGTTTGTTTAAAGAGTCTATTCTTAAAAATGGTTAAAAAAAAAACCTTAAATGAAAACCAACTACTTTCTTTAAAAAATGTATCTAATCTTCATATGTTGAAATACTTTATTTTATTTTATGTACTTCTAGGCACTTGCTGATGTGTCGGGTCACGCTCGGAAAATCATTTCTGCAATTCAACGCCATGAAAATGGCTCATGCTCCGCCTGGTCATCATTCAGTGATGGGAAAACCTTCTGCTGGTGGTCTCAACTTCCCCGAGTATGTAATATACAGGGGAGAACAGGTATTAATTTTTTTTTTTTTTTAATATTTTAAAATAATTTCCCACATGTGTGAGACAACATCAGGGCAATGGTCACAGTCTATTCTAGCTTCAAGAATTGAACTCAGTTCTTAAGCGGACCCTAAACAATCAGTCGGAATGACATTCTGAGGCTCTATTGATATTCTGATTGATCGTGTAAGGATAACGTTGATGTACTAGGAAATCAAAGCTTCAATCACGAGAAGTAGAGGAGAGACTTCCTTTCCCATTGGTAACAGCTTTTTTTAAAATTGTGTTAACTATAAAGATATTAATCATGTTCAGAATAAACCTCCCATATTCAATTTTATTTACGAGATATTTTTACTAAGCATCAAAATAACTTCTCTACCCAACTTTGTCATAATTTCACACAATTATATTTCAACGAATACATTAAATTAAATTTTCCTTCCTTTTATCTAATATTCACTGACGGATCTAAGAACCCTTAGAGAGTAGGCGCTGCTGTCCATAATGCTACAGATAATTAAGGTACACACGAAAAGGCTTCAGTTTACACGGCCGAACTGACAGCGATATTAGCAGCTCTAGATTATATAAAAGACAGCAATTATAATAAAACTTTAATTCTAACTGACAGTTTAAGTGACATAAAAAAACTAGAAAATCAAAATTATTATTCAAAATCATCGTATTTAATAATTTCAATTTTAGAAAAAATTCTTTTTATTGAACGACAAGGAAAAAGTGTTATATTTGCTTGGATTACGGATAATACATCAGTTAATCATTTAGCGAAGGTAACTGCAAAAAGACAGGTTGATAAATTTCACATACCCTTTTCAGATATCATAAATTAATTAAAAATTTCTTTGAAGACCGAATGGTTTCAAAATTTATGAAAAAGAAGAAAAGGGGATGTTTTATAAATCTCACTGCTCACTGATAACAATGTAAACCTGGTTTGGAAGCTCCTAGAACTTGGATAAGATGAATGTGCAGATTAAGAATTAATCATGCTATATCAGGTCTCTACCTTTACCTTATAAGATTTAGAGAAAAGACACATGTAATGATGTCATACACGGTGGGCCAGACCCCCTTACCGTGCACCCCCCCCCCCCACATCCCTATAAATTGCATATCGTTGTGTTCCTTGTAACAATTTATTAAAAAAAAGCCAATGTTCCCTCAAAAAAAAGTGAACGCACTGCCCCAAAATGGCGTCCAAAGATGGCGGATTGACGACTTTGACTTTAGTTAGTTTTTTAGTCACTGAGAATCAGTATTAAGCTTAATTTCCTCATAGTTGGTCTTTTATTAAAGCTGAATAGTTATAGAATAATAAAACATGAAGAAATATTAAAAAATAATTGGCTAAGGCTATGAAAAACACCAGTAAAGTCAATTTTTTTAACAAAAAAAATTTTCAAGTTACAAATCAAGCGTCGTTTGTAATTAAACGGCCTACAATAACGCAAAACGTGCCGAAATAAACCGTCTGGAGAATATATTTCTCTTTCTGAAACGCTGATTATTTTTTACAAATGTTTAAGTAGTTCCGTAAAAAATGCACTTATGCGGCAGAAAAGCGGTACTGGCGTGGGTGCCGAACGAAAAAGGCATTAACGAAAAAATATTAATGCAATAATTTAATAGTAAAAAAAAAAATTAAAATTAAATAAAAAAATTTATTATTATTTTTTTAAATTTTAACCTCCTTTATTCTATACTTAGGTCGCTTAAGAATACCTCAATTGTAAAAATGATATAATTATAATAATAAAACTTAATTAAAAAATTGCAATTTAACACTGTGTTTTGAATATTTACTGATTCTTAGAAGTAATTACAATTTTTATATAGTTCCCAGGAAATGAGTCATATCATACCTTTTTTATAAACTAAAATAATATATACCTAATCTGAACTATATATAATGAATAGCTACCGGGTTGTTTAGTAAAACTCATATATCACTAATTAAAAAATTAATTTTTATTTCCTTTATTTTGTGCTGAAGTTGGACTATATCATAAATAAATAGGAAATTTTAATATTGAATGAATTATTCTCTATGCACAAAGAAAGATATAAAGGGTGACCCTATAAGTTCTTCTATAAACCAAAGCTGATTGTTTGGATTTGATCTCAAAATGAGGAAAAACGTGAACTTAAACGAGAAAATTGGAAAAATACATTAAGTGAACGAGAAAGGAAGTGCCAAAACTGATGTTTTTCATAGCCTTAGCCAATTATTTTTTAATATTTCTTCATGTTTTATTATTCTATAACTATTCAGGTTTAATAAAAGACCAACTATGAGGAAATTAAGCTTAATGCTGATTCTCAGTGACCAAAAAACTAACTAAAGTCAAAGTCGTCAATCCGCCATCTTTGGACGCCATTTTGGGGCAGTGCGTTCACTTTTTTTTGTGGGAACATTGGCTTTTTTTTAATAAATTGTTACAAGGAACACAACGATATGCAATTTATAGGGATGTGGGGGGGGAGATGCACGGTAAGAGGGTCTGGCCCACAGACTATCATGCATTAAATATGCTAGAGAAAGATATCATTTAATTAATAAAATTAAAACTCTATAATAAATAAGGATAATCAATCTTATATTGATGTAATAACTAGACCTAATTCTGTTCTGGGAGAGATATTTCACTTTGTAAACTCGATACGTATTAAATTATAAAAATTATATGCTGTTAGTTAATGATTCAGATAAATAATCATTAGGATTATTTAATATTTAGGCTAATGGCGTCTAGCCAAAGTCTTGTGAATAAACAACCTTTCTACTAGCTAAGTTTACATAGGCCTTGTATATTTTTGATTTTCATTTATATAGTTTTTCATATCCCTAGTTTATATTTTTATAAATCATCTTCCACTAATCTTTCTTTAAAATAGTCAAATAGACAATAAATTTACAAAATGTAGAAAACTACACAATTTACTTATAGAAAAAATTAATCTTTTTGTTTATATTGATCAGTTCTTTTTCCTTTTTCTCAACAAATTTATTATTTTTGCAAATATTTTTCCTTAATTTTTGTAAGTAGGTGACTTATATTTTTCTAACTTCTGTCAAAACAATTTTCAAACACTAGGAAGTAATTATTATGTCTTTGTTTTTCTCTTGATGTCCAATGCTATAAAGGATAATGGCCAAATATCTTTTTTAATAAAACACATTATTATTAATGGACAATGTACTGGATCCATACTGCATGTTATCTAGACATTAACTGAGCTAAAACGATATCAGTCTTGTGACTGTCATTCATGACTGAAAGTGTAGGATGCGCTTTACTGTTGAACTGAGCTCAGTTCTGATTAAAAAATTTTTAAAAAAAGGATTTTTTTGATACCGTATTCTAATTATTTTATTTTTTTTGTACAGGCCTATCCAGAATACCTGATTACCTATCAGATAGTAAAGCCAGAGGAAACACCGGACGTAAGGTAGATACATTCCTTTTTGGAAATAAGGCTGAGTATAATTACGTTCGAAAACATAAGTCTTTTCTGTCAATCTATGAGTCAGATGGTGGTAATGTTTTTGAAATAACCTTCGATGTTATGTCTGTTTTAGAGCATGAATGTGATATAAGGTTGTGAATTCATTATTTTTTATTATTATTATCAGTCAATTTTTAATATTTAGACTACTTCGAAAGCTTTATCTGTGACATCTACTGATATATATTCATAATATATATATATATGTTATAATGTCTTCTCTACTTGTAACAGATTCTATGTCAATGTCTTTTGAGTAATCTGTGTATACAATTTTTAGAAAGAAAAAAAGAAGTAATATTTGTAATCTTTAAAAATTGTTTAGCATGTTATTTTAAATATTATACATTCCATTATCCTTGAAAAAATTGGTGTTCATTTGTAAATTAATTAATTTGTTATAAGTCCTTTTAAATATTTATGTAAATAATTTAATTGTACAGTTTGTTATATGTTTTTTTTCTCTCTCTCTTTTATTGTTTTTATCTCAAACTCATGTATATATATTTTCTTATTTAATGAAATATAATCTCATTAATTTTTATTTTTTACTGTTATGAATTGATTATAAAGTTTAATTAGATTTAATCGTATTAAATTTTTCGGCCAAGCCTTATCATACCATTAAAATGTATCAAATGCAGTATTCCATTTAACAAGGAATGTTTTAGTTTATTTATTTATTTTTTATTTTTTTTTTTTAATGTAATGTTTTAAAACATTGTATTATCTAGGTGAATATCTCTAAAAAAAAAAGTTGTTTTTAATGATATTTGAAGTACTGGTACGAGCAGGCGAGTTAGTTTTTTAAGTCTTTCTCATAAGTCTGATTGATTACATTGATATTAGGGAAAGTCGTGTTCGAAAGAAATTTCGAAGCATTTATTCAACTCTTTTACATTCATTATAGTGTTATAAATATTTCTCTATTTAAAAAAAAAGGAAGTAAAAAATAAAGAAATAAATTGAGGAATGTGAACTTCTGTTTTTCTTTGTTCCTTGATTAAATTTACCAAAACCTTTTAATATAGCTACAACAAATACAGATATAGGAGTGTATTGGAACGGTAGAATATCATTCTATTAGTTCTATCAGCATATTAGGTTATATTAACCATTCCAATCCCAAAAGATCTGATTTTCTATGTTCTTAGATATTTAAAAGGACCCTAAAAATAAAAAGAGACAATTTCATGTGTTTCATCAGTATCACTCTGATTAAAATATATTTATAATTATGCTATTCTTTTGCATTAAAATTATCATTCCAATTATTAAATAGATTTTAAAAAATTGGTGCCCGCATCATATGGCTTTCACTTACCACTCTCTTCTTAGTAGAAATAAGTATTTTGAGACAAAGGGGAAGTGAAAGTAAAAATTATAGACGCTATATTTATTTACATTTCATTGTGGGTATTTTTATTTGTTTAATTACCCTTATATATATAAATATTAATTTTTATATTGCTTGTATAAATGTAATATTAAATTCAATTATAATACTATACAATTAAATATTAAATAATGCCAACGATAGCATTTATGAAAACCGCATATGTATATGTACATATTATTTTCGGAGTCCGTATTGTATTAAGCTCATGTTACGTATGGAAGCCTGTTCTAATCTTTCGGGTGAGCACGTATTCCTTTGTTTCCTCATTTACAACTATTATCCGTTACGATATCTTATTTCTCCTTTAATTAATTATAAAATTCTTTCATATTTAACTATTTTTTATATTAAAGATTAATGTGAAATGGTTAATTATTTCAAATAAAAAAAATTATAGGTACTTTAGAGGAAGCTAATATTGAAAATTAGCCATTTAAGCTCTGTTAGAGAACATAAATGAGAATAAAATCTGCATTATATTAAAAACTGCTTAATAACATACTGATATACTAAATTTAATCAAAATCATAAGACCTGTGTGATTTGTGAAAATTGTAAACATGTGTTAAATCTATGATATAAACTCTGAATATCAGTGTATTATTAAGCAGTTTTTAATAAAATATAGGTTTTATTCTCAATGATGTTCTCTAACAGGACTTAAATGGCTAATTTTCAATATTAGCTTCCTCTAAAGTACTGTTAATTTTTTTTATTTGAAATAATTAACCATTTCTCATTAATCTTTGATATAAAAAATAGTTAAATATAAAATATGAAAGAATTTTATAATTAACTAACGGATAATAGTTTTAATGGAGGAACCAATGGAATATGAGTGCGCCCAAAAGATTAGAACAGGCTTCCATACGTAACATGAGCTTAATATAATACGGACTTTGACAATATTATGTACATGTACATATGTGGTTTTCATAAATGCTATCATTTTTTAATATTTAATTGTATAGATTATAGTGATTGAACTTTTAAAATTTGTATAAGGGTTAAAATAATATATAAGGATAATTAAACAAATAAAAAACTCACAATGAAATGTAAATAAATATAGTGTCTATAATTTTTACTTTTATTTCCCCTTTTGTCTGAAAATATTATTTCTTCTAAGAAGAGGGTGATAAGTGAAAGTTGTGTGATGCGCGCACCTGATTTTTGTTTTTTTGGCTATTTATCTTTTTTTTTTTTAAGTTTTTCTTTTTTTTTAAGTTTTTCTTAAAATTTGAAAGTGAATAATAAAGAAAAAGAAATATTTATTATCATTATTGTTTTTTATAGCCTGAATATAATTTGTAAGATCGATTGGAACAAAGTGATCTGCAATAATAAAGAGGAGGAATCGAAACTTAAATTGAAAGCTAATGATTTTACAATCAAAGTATTCAATGAAAACGATGAGCTTATTTATGAAAATAAATAATCATTCATATTTCTTATATTTGTAAACACAATGATAAAGATGAAAGGACTTCTGTAGAATTTACATTTTGACATAATTTATTTCATTCACATTTATTAATATCCCATCCACACCAGTGGCAAACAATGTTGAATAAAAAATTTGCCAAAAATGTGGAAAAAAGGAAACATATTTAGCAGTCAAATAACTGAAGGAGAATGTCAGTAGGGAAAATAATTTTTGTAAAATAAAATCAATATATTTTTTTTCAAATTTTTAAACATTTTTTTTGTTTATAGCCAACTATTGCAATGCATTGATTTAAAGAACTTCAAAGAAAAATCACTTAAAATTAAATTGGAGTTCCTTAACTCCAAGGATAAAAGGTTATTCACTGCAACACTTTTTTGGTATCGGCCAAAGAAAAGGAAAAAACGAAATAAACTGGATAGATGTGAAAGCACTAATACAGCAGTGACTTTGGAATAAATGTGTCTATTTTAATTAATGCTAGTGATAAATATTTCTTAAATTTCAACTATTTCAAGCCCATCTTGCCATAATTGTTTTCAAAACACATCTTTACCATTATTATCACGCAATCAGGGAAGTGTTTTTCTTTTAATTTTCACAGAACTTAGAAATACTTCTAAAAAAGGAATAATTCGCAAAGAATATTAATCAGTGAAGAAATGATAAAATTATAAGAAAATAAAATAACTCAACGTATCATAAGAAGGAATATTTTCCTATTTTTTCTGCAAATTTAATCAACTCTGGAAAAGAAAATTATTATAGCATTCATATTTTAAACCAAAATGTTTACAAAATAATATAACCTGTATCTCAGCTAATGGTCCGCATTTGATGATTTTTTAATTGTTTCGTTGGGAATTTAGTAACCTTTCAAATAATCATTGGTACATTCAACAAAAAAGGTATACTTTTTGAGTTGTTCACAAATAAAGTTTTTTTTTTCCTTCATAACATTTTTCCGAAATTATAGAGGGACTAATTTTCCCACCTGAAGGAGATCTTCAAAATGAGAGTTCAATCATGGATTTGGTGAAGGGTTAATGAAGATATGGCTTACCAACAAAAAAATAACACCTTTGAGAAATAATACATTGAGTAGGCAAGTTCTTTCGGTTTTTCAGTGTGAAATAAAACTCAATGTGTTATAGACATAAAATTTATTTTAATCTACAATATATTGACCATTATTTAATATGACTTTTTCCCATCTTTCCACTAACTGTGGATAATGCCATGTTCATAGAATGGCTGGTGTTCATTGTTAAAAAATTGATCCAAGTGGTTTTTGATGTCCTCTTCCTTTTGGAATTTCTTTCCATTCATGGAGTTCTGTAGAGACTGGAATAAGTGGTAGTCACTTGGAGCTAGGCCTGGTGAATGGAGAAGGTGTGGCAAAAGGTCTCACCCAAGGCTCAATAATTTATTGCAAGTGAACAATGAGGTGTAGGGCCTAGCGTTGTCTTGGTGGAACACAACACCCTTCCGATTTACCAGTTCTGGGCGTTTATTTTTAATTGATTGATCCAATTTTGTTGATTGTGAGCAGTATAGAGTTGACTCAATTGTTTGGCCTGATGACAGAAGCTCATAGAAAATAATACCCTTGAAATCCCACCATATGGAAAGCATTATCTTCTTTGGATGCAATCCGGCTTTTGACTTTTTCTACAGACTACATTATCATACAATATCCATTTTCATTTCCTGTTACCAACCTTTTCAAAAATAAGTCGTTTTGTTGCTGTTTCCATAGTGAATCACAAACAGAAATGCATGTTGCCAAGTTGACTTCGGTTAGAGAGTGAGGAACCCAAACGTTAACATAGCCAACTGGAACTGGAAACATAGACAAGCTTGTGCAAATGTGTTTCTACGCTTGTGTGTGACACTAAGGCCATAGCAATCTCTCGCACTTATTGGGTGGGATTTTGATCAATAACAGCCTTTACACTGCTCGTTTCAATTTCATGTGGTCAACCAGACCGTTGAGCATCATTGATGTCAAAATTTCCTAAATGAAATTTGGCAAACCAATTTTGACAGGTGCGTTCAGTTAAGGCATCATCCCCATAAACACTGCAAATTTTTCTATAAGCTTCTGCAGCTTACCTTTCTTAAAATAATATAACAAAATATGCCGATAATGAATGATATGTTCTTCCATATTCACAGTGCAATAGCAAACACAATGCTAAGCTAGTTTCAACAAGAGTTAACAGATGTAGTTGTTGACATATTACAAACAGGATAAACAATCCACCTTAGGGATTAATTCATCAGATAAGAAGTGTATCATAGTGACATAAAAATAAACAGAAAAACCAAAAGGACTTATTTGCCAACCCAATATAAAGATCTTAACAAAATGAAAAAATTGATTTGTTACACAATTATATTATAATTGAGACTAATAAAATTTAGACTTATTTTGATCTTTCATGTTAATATGTGCATAAGCTGAATTAACAATGGATATATTTGTAACCTGGAACCAAAATGGCCTATGTCCAAAAAATTTTTGAACAATACAAAAGTAATCAGATTAAGAGATACTAAAGGAATATACTGACCAGATTATTTCTTTATTTATTATCTTTTATTTTTGTTCCGTTTATTCAAAGGTTATATTTTTCTTATAACAAAATGAAGTGGAAATGGGAGAGAATTAATAAACATAGCTGGTTTTTGATTGTTTTGGAATAAGAATTTCAGTTTAGTCATGTATGAAGAACTTTTACTTGACTATGGCATATTTAAAAATGTATAAAACACAATATAGATATGATTTTTTGATGTGAGGATTGCATTTAAAAGATATGTACACATATAATTTTTATTCAACAATGAAACATATATTACAATTTCTATTATAAATTATAAAAATAATATCTACTTGTATATATTAAATATTTTCAAACAAGACTACAAAATTAAGTGGAATGTTCTCAACAAATGCATAGAGATCCTGAGATAGGGCATCAAATAAATACTGTAATTAATTGACTTTAATTTTCAAATGCTCCGCTAGCCCTCTCGCTCCGTCCAGGTTCCCGATGGAAAGTAAGTAGTCGTGTAGTGATGAATAAACTGCAACTATTAATTGCTGTAAACTGTGTTAAGGAAGAAATCATCTTAGAAAATACATTAAATAATTTTTAAAATAATGAAACAAATAATAATAAAGTAAAAGAACTAGTAGATATTTAGTAATTTTAGTGATGTATATTTTACTTCCTTCTGTCAAAAGTAGGAAAGCTTCGTATTTATGCGAGGGGCTAAAAAAAATAATGTTTTCAGAATAAAAATTTTCACTCACATTTTATATTCTAGACATCAAGACGCAGCTTTTTGAGTTGGCATACCTGTATAGCTGAAAGGCTAGCTAGATAGAGGGGAAAAAAAGGTAGTGATACTGGTTCTAATAAGATTGTAGCATTATCTGATATTACTCTCGTATCAGGCAAGGTATAAAGAGAAGAGTATTCATTACAATGGGAGGATATTATGGCCAAAACAGTGCAGATTTATATAGAATATTTGTTGATAAGAGATTTGCAGATATATTTGATTCCCTATCTTTCTGTAATCAAACTGATATGACGTGCGTGTCATCTGCTACTGTGAATCTGATTTCCATGATATTTTCAGAGATTGTGAGGTATTGTACCTAGATAGTCCCGCAACAATCCAATCTCAAAAATATAATGGCTGTGAAGTATGATAGTCAATAAATGTATGGAAATTAGAATGATTCATCAAACTTGAGGATGATAGCACGTTTTTATGAAACATGATTCTATATTATTATAACACAAGGGACTTCAACCTAACTAACTAAGGACTTCAACCTAACCAACTAGGGACTTTTTCAACATTTGATTTTGTGCATTTAATCCTTAAATAACTTTTTGAAGTGAAAACTCCTTGAGGCGTATTTTGTACTTTTTTTTTGGAGAGTGGATTAGATTGAGCAGTCAGATCTCCGATGTGTAACTCTTGGGTAAAGTCAGCTGGAGTCGACTAATTAAAGTGTATAAGTAAGAATATTTTTTTCCAGTGATTTATTCTCCCATTCATTCCACTCAATTACATCATTACATCATAAGGTTTCGGGATCCACTTATATCCCATCTTCAGACAGTATCCCGCATCATATTATTCTCCATAAGACTTGTCATATTATTGTCCTATTCCTTGAAATCCTATTTTAGTCTCCTCCAGGGAGAGCCTAGTCAGCATCTGACTAAGCTCTCCCTAGAGGAGACTAAAATAGGATTCCAAGGAATAGGATAATCCGTACATATATTATTACAGTAAGGCTCGAAATCGGTTTTGTTCCAAATATAAGCTCCTGTCATGCTCAAATACCATGAATGGGGTACCGTTGGAATCAGAATTTCACGGGGGGTTAGCAAATAGTATTCTCCACTTTTGTTTTTCTTTCTAAAATAAATAAAGTCGATACAAACATTTTGCTAAGCTTCAATACTGGAACGGTGGTAGGTCTGTAGATCGATGCGGGACAAATTGGACCTTGAAGATTTTGATGCGTACAGCAAGACCCGGATAGTTCCTCCGGAACTATCGGATCCTGCGTTTTTAAGCCCAAAAACGTACTATTTTCGAGATAACGCAAGGCATGGGGTTCGAATCCATGGTGGTTTTTGATCGGCAAGCCATATCATCGTTAATTCTTCACCAAATCTCAAGATCGAGCTACCAATTTCGAAGGCTTCCTTCTCCTTCAGGCGGGAAAAATATTCCAATCACCCCGAAAATTCAGGCAAACAAGTTATGAAAAAAAAGAAACTTTATTTGCGAATAACTAAACAATTACACACTTTTCCCTTGGTTATTCCTATGATTATATAAAACATTACTTAATTGTCTACAAAAGGAAAAAAAAATCATTAAAATCGGACACTTTTTCGCGAAGATACAGCTTATTGAAATTTGTAAATATGTTGGTTTCACACAAAAATGAAGATTTAAATTAATTTTGTTTCCTTTGTGGATTATATTTATGGATAAAGTAACAATTGATTTCTTTATCTTTTGATACGTTGCATTATTTCATTTTCTTATTAATTTGGCATTTGATAACAGTATGCTGTGCGAATTTTTCGCACGGGCCTACTAGTAATATATAAAAAAATAATATAATATGACAAGTCTTATGGAGAATAATATGATGCGGGATACTGTCTGAAGATGGGATATAAGTGGATCCCGAAACGCTACAATGTAATGATGTAATTGAGGGGAATAAACAGGAGAATAAATCACTGGAAAAAATATTCTTACTTATATACAAATAAGTATCTCTCCCTTAGGATAAATGAAGGAATGAACTAATTAAAGTGTTTTTGCATATGGATTAAAATATCTTAGAAACTAATAATCGGACCTGCATATTGTAAGTGAGGGAAATGTTCAGTATTTCATCCTCTTTATAATGAGCAATAAATATTGTAGCTTTATATTATTTCATATTATTCTCGCCTTGTTGCTGTTTTCACTTCTATCATATCGTCTAAAGCACACAACTTAGTTGTTGTTTTTTTATAGATTTTCTATTTTCATCAATATCAGAAGTAATGAAAAAATAAATCTAAAATAAAAAATTTATAATAGAGTCAATAAAAAAAAAGGATATGACTTATATCGATATCGTAATGCTGGCAAGCCATCAGGAGGAGACCACCAGTCAACACTTGATGTTGACTGTATAACATTTCCAACGCTTTCTCAAACTGCAATTGTGATATCAAAACCAAAATAGCAGCAAACTAAAACAAATATCGATTAATACAATTTAATATTTATAAATAAACATATATTATTAAAATAAAACTAAATTAAATAAATATTTAATTTACCCTATCTCCGTTTGAGGCTAAATGGTCTGCAAACTTCTTCATCACCTCAACAGCATCAGGGATTGGTAAAACAGATTTTGCAAGCCATACTGCTGATTCCCACATTCCATAAGACACCAAGTACCTGCATCCATCGAGACCTTTTCCGATGAGGCACAAAAGCTGAACACCTTCAAAAAGTAAAAATTCATTATTAATAATCATAAAACATGTTAATATTCTTGATCACTAATGATGAGAGAGTGAGCCATTAATCAAGTGTTAATACACTAGAGAATTGCATATTACCTAAAACCACGAATTCCTATAGGTATAAGATATCTGGAGATAAGATGCCTTAAGAAAGAATTGACCAAGGGATCTCTATCTATTATAATTCCAGAACAACTAGAGATTTGGAGATGGAAGGGTACTTAGTCTGTGGTACAAACTCCTATTTATCAAATTATTAACATCCTCCTCAAACTTCGTAAATAGCTTCATCTCATCGTAACCTACAAATATTTTATTTGCTAAAATTCTCGGAATTGAGATGTTTTTAATCTGGAGATCAGCAAACTTTGTCTATTTAATTAACCACTAAAAATTCATGAATACCCATTTGCTCTCCACTTGAATCAGATATCATCACAAAATCAAAAAAAGGTAGTCTAAAAAAATATTGGGCGATTTGGACAACTCCACCCCCAAAATGTCGAAATAATGAGGTTATATAGGACTAATGGTACAATATTTTTGAAGGCCACCTTTTTTCTCGACTTTGTGCTAAAGTTATCTTAAGATTAAAGTGGAAAGCAAATGGGCATTTACAAAGTTTTAGTACCTAATTAAACAGATAAAGTTTGCTAACCTCCAGATTGAAAATGTCCCAATTCCGAGAATTTTCATAAATAAAAAATTTGTAGTTACATTGAGATGAAGCTATTTACGAAGTTTCAGCCGGATGATAATAATTTGGTAAAAAGAGGTTTGTACCACGGACTATTCATTTTAATGTTATTAATATTTTTATTACTTTCAATTCACACTGTTTATAAATTTTATCTAAATATCATGCAACTTCCACAATTCTCTATATACTTTTGTATCTTGTTCCTTCTAGCCCTGAAGACCTGCATAGTTAGGTCGAAATGCCGGCTTAAAATAAAATATTTTTTTCACTACTTTAAGTTTTTTTATGACCAGACCATTTCCTTATTCGAAATATATTTTATGTTTATGGCTCAATATTTCTCAATCTTTATTACCTTTTTTCGGCTTATTATACTGCATATTTCAATAGTTTTTGTTGCATATAAATCCAGGACTTTGCTATAAATATTTTATTGAGTTTTCAATATCAAGAGCCACTCATAAATGCTGCTGTTTAGTCTTGCTGAATACGAGCAGTCAGTGATTGGTAAGACTACTTTCCCTACCGACTGCTAATTAAAAGTGAGTAAAATGAACATTTTAATTTATCATATACCTTCCCAAATCTTTCCATTAGCAATCAGATTCGTTGCCACTAACTTAATAGTGCTCTGAGCCGCTCCAGTTTGCTGAATCGTAGCGACCAAGCAAGCTCTGAAACAATTTATTATGAATGATGATCAAACATCTAGACAAATATTTCATTTTAACAGATATATATATATATATTTTAATCATGCCTGAATACAGGCATTTGCTCTTTGCATTTGCTCACAGTCAAAATGATACACTTGAATATTGATAGAAATTATTGAATAAATATATAGTTCAATTTATATTAGATTAAAAACAATCATTTATTCTAATGAATAAATATCTTAAAGTGTTATTTTCTTATGTTCTCATGTTATGATATCTTTTATATTTTTTTCTTGTTATGTTTTTTGGTGAGAGATTGTATAGTGGCTCCTGGTGTAGGAAATATTCACTATACATAAAACTGTTCCTAATATTCCAACTCTGTTCCTACATGATAATCCCATCAAATTCTATCCCTCCATCAAAAACCTTGAAATGATCTTTGATCAAACACTTTGCTGGAAAAATCATATATCCAACATCTCCTACCATACCATTTCCACCTTAAAACGTCTAAATTACTCCCATCACCTATTTCCCCTTGAAACCCATAGGCTCCTAGTAACCTCCTTAATTTTCCTCCACTTTGACAATCTCGAGGCGAAATTAAAACAGTTGATAAATTGCTTTGTACGATTCATCTTCAGGATCCCAAGGGACGCCTCTGATTCCCGTTTTTATGCAGAGTTGAAATGGCTTTTTCCTTCCTATCTTCGTAAGTATTTTTTCCTGGCATCCTTCCTGTTTCAAGTCATCCAATCCCACCGTCCCTCAAACATCGAGCTCCTTCAATTCAAATCCTCTGTTCGTTCCCGCAATGCTCGTTCCCGGTCTTCTGATTTATACATAATTTCTTATCCATCCAGTCCATTGTAAATAGTTAATACTGTAAATATATAATATATAATATATAATATATAATATATAATATATATATATTATTAGATCGTTCTTCATTATTTTTACTTCATATTTATTTTCAATTTTGTATTATTAACTGATTTAAATTAGAAAATAACTTATAATTTCTTTTATTATTTTTTTATTTTGACTATTTAATGAAGCTATATTATTGTTTATGTATCTCTGAGGTTCCTTAGCCCACATTTTTGTCTTTCTGTATTATTCTAAAGGGACTCGTCCGAGAATAAATAAAGCATTATTATTATTATTATTATTATATAGTAGAAATATTCACAAGGTAAAGTGAAGAAACATGTTTACTTAGAAATTTTAAGGAGAAACTTGAATGAAATTGTGGAAAATTTGGATTTTAAAAACAAATTTCGTTTTTATCAGGATAATGAAACCAAACACTTTGCTGTGTTAGTTAAGGAATGGCTACTTAATAATTACCCCAAAATTATAAAAACACCACAACAGTCACCGTATCTTAATGTTATAGAACATCTGTAGGCAAAAATAGAGGTATAAATTAGAAAACACGAGATTTCTGACAAAGAAGACTAAAAAATATCTCCTTAAAATCCTTAAAAAGAATGGAACAGACAGCCCGCGATCACAAAAAAAAAAAAAAAAAAAAAAAAATAGACTGAAAGGAATAGTAGAAAATAATGGCTTGCCTAAAAGGTGTTGAATTAAATTAATAGTATTTAAAAGTTAAAAAGAAATGAGGTGTATCATTTTGACTGTGAGGTAAAATTGTTGTTTTTTTTAATTAATTTTTTTAAATTATCACAGTTGAATATTTTAATTTTATTGAGTTTGTACATTAAAATGAGATTATAAATAAATCTGTTGACGAGTTTCTGGTTTTATTTATTTACTGTAACCCCATTGAAGTACTTTTTCTTATTTTTCTACAGGGTGAGCCACTGTAAATTGCTCAGGCAGTTCAAATTTACAGTTACTATCTTTCATTAAGATGGTACAGTACTATGTCATATTTCCATTAATAACTGCCATGACAACATGAATAAATAATTTTTCATACATATAATTTTATTAAAATGTTGAAAACTAAAATTTATCACATAAAATGGATATGAATATTAATAATAGAATAAATAACCTAGAAAAAAACAAAACAGAAACCTATAGGTAAACAACTTATAGAAGACTCCTGTTTAACAAAATGTTAAAGTTTAGGAGGAAAAGGTTTTAAGCTTAAGATTTGATGTTTTATTTATAAGTTACAGGGTAAATATAGGTTTTTTTTTCTTCTAATTAGCTCATGCACACTAAGTTTTTCCTTAAGTTATTTACTTGAAACTATAAAATGTTTACTTAGAATAATTCATAAAACAAAGTGGTTACTTGATGGCATCTGTGTAATAGTTAGGGTTGTCAATGTCTGTCTCAAGTAGGAGTTGCACAGCTCTGTCCATTTCTCCGAGCAGAACTAACCTCTCGACAACCATTTGGGTGTGTTTGTAATCGCCCCGTTTCCATTCATGGAGACTAACACGGTCTAGCTGAAGCCTCTGGAAAAATTATATAAAATGGAAATTAAAACAATTAAAGAAAAAATTAAAAATTATATTTAATGATAGTGATAACAAAAGAATAACCTGATACGAGTAAGGATCCATCAGATAATCGTAACATGTATCGAGCGGTTCAATGTCTGGGTATTGATTCATCCTCTTCAAATCCATCGACAAAGAGTCATCTTTTGAAAGAGTACTTTGTTTTTCGCTGTAATAATGAAAAGCTTATATTAACAAGAAATAATTCTTGACTTTTTAATGGTAATTTTTGGAATATTATACTAAATTTATACCTTTTTTTATCAGCAGCTGAAACTTTTAAATAATACAGAGCCACTGTCCATAAGTCAACACCGTACGTGTCCCCAAGCATTTCACTCACCCTAAGACACTTTTCAGCAACATTTAAATCAGCAAACTCAGGTCCTATGTCGAGCAACTCCAGTTGAGAATTTACCTCTACAAGAAAATTTAAAACAGTATAGACAAACTCTATTTGAGGACAAGTTCCTTAAAAATAAAAAGTATGTCAAACAGGCAGAAATCATATCTGGTTAAAAAATTCAAACAATATATCGTCGGCTTAAACTCAATAAGTACATTTTTGATAAAACTGAACTTTTGAGAATGTTCTTGTGAATTTCAATCTTATTTATCGTTAAAAAAAATTTAGCCAGTTTACCAAAATGAAACAAACCCTTTTATACATCAGATATGGTTCCAATAGGTACACAATGTTCTAATTTCACAAGTGTCATTATCAAAGTACTTAGTAATTTGAGATTATGAAATGTGACTTAAAAATATTTACAATACACCGGTGATATACGACACCTACATTAACAGAATTTAAACAACAAAAATCATCACAATTGGACAAGTATGTGTAGAGAAATGGCATTTTAACTTTTTGCATGTTTTGTAGCAAAGTTGATTTATTATATTTTATAAATCGAAAAATTTAAATCAACGGAGTGTTATTTGAAGGACAATTTGACTTTCAAAAATTTTTTAACCAAAAATGAAAAAAAAATCTTGAGGCCATTTTTTAATTTATTTTTCCAGTAATGGTAAAAAATGAAGAATGAGATACCACACATATTTGATGTATAACTATTCAAAAAGAAAAAAATATTGTCTAATAATTTCAGAATGATTGCTTAGTTAAGGAATAAATTTAAATTTTGTAAATACATTTCAACTGTTGTTCCATGTAATACATTAAACAAACTTTTAAAAATGTAACACAAACACATCTGTTAAATATGTTTTGGGTAACAAAATTAAAAAGTCAGGTTAAAGGTTCGAAAAAAATAAATAAATAAATAAGGATACTAACGAGCAAGGTTTTGTTCAGGAATGCCATCTTGTACACATAGAGTTCTATAGTTCGGGGTCGACTTCCAGAACTGTGTGCATAATATGAATTGCATCTTTGTTAATAATTTTGGAGATAACATTGTTGGACAGCTGATGATATCTTGAAAACAACAAAGTTAGAATAATGGAAGGAAATTTATTTTGTAAAGCACATAATTGTTAATATACTAATTAATAAGATAACAAACATTTAAAGTTATACTGTGAGATGGGAGAGGATGTACAAGTGAGCTTTATGTCGAGGATTCGAATCCAGCCATCTTCAGTAGCTATTACCGGGAGTTCCGAATTTGCCCAATCTGCATCAACAATTTTACTATTCTCTCTGCCCCATTTCAACTGAGCTTTTTTCTCATATTGATTCTAAAAAAAAATCCATAAACTGATTAAATTTTATTAATTTGTGAATGTACAAAATAATTAACTTGCATAGAAAGAAAAACTGAGAATGATTTATTATTCTATAAAAGTTTCACAAACCATCCCCTTTATGGCCTTAGATATTCCTTATATGTATATATTGTTACCAATTTTAATAATTACTATGTTTTATATTTCAATATCCTTACATTTAAGGATTCAACAATAATTTAACTGCTACATTTAAGGAACAACATTATCTGAAAATGGAGATGCGCACATCAGAATTTATTATAAAATCCTTGGATAAGCAGATGTAGCACTCCTTGGAAGCAATCAAGAGGACATTAAGAAACTCACTAAGACTCTGATGAGAGAAGTAAAGCAAATTGGCGTACAAGTAAATGAAGATAAAACAAAATATATGATACTAAGGTGAAAATCCCACCCTGACAACAGAGAAATCGTTCCCGAGAGTAGAATAATTCAAATATCTCAGCTCCACAATAACCTCAATGAATGACTAACGGTCAGAAATAGACCAGACTACAACAATCAGAAACAGAGCTTCCATCTCCTTTTCAAATCTCATGAAATCATAAATTAAGAGTGAACAATGCGATTATAAAAAGCCAGTTCTGAAATACGGCTGTGAGCCATGGACTCCAATCAGCATCCTAGAAAGAATTATTGAAAGATTTGAGATAAAAATCCTTTGCACAATAACCGAAGCGTTCTGGGATCAGAGTTCTAAAAAAAAAAAGAAGAAAGATCAATAAAGGCATGCAGCTCGTAGTAATCCATCTGGAAGCCTCAACACAACAATGAATGCCTCAATCGTAGGTAAAATGCCATATGGAAGGCCAAAAAACAGATGGATAGATAGAATCAAGAAAGATGCAATACAGGAATAGCCCAAGATAGGCAGTGATAGAGAAGGCTTATTAAGACGGCAAAAAATCTACAAGGTCTGTAATGCCAAAGAAAAAAAAAAAATTCTTACATTTTTTATTTACTCTTCTAATTATTTTTAATGTCTTTATCTCATTTATCTTATTTAATAACTCTTATAGTATTCTATACTGTTGTTTCTTTTTCTTTATAGCCTTGATGAAGACCAGCGTATCTGGGTTGAAACATAGGCTTAGTAAATAGTTGCCACTATTTTAAGTTATTTTATGAGTGCAATCCTGGACCAGCTCTATCCTAATTATAAAAATATTAAATATTCAGTATTTGCACCTATTAGATATTTGTCTAAACTTTTAGATAAAAGTTATAAAATAAATAAAATTATACAAATATGGAGGTCGTTTCCGTGTAAAAAGAAAACAAGCAAATTAACATATATATATTGATTCTCTTACCTGATCCAAGTCAATTATATCAATACCATCATTGAATAATATAAGGAATTTCAAATTAGTTTTTCCAGGCGCGAAGCGCAAATACTTGATGGCACCTCTGTTAGTATTCACATTTCGAGATGATCTTGCTTTTAAATCCCACAGGTATACACAGCCATCCATATCACTCAGCACAATTTGATTGGCTTTGAATGCAAGCGAAGTGACCATGTTGACATAACCTGACTACAAAAAATAAACAAAATCAATAATGATAAAAAATAAAATAGGAAGAGAAAGTTTTCGATGCTGATTAAAAAGACTAAATTTTTTTCCATGGCAATGTAGGGATAAGCCAAATATCTTTTAAAATCTTTTTACTCTTCCAAATATCAGCCTTAAAATAACAGAAAAGAAATTTATTATCATTAAGAATATTTTGATAGGAATATTATATTTTTTTTTTTGTGCTATAAAAAGCTGAATCTTTAAAGTAAATTTAATGTTGGATAAAAAAATAAATAAAAATCTGTTATTTTTTACATGCTTAAACATTTTTTTTCTATCTATATCAAAAAATTCAATTCATAATATCAAACTTTTTATTTACATCAGTTTTCATAATGAATAAAAATAATGGTTGAAATGTGAAGCAAACATACTGTAGACAGGATATTTGGTAAATACATAGAGGTTTAAAAAATATAAAATTACAATTTAGTCAACTGAAAATTTTATTTAGCAAGCCGTAAGTTCGAAAAAAAAAAAACTTAAAGAGAGCCTTGACTTACTAAGTTTGATGTGATAAAAAATAATAAAAAAGAAAGACAGTTGAGGCAAAGAAAGCATTAAAAAAAAAATTTAAGACGAGGCTTTGTACATTTGATTATAACAACATTGCTGGTTTTTTCAATCAGTACAAAAATATTTCGGTAAATTTTTTATTAGATAGTCCTGCTCAAAATTAAATATTTATTTCATTTTTTAAATTCTTATTGTTTACATTATAAAATTAATGCATCATATCATGGTATATTTTGTGGTACAAGGCGATATATAAATTTATAATTTTAATCATAGAAATGTTTTTGTGTTTCAAAATGTAGACTATAGGTCAAAACTTTAGACTTGGGCATAGAACATTATGTAGTATTCAAAATAAAGTTAGACTGAAAAAAAGGTTTAGTTATGAGGAAAAAGAAAAAAAATGATAAAATATTTTCATTCAATTCAGATTTATGGCTGCCCTTTTTTTGAGAGAACAAGATTTTTTATGAAAAACATAAAGATGGCGATACTTTAAATTGAATAAATTATTTTCTTTATCAATAACACAAATTAGTCTTATATGAATCAATAAATTAATTTATATCCTAATCATAAACCAACAAACTTAACAGAACTTTCTTGTATAATGTATTATAAAATACCTCAGGTGGAATTTTCATGCCATCCTTTATGCTATCTCCTTCGACAGAAAAATGATATAGTTGACTATTGTTGTCGGAGAGAACCAAATGCTCCCTGACAAGTGTGCGGTATCCACCATCATAAATATCTGCAATATTTCATAAAATAAATGTTAATAAGTTAAAATCATATTGTATAACAACAATTTAATATTTTTTTAAGAATATATTTATAATTATTATTAATACCAGACTTAGATTTTCTTTTTGACTGTAATGATTTCGCACTGTAAATTGGAGACCATTCCTAAAAATAATTATTTATAAGGTTTCTCTTTTATTTATCATAATAAATAATTATTATAAATTATATATTTATCATACAATTGCTGTTAAAGATGGGAATTTTTTAGTTATGGCTCTTAGGAGAGTTAGGGTTGCCAAGTCCCATAGCTCAAATGGTCCTTCCTTTAGATATATAACAAAGTATTGCCTGAAAACAATAATATATTTTTATTTTAAAAATAAACTCACCTAATTAGTTATTTTTCTAAATACTTCTTAGAATAAATTTAAATTTTATAACGTTTAATAGATACCTCAAAGGTGACACCCTCAGAATGGATATTGGATTTTCATTGCTTTTGTCTGTCCTTATCGACATTGTTTGTCCTGTTCTTATGTCGGTAATGAACACTTCATTCTTAACTTTACTTCCCTCTCCGTAACCAAATGTGATAATGCTTCTTAATCCAGTCCATTCTATACCCCTGATTAAGATAATGATATAATACATTTTAATAATTATACAAACAAAAAAATTTTAAATGTATATAATTTATACCACAAGGAATAGTAAATACTTTGAAATCAATCCTAAGAGACAGTTTTTAAATGTCTTGGTATAGAAGTACAGTATGAAGGCCTAAACACCTGTCTCCGTAGCCAAAATTTAAACATAAGTTACTGTAGGAACTAGTCAACCCTGTGAAAACATTTTTTTGGTTTATTGCAAAAAGCCATTAAGTGACATTTCCTAACTTTAACTAATTAAAAACTTCAAACATTTTTTCTTTATGAAATCAGGCAATTGTGAGCTTCTTGTATTTGATGTATAAAACGATTTGTGGCATTTTTATGTTCTAAAAGTATTTTTGTTTTGATAAATATAGTCAAAATTCAGAAAAACATTTTTGAAAGTTAATCTATATCAAAAAAGCACTTGGCGACTTTTTTCAATAAACAAACGGTTTATTTAATTTTTTTTTTACGCTGTTTATTACCACCAATTTATCTGTAAAACTAGTGAAGACAAGTTCTACTCTACATGAATTTATACTCCTAATTAACAAAAGCTGATGGCTAAATTTTCTTTTAAACTCATATATTTTTAAAAATATTTAATTACTTTAACGATACATTTATAGAAAAAATAATGTATATATTTTTTAAAAAATTGCCATACCTGATCGGATTGCTATGTATTACCAATTCTTTAAATATAGTACCGTATGACAAATGGTAGAGATAAAGGTAACCAGTACTGGTACCAACGGCGAGAAGAGGCAAATAAAAATCTTTATTTCTTTTTGTCATCGGCGGACACATTCTCATTATTGTTATGTTACCGTTGATGCCCGAGAGAACAGATGTAGGCAGGAGCCTCAAAGGTGCCTTTTCCTACAAAATTTATAAAGTAAAAATTGAAAATAAATTAAAAATCTTTACTAAATAATAAATGACATACGACTGAAAGAGGTGAAAATAAATCAGAGATTGTTCGCAGCTCCGAATTGTCTATGCCACTGTTAAGCTCTAATTCCAAAAAAATCACTTTTCCAGAACTTAAAAACAAACCTGAAAAATATATTTTTGTTATAAATACACATTTGATACAAATGAAAAAATAAATAAATAAACTCACTGTACCAATATTTTTTTCTGAAATAGGATCCAAGGATATACCAAGAACTCTTGAACTTTTAATTTGTCGAATAATTTCACTCTGACATTTATGTTCGTAATACATGAACATATCCGAAGAATATGAACCAAAATCTGAAATATTGTTTTATATATTAATTATAATTATTATATAAAAAAATGTATTCAATTATTTTATCAAATATAAATAAATATATCCGAACCTGCACTAGAATTGTCATTCCCATCAAGAGGTGATGGAGTGATTGTTTGATATACTTTTTTCCTTACTTTGACACTGACACTTCCGGATTCGTGAAGGCAGTATAATAAGTCACGATGCCTGGTAGTAATAACCTGAATGCATTACCATAAATTTGTAATTGCTATTAAAAAAATAATACAAACACTATAAAAATACAGATCTACTCCTTATTAAGGATGGAAATAATCCAGGAATTTTTTGTGTAACAAATTTTTTTTATTTCAGTTAATCAGTGTATTTTGTTTTTATTTTTTTGCAATTTTGATGCCCAGTTCCGGTTCTTCATTCTCAAAGGACTTAGTCCCAGAATAAAGTTGATTTTCTATTCAACTTATAAATTTATAAAATTTTAATTAAAAATTAAATAAATTTGTTTTAATAAAAACAATTTATAAAAATTAATATTGTATTTTTTAACAACAATATTAACTTCAAAAATGAAATTTATTGTCTTTATATAATAAAATCTTTTTTTATTATTTTTTTTCTAAAATAAAAAAAAAAAATAACAGTTTTTCCATTTTTTTTTTTTTTTATCTCAACTGGTTATTTCTATAACTAGTTATTTTGAGATAATTTAAAAAAGATATTATAAGAACTACAAAAATGTATATATCATCAGTGCCATGTTAAAGAAATGAATGTACAACGTTAAACAGACACACATTTATTACTTTAATATTGTGCTGATGATCTATTTCTAGGTATGTTTCCATAGCGATGATAAATAATGGCAAGAAAAAAAATATGTTAGAGATTTTGTAGACTTTTGGAATTCGTAAGTGAACAACAATTATTGTTGTCTTACATAGGATCTGCATCAAGATCGTTTTGTATGCAATGTTAAAGATAAATCTTACAAAAATACTTTTATAACTAACATTTCCTTATAATTATATTATTACCTGCAAAAGAGGAGACATGGTTCTTTCAATGGGTACAATGCCAATAGTTTGATGAATATGCAAATCAATTAAAATGATATCACGTGGATATAACAAAATTAAATGATGGCGTAAAGATTTATGATACATCAGTTGAACACATTCACTGATAGTCATTACTTCATCTGGCCTAGAAAATCAAAATATTAATCAGATTGTAAAATATGAATCAGCATGTTTTTAAGAACGATACAAACTTAGGTTTTGTTTCAGCAACTACCAGCCCTTTCATTAATTTCTTTAAACGATCACGACCTCTGATATTCTCCTCAAAACTGGAATCAAGCCTAGGAGTAGATATATAATACTTTCTACCATTAGTTGATGGTATTTTTCCAATTTTAAAATCATCCACAAATAATATACAATCATGACACAAAACTGGAAGTAAAATAAATCTTTTACTTACAAATTAAATAAATTAAAATAGGTACAGTAAAAAAATATTACATGCTATCTTCGATCCGTCAAAAGGATCAAAATTAAAACTGAGTAGAGCATCAGTAAAACTTTTTTTCCACAACTTTGCTTGTTTTTTTATGTCCCAAATTATGAGAAAGTAAGGAGAATGAAGAGCTGCCAGCATTAATTCATTTTCCAGGCCAGGAACCCATTCCATACCTAAAAGAAAATAATTAATTGAATATTGTTAAGTTAATAAATAGAATATTGTCTCTCTACAAGAAAAATTAGTAATAAAATCAAACCAAAGTTTTAATAACACGAAAAAAATAAATGAAAAGGGATGTTACTTTTAATATATTTAAGGTTATTTAATGATTTATGATTTGAATTTCATGCAATAGGTCTATTACAATAAAAATTTTGACTTTCAGCAGGCTCTCAGCTGTAGTACAGTTTTCCCTTTCGAAAACTTACTAACTCGCACCTTCACAAAATATAGAAAAACTTTCATATGACCCTTCATTTATCTGACAAGAACCTTACATTACCAAGAATGATTAAATATCGGTTGAAGTCACTAATAATTTACTTTTAAAATATTACAACGATATAAAATATAAAATGATCGGTGATTAACATTATTACAATAGAACCCTCCTTAAAAGGCTATGTGGATTGAGCAGAGTAAAAATGAAAAAAAGAAAAATTAAATTACCTTTTTCACAGTTTTAACTGACATTTACTTTATCATCAGAACTAAATTATTCAAATTGGAAGTTCATTAACATACATAAGATAGTTTTAAATAAAAAAAAATCTTGATCTATGAAGTTATGAAGATTAAAAAGGTAGGAAACAGCAAATATCTTATTATATTCCACTGAGGCATTGTTGATGTCCTGACTAGAACAGATAAGGATAGAGTTCTACCGTATTTTATTTAATTATAATATATTGGAAATAAACATTTTTATTATGTTGCAGGCACCAGTATAGTATATTTTACCATCAGATTGCTTTAAATTGATATTGAACCCATTTATATGATATACATAAAGGAGCGATAATATACTTAAGTCTCTTTTATATAATAAAATACCCGGAGATGAAGACATACACAAAAGAATAAGTCCTACCTAACACAGCTTTATTCCCATCTTGTAGAAGTGCTAGTGCTGTCGACGTTGTAACGTCCCAATGTATTATTTGACCTGAAACATCCCCTGAGACGAGCTGTATCCCTGGATTTCCATCCCGCTTAGTTTCTACACCAGATACCCATAAAATCTAAAATGAAATTGAAAAAAATTACTTTCAGTTTGAATCAGTATAAATTTGGTCTGGACTCAATAATACTAAACATGAGTTTTTAATCAAGTAGATACCTTTTTAACAGTTGATTTGTGTTTATCTAATGTTTGTACAACTTGAACATTTCTTGTATCAATGACAAACACTGTTGAGTTAGATCCATACGCCATCAAGCCATGATAGCCCCTTAACATAAATAATTAATGTTTGTAAGACAAGATATTAAAGACGGAATATATATTTAATAATGAAACTAAAGTGGATTCCTATGTCTTTCTTAAACATATAAACAGTGACAAACCAGTCAATTGCTCCTTTATTGGACATATTGGCAGGACCAGTAATCGTCCTGGGAGAAACAAGTTGGAATTGATGAACAGGCCCAGGTTTTCGGTCATTGTCATCTTCAATAATATAACTGTCACTCAGCTTATTATCCCCTGCTACGTTTTGATCAAATTTATTTTGAAGATTAGGGGAATTGAAAAAGTCTGAGGAAGCCATCTGATTTAAGTTATTGATACATTGATTGCTTTATAAATTAGGCTAATTGTACTTATAACAAATACAATACAAATTAATGATAAAGTATATTCTCAAGGGGCTAGTAAGTAATTAATTAATTATAATATCTAATAAAGACATTTTTGACAGTTGACACAAGGAAGGTTACTATTAGGTTAGTGTCAACAGTGTTGCCACATTTTAAATGTTAATTTAAACAGTTATAAGCTTTTAAGCTTCAATTAACTATCAAAAATATTATACTGTAATCCTTAAAAATTTTGAAAGTAATGACTTTTTTATTTAAATTTAAAAATTGAAGGTTTGTTTTTCTGCCACAGCCTGTTGCCCACAGGCATAACAAATAATATAATTAACAAATAACCCCCCTCCACCAACTACTATAATGAAGTACTTTAACATTGTTTTTCCTTTATTTTTTATAGAACAAGCTTTGGTTCTTGTATTTTCATAAAATTAGATGTTTTTTATACAAAACATATTAAGTTTGAAAACTAAGCTGTTTGCTTTACTTATAGAATAAGTTTAATTTAAGAAGTTGGTCAGGGGTGTGGTCAATATATTTCAATACTACATATTATTTTAATATTTTATTGTGTTTGCCAACATTCCATCCTACATTGTAGGTCCTCATCAAGCCATTTCATCTGGCACTGCCAGAAGAAATTAGGAGAGTGATAGTGATTATCATAACATGTGACTCGATCATCAGAATAAGTTTAAGTTAAAAAATATAGAGATGGACATTGACTGTTGAAATTATAATGATGAAAAATAGTCATAATATGCAGCTGATAATCATGTTTATAAAGTTTTCAACGTTTAGACCCAAGCATGTGGATCATCTTTTGGGCAATGGTTTGAAAATGAGACAAGAACTCTGTTATAAAATATAGTTTCACCCAAATTTTGTTGCCCTTAAAAATTGCTCCCCCAGACTTTCATAATAAACTTTATCCTCCTCATTTTTATAATACCACATATTATAGCTGTGTTCTAACTCTGGAGTTACTGATGTTGGGTCTTGAAAAATTAAGGAATTACTAAGCCCTTTGATTATCATCTAAGTTCACTATATGAACAATGACAAACTATATGAACAAATAGAATAATTGTCATATTTAATTTTTTATGATTGTTTAAATATTTAACTTCATTGCATCTACAAAACAAATAAGGGTTGAAATTATTTTATCCCTTTCTAATTTGGCATAGTAAATTGAAAATAAAATTTTTTATTAGTTGTGAGTCCAAAACAGAGATTGAAATGTTTTAACCTGGAATATCTGAATGCTTCAAATAGATCTAATTATGACATAAACCAAAATATATTTTAATGAAGATCATGAAACTTGGTAGTTCAAATATAGAACAAGATTTTAGGTATCATAAACTCTAAATAATTCTATAAATATACTATTTAATAATTATAAAACCAACTGTATCATTTAATCAATTTAAAATGTCTTACTAGAGTTGCACGAACTCACTTGGAAATCTATTTTTTCTTTTTTAAATTAAAGTTTATTCAGTATTAAAATGTTAATTTTTAGATGCTTATTATATCTCATTAATAAAATCACTTTAAGGAATTTGAATATTTAAAATTTAAAAAATCAGTTATAAAAAATAAACAGATAATGCCAAGAAAAATATAAAGATTGTTTGTTTACAATTGAATTATCTATTGTTACTTTTAGTATTAGTTCATGGTAATGTTGATGCATGATTCATCTGTTCCTTTGGTGTCAGTTTGATTTTTAAATATTGTCATGGATTCAATTAAATTGGTATTGTTTAAAAAATATCAATTACATTGTTTACTAAGATTCCTAAATCATAATAAACCTCAATACTTTTTTATTCTAGAAATATGAATGCGATTCTACGGAAAGAAAAATATACCCATTGGATTTCTTACCTTCTCTAGAAGACTACCCTGGATATTATGATTTCAGTGTTGATATTAACCAATCACAACAGGGTAAATCATCATGTTTTGTGAGTTTTTAAAAATTCAATTTAGTTAAATTAGGAATTTTGAAAGACAAATCATGAATAAAAATGTGATATTTCAGTTTTCTAAAGTCCTCAAACAAGTTTTTATCGATATGAATAAAATGTTACTTATAAATTTCCAACTAAGTGGAGATGTGACTGGTTTATTCATCAGAGCACTCCCTGTTTATGCTTCCCCTGATTTTTCTGGGATACCAGTAACAAGATGTACAGTACATTCAGTAGAGAGTGATCCAAAAGGAAAAGGTAAGTAGCTTTTTAAAACAAAAGAAAATTTACTTTTTGATTTTTTAAAATTGATAAATATGTTTTCAGCTCATTCAAGTGGATTCTGTAATTGTTCAAAGTATGAGAATGTTGGTCATGTCATTCGATCTCAGTCAAGTGACGCACAGTACTATTATGATGACTTGAGTAGAAGACACAGTGTATTAGTGCCACTCAGGAAGTTACAAGTCGGAAGTCATTCATTCCCTATAGGATATTATTTTACTTGTAAAACATCATGCCCAGGTGGAATGCAAAGAAGGCCGATTAATATTATATTTACTTTAGAAACAGCTTGGTAAGTTAAATAGTTTGTTTTGTTTACAATTAACAATTTTTATAATGTTGCAAAGTTTTATTTAAAGTTGCTATTATTATTATTATTGATAAGCTGTTGGATGAAGGCAAGAAAGCTTCTTATATATTTGTAGGGCAATTGCTTTATCATAAAACTAAGTTTTTTATATTTTAATTTTATACTTTTTTATGTGTTAACTATAACTTAGCTTGCTTGTAATAATCAGTATTTCTAACAAGCAGAACCTCATAATTCACGAGGAATTATTTTTAGCTCATTTAAAATTAATATTATTATAAATTTTGATAGTTTGTAAGTAGTTTAGTAACGTTTATGTTTTAAGTGGTGATGTAATCGGAAGGAGAGTTTTGGGTGTAAGGATATGCAGCTGTCCCAAACGTGATATGGAAAGATTAGAGAAGGACTATCCAAAAGGAAAGAAAAGGAATTATGAACAACCTTCAAAAAAGATAAAATATTCTCCTTCGTGTTCATATTCGACTGATGAAAGTGTAAGTTAAATTTTTTTCCTGTTTACTAAGAACGTACCTCAACAATAAAAAATAAATAATTAAAATGAGATTCTTAGATTTTAATTTAATATATAAACATTGATATTTAAAAATAATATACAATTAAAAAAAATATTAAATTTTGCTATGAAATTTATATTTGGTAAAAATGTTTATACAGAAATCATTTTTATAATAAAAACGAAATTATTTAATTTTTAAAATTTTAAATCAAAGATTTTTAAATTTTGCTTGAATCAAACAGCTATTTCACTCCCCTGTACTTAAAACTTTTTTTTCTTTTTCAGGACACCTGTTTCACAAAATTAAGTGAAGAAATGAATGACTTAAGTAAAATATTACTTGAATTTAATGAGAAAGTTATAAGTTTATCTCAAATTGTCAATTTGTTATAATAAACAACAAAACAATATTTGAAAATATTTTTTAAAGATTAAATTTTTTTAAATTTATTGTTAATTTTTATTACTTATACACTAATTTTATATTCTTATATAATTATGTACTGGCTGAGATTTTTATTTTTTAACAAGTTATTAGTTTCTTTTTATTGTTATTTTTATATATTAGGAGTTTGAAAAGACAATTTATTTTTAAAATTTTAAAAGTAGTTTTAAGCTTATTTCATATTTACATTAATTACTCATTTTATGTGGTTTGGACCAATAAAGATTTTTTATTTTGTTTTTTAATTTTATCCTTTACTATTATTTTATATCATAGAACTCCTTTCTGATATCAAAATCATATTTTCTTTAATATTTGTTTTCTATTATTATTCATTCATATTATCAGGCATTGTATTTTTTAATTTAACTTATTTTGTTAGGTAAAGCAAGATATAGTTATTTTTGAACATTTTTTTTATTACCTACTGAAATCTTGACATTTAACAAATTAAACAGGGACTACAGTAGATATAGGATGACTATGGTCCATTATTGCCTGCAGAGTCACTTATACAAGATTGGCATAGCAGACTTCTTGATACGTCTCACGTGCTCCCAGGAAGTTGGGACAGAAGGTCGTCTTATTTGCTGTGCAAAGAACACCATTAAAGGAAACTGGTATACCAGTTCAGCTATAGCTTTATTGGATAGCCCAACATTTAACAACTGAAGAACCAAGGAAATACGTAATCAGGAGAAAAATTGATTTGATAAATGATAATGAATAAAGTGGTATCCTGTTTTATTTATGCAATTAATTAATTTAAAAGTAACAGAAAAAATAAATTTTTATTATTACTGCTATTATACATATATTTTCTTATTCTTGAGCAAGGAAACCAAGATGTTTCCATCCAATAAGTTTCAGGAATTTCAATTATTCGATTAGCAATAGCAATAGTACCTCAAGAGTCTATGCTTATACCTATTATAAATATGCAAGGCATACCATACAGTCCTAGCATAGCAATGACAACTACACTTCCATACCTTCGTAACTACATTCTACAATACTTAAGTGCACTAAAGGATACTTTCCCAATAAACGGAAAATTGCCAACTTCTTCAAGGGAGGTGACTGGGATAAGTAATTCTTAATATAGGCCGATATGATAGATTGGCTGGGCTGTCAGAAAATCTCTGTGTGAAGATTGCGGTAGACCCCAACAAGTGGAAGAAGAAAATCTGAGAAGATACAACCGAGGAATGGACTCAACAACCGTTAAGGGAATGTCCTAAGAAAATATTTTCCAACATTTCAATCTGGGCTACATGCGAAATGGGGATACGATTGTACAAGTGTTACTCCACTTTGATGAGTAAGTCAAGTTTCTATGATGCCAGTATAAATAGGATTCCGATAATAGCTGAAAATTGACAATTTGTTCACAGTATAATCTTCCTTTATTTAAACCATGGATTAGGACTTTAGTAAACTCTCTTATACTCCTTTTCAATTTTGATTGGAAGTAGAATTCATTTTAAAAGTGGTGTCCCCATTGTCCAGTAATATTTCCACAGATAGCTTACTATTCAGATAAAGTATCCCAAAACTCACTCAGGGGTGTAAATAGGGGGATGGTAAGTTGGCAAATGCTATGAGACTTTGCCAGATAATCCTTATCATGTTCATTAATCTCCATCTGATGAAAAGCATACCTCATGTCAATAACCGATAATTAACTTCATGCTGCATACTTTGAAACAAAATCGTTAAATGTTATTAATAGGTAATGCTCCTATAAAACGACCGAGGTCATGGTAACTTTGAAATCGCCCTAGATCCTGTAGCTTCATTGCCTTTTTCAATACTGACTGTCGGCATAGCCCATGACCTACCTTTATCATTGTTCAGATGGAGAGGTATTTCTAAGTTCTATATATTCTGGATCTGTACAATACAGATAAAACTGCACACCAGAGAATTAGATGAAATTAAGAAAGCACCCTATATATATATATATAATAAAGCCATGACGATAGATTGCATTGTAGTATTTGGAAGGTGTAAACATCAGTTCATGGATTTTAGGCATGTGACCCCACGAATCTAGAAAGATAAATGCATCCAAATTCGGACCAAATATTTGGTACTATGTTGATGGATGTTGAAGGACTACTGGAAGACTCCATGGCTGATGACTCAAGATCTCTTATTCATGTGAAAATTCGGAAACTAACAGAACTGGGCAGTATTGCATGAGATATATGCAAAACCAATGGCTAAACTAAGAGTTCAACTCCTCACATATAAAAAATTCGCTAGCCTAGGAATTCAAAGATTGTAAGTTCGAATTAAGATTTCACAAACAACACTAACAAATATGAAAGACAAAATTTAAATAAATCTACTCTATCCTTTCAACCTAATGGAGAAAATTCATTCAGATCGGGTGCAGAAGTAAACGTACCCCTTGTTTCGATCGGAGATCTCGATGCTGTTTTCATGACATCAGTGATCACTCGGAGGTTTGGTCCGTGGCAGGCCTGTTTCAAGGAATGAAATATAGGTCCTCGAGCCCTCGCTGATCATTAGCAACCATAATTCACGAATCCAGAACTATTTGTCACTGTTCTTGAACCCGATTTAGTAAATGGTAAGGGACAGCCAAATTAGCATCAAAGGAACGATTATTTATTTATCAAAATTCTACCGTACCTTTTTAGGCAATATGGGTGTTTGCAGCAACGAAATGTTATGCATGCATATATACCATCTCACTACTGCAAGTAGAGCTTAAATTCCGTTGCTGTTCTTGATTCCTCAGTCTTTCTCATTTCCAGAGATCATCTATCAGATCCTCTTCTTCTTGTTAGATTAGAGTGGGCCGGGCCCACCGCGTCTTTTAATCCATACACAAAATCTTTGTAGTACAGGTAGTTTCTGCAGTGATTAACTTAGGGAAATCGTTATTTATGTTAATGTAAAGATCGGTTTTTCTCAGTAATTTAACCCTTAATTTTTCAAAGGCGGCGCAGCCGACTATATTAGATTCTGCAGTCACCGGAACAAGCTAGGGCGTAGTAGCCCTATAATCAAATTTAGGATTTGATATCAAGAAAATTCATAATTGGCTGTAAATGTGGGAATTAGCTCCTTATCGAATATAGAACAAACCATGAAAAGTTCCCTAAAATCCCATGTCCGCCTGCATCCAAAATGGGAGGTCAAATATGTCCTCCTAGCATTTTCTGTCTTATTTTTCCTCATATCTCCTTTATAAAACATCGTTCTTGAATTCCAAAAGTACTAGTAATTTTGGTATCAGCAATCGCCGGTCGACTCTTCCATTGTATCTCTCTCGAATAATGTTTTTCATTTACTGGGGTCCTCATCAATTTTCACCTTAAGGTTTCACTTTTCTCGAATGTTTCATTATGTTTTCTCGCAGGCGGAGGTCGAGAGGTACCTGAGCTTAGATTTGCACCGCCTCATGGGACACCCCCTGGTGACTCGTAGCAAAGCCGTTCGCTGGATTTTCTCCAAAAGACTGTTCTGTCGGTTCTGGTTCCACACGTAGGAACCTCAGATTACCGTTCAACGATTGGGCAACTCTGTTTCGAATATAATCCAAGTGAGGGGTAACGCCGAATTCTTTTCCGAATCTGACTCCAAGATAAGTGACCACTTCATTTGGACGTATCCTTAATTAGTGAATCGTAATGTTAATTGGTTGGGTTCGATCATATTTTCCTTTTAAGATTGGGTGACATGAAGGTGGGTGATTTAAGTCAATATAACTCAATCATATTTTGTGGTACATCTTACTTACGGTACATCTTCCAGGTCTTTTGTGTCAACCAAAGAAAATATGTATATATGAGATATTACTGGCGCAATAATGAGTTGCTGCGCCTAAAAACATAAGACTGCATTCCATTTTTTGGATAAGTTTACCGATGTACAAACATTTTCATAACGGTATCTGGTATTTAAAAAAAACTTTACAAACCATAGAGCTAAAATTTGTTTTTCTTGTTGCAATCATTACTACAAATCTAATTTGAAAAAAAACAATAAAACTCTGTATAGAAATCGCTCATTTCAATGTATTTCACGTTAAAATATAATTTATAATTTTTCCTTTAGCTGAGGAAAATCAAATATTCAATTTATAAAGTTGAAGATTGATATACAAAAATTATGTTTTACTTATTCTATGTTTTTCTCTCTTTATTTCCACGGATTATTCGATAATTAAAGTTTTCCTCTCCCTTGATCGTCTCTAATGTTTATTTAAGAAATAACATTAATCCTAGTGATATTTGTTTAATCGTGGCTTGAGAGCTGTTACTTGTCAGTTTACCGGTGCTTACGTCGATGTTTTTGTAAATGTAGGGTCCAGTTTGATCAGTTATTTATTCTTTTTTCCCATTCCCTCCCTTAGTTAAATTTTGAAATGAAGAAGAATTCTTCGTCATTCTCAGGATGGAAAAGTTTAATAGTTTTTACTGTTCTTCTTCTAGCCTGGGTTTGTGGATTTGCTTCAAGATTATTTGCTGTTATCAGATTTGAGAGTATAATTCATGAATTCGACCCATGGTATTTATTTTAATGTCAATTTGCTCCTATTAATGAAGATATTTTGTTTTGATTTTGTCAAATAATATTGAGTTATACAATCAAACAGGTTTAACTACAGAGCTACAGCTTATATGGTAGAACATGGATTCTACAACTTTCTTAATTGGTTTGATGAAAGAGCCTGGTATCCACTGGGTAGAATTGTGGGTGGTACAGTTTACCCCGGATTGATGATAACTTCTGGCGGCATACATTATGTACTACATTTGCTAAATATCCCGGTCCACATTCGGGATATTTGTGTTTTCCTTGCACCAATTTTTAGGTATGTATTTCAATGATTTGATATAATCAGTTTAGTGTTGTTTATTGTCCATGTTTTACTTAGTTTTGCTAGTTCACTAAATTTAAACAGTTGTATATCATAATGATGCTATGTTGTAATTATGTTTATGTTTCAACATTATGAGACATTATTTTGATATCAGTTTTGTTTAAAATTTGTTACTGTAGATCATTATTAACTGTTTCTTCAGAGCGTTTATTTTTGACTGATAAAGCATATTGATATGTTTATGTTTTTGTTGTGATTATCTAGTTTTATTTTTGTAGCTTATTTACAAACATAAATTCTAATTTATTATTCCAATTATATATTATTTAATGTCAATTGAATTGTTTTAGTGGACTAATCATATATTATTTATTGTCAATTGGATTATTTTAGTGGACTAACTGCAATATCTACGTATTTGCTAACAAAAGAATTGTGGAGTGTTGGAGCTGGTCTTTTCGCTGCATGCTTTATTGCAATTGTTCCTGGTTACATCAGTAGATCAGTTGCTGGTAGTTATGATAATGAAGGAATCGCTATATTTGCCCTTCAAATTACTTACTATTTATGGGTATGGTATTGCCTACTTTAGTTTAGCTTGTGAATGATGTGGTCAGTATAAATTTTAATTATGGATATTTTTATTTTTAGGTCAAATCTGTTAAAACTGGTTCAGTCTTCTGGGCATCTATGGCTGCTCTATCATATTTTTACATGGTATTGTGCTATTTTATAATTTCTTTTTATTGTCTTTTAATTTTTTTTTTCTTCAGAATTAATGATTGTGATAATTTTCTGTTTAGGTATCAGCTTGGGGTGGATATGTCTTTATTATAAATTTAATACCCCTCCATGTCTTTACTCTGCTATTAATGGGACGATATTCAAGTCGATTGTTCACAAGTTATACAGTTTTCTGTATTCTTGGCTTATTATTCAGTATGCAGATTCCTTTTGTTGGTTTTCAACCAATAAGGACGAGCGAACACATGGCAGCTTTAGGTAAGATATTCTGTTATGTTTTCTGAATTTGATAATTTTATATAATTAGTTTATTTTATCATATCATTAATGTTTAATTTTTTAATACTGTTGCTAAAATAACAATATTTTGATGAATAATACTGTATATTTATTTTTCATTGGTATAGCTATTGTTTGAAAATTCTTATTTTATTACTAATAAGTATCCTACTTTTATAATTGGTAAATGGTTGACTGTCATGAATAATGAAGAGAAGAATAGTTGGGGTGCTCAGTCAAATAAGAAGGCAAAAGTAAATGATACTATTTATTTTGACATTAGCCGACGTTTCAACCTGAAGTTCAGGCCATCATCAGGGCTGATTGCGGGGATGTAAATCTAGGCAATGCTTTTATTATATATTTTACTTTTAAATTTTGAAAAGCTTCTTTTGTTGAGAAATTAAAGAATAGTTATTTAATGAATTATCATATATGCCAAAATATAAGTCAAATTTTTTTTTTCTAAAATTATTTTCTTTAAAATGGTTGATTGATTTAAATTTGGAACCGATTTATATATATTTGAGTTTTATCAAGAAAGTTTTATTTTTATGGTACTTGTGAACAGTCTGGTCGCCAGTAAACCTCCCTTCTTATCTTATCTTATGTCACCTTATCTTATCTTATGTCACCTTCTTATCTAATGTCACATCACATACCTGCCTTTTTATCTCTTGTAAGCTGTTGCATGTGGGTTATTGCATAAGTTATTTTGGTACTTGTCAGATAGGAGGCCTGGACGAAACCTCCCTTGTTATCTAGTGTTACATCACATAACCTCCCTTCTTATCTCATGAAAGCTTTGAGTTATTCCATTGTTTATTTTTGTTCCATTTACATTTTAGTTATTTTTGTCAAATTATGGATGTTATTACATTCTGGGAATTACCCTCTTCAGAATAAGAGGCTATTGAATATTTTCAAAATGCTGGGATAATTCCAAAATTGATATTGTGTGAAGAAGATCATCAAATGAAGTTCGACGGGAAGACAAAATGGAGATGCTTTCGTACCACTTGTAACTAAAAAGTTTCTATAAGAAAAGGAACGTGGTTGGAGGGGTCAAGGATTTGGTTTTTAATGGTTTTCACAATATATTTATGGGTGGTCCCATAGTTTAACCACGATAAAGTGGAGCAAAGAGCAGCTGAAATTATCCAACCTTTATTATTACATTTAACCTTACATATTATTAAATTAACCTTTATTATTACATTTATTTTTGTCTATTTCAATGTCAAACCAAACTGTTTTGTTATTATTATATATGTTGTAAAATAAAAGTATTTTTTTATTATTACATTTGTTTTTGTTTACAATTTCATTAAGATGAATATAATACAATAAATATGAATACGAAGACAGGAATTATGAGAAGCCTTATCAGAATTATCAGTATTCAGGTTATAAACATTGGCAGATAGCAGTCCTGTCCGGCTAACCGACAAGTACCGTTATTTTTTTCAATTGTTTGTGGTTGAATTGGATCTTATTACATTATGGGGATTGCCGTCTTCTGAAGAAGAGGCTATCAATTATTTTCAAGACGCCTGGATAATTGCAAAGGTGAAATATTGTGATGAAGGTTGTGAAATGAAGTTTGACGAGAAGACGAAATGGAGATGTTTTTATAGGACTTGTAACAAAAACGTATGTGTAAGGAAAGGAACGTGGTTAGAGGGGTCGAAGATTACCTTTTCAACTGCTTTAAAATTAATTTATGGGTGGTCTCATAATTTCACAACAATATAGTGGGGCAAAGAGCAGCTCAAACTATCGAACAGATGTGTCATAATGTGGAACAAATTTTGAAGAGGAGTTTGTGCCCACAACATGTTATACAGGTCAATTAAGAAAATTGGAAGACGTGGGAAAGTCGTTGAAGTAGACGAGAGTCTTTTTTCTAAAAGAAAAAATAATGTAGGGAGAGTTCTCCTTGAACAATGGATGTTTGGCAGAGTTTGTCGAGAAATAGACGAGTGTTTCATCGTAAAAATAAAGGACAGGAAGGCCAGAAGTTTATTAGAATGTATTAAAATAATATAGAAGAGGGAAGCACCCTTTATTCTGACTGTTGGAAAGGATACAATACCCAACAACTGAATGAAGCAAACTATCATCATTTGCAGGTGAATCACCGGTATAACTTTGTTGATCCATTGACTGGGGTCCATACTCAACATTAGGGATGGGTCGGATTGTATGTATCAGATACTTTTATCTGATACTAAAAAAGTATCTGATACAACCAGTAGATACAACCAAAAAGTATCTGATACAAAAGTATCTGATGCTCACATGGATACAAAATGGTTGTCCAGACATGCCACATTGATATAAGAGAAATGTTTAGTTATAATTTTAGTTGTGCCCAATTTTTTTAGAACTATCTATTCATTTAGTTTAATTTATTTAAATATTTATTTGTAGATAAATATATTCACGCTTATTTTTTTTTTTTTATGTAATGTTAATTTCAGATATTTTTATCTGATACTGCTATCGGATATTTTTATCTGATACTAGTATCAGATACTTTTATCTGATATTTGTATCAGATATTTTTATCTGATATTTGTATCGGATATTTTTATCTGATATTTGTATCAGATATTTTTATCTGATACCTGCATCGGATACTTTTATCTGATATCTGGACTAGATACCTAGCGGTATACATACTGGCGCTTGGGCTTATTAGTTAATATATAATAGTTCTAATGACTGTATAGTTATGTCAGGTACTAAGAAAATATTTACACAATTTTTTAAACAAAATATGCTTCATATTTGACAAAAGAATGGAATATATTAAATAAAAATATAACAAATTCATGCAGAGGAAATATTTTCCTAATACAACGTTCTTAAGAATTTTGTAACAATTAAAAAAATTCTTTATAGTTAAGTTTAACATACACACACACATATATATTTATATATATATATATATATATTTCTGTTTGTATTACAGACCATGTAGATCTTTTGCCACCTTAACAAGTATGCTCAATGTCTACCTCTCTTGGGCTATTTCTTTCCATTATCTGATATTTGTATCCGATATTTTTATCTGATACTCGCATCGGATACTTTTATCTGATATCTGGACTAGATACCCAGCGGTATGCATACTGGCACTTGGGCTTGATATCCCAATAATTGTATCAGATATTTTAATCCAACTGTAATTGATTATTGATCGGGTTTGATATTTTAATACCTATTTGATACCTAATAAAACATATATTAAATATGTACCTATATATATTTTATTCCTTTATTATTAAATTTGTCCCTGTAATAAATATTTTACACCATTTTTAAATATAATAGTTCTAATGACTTTATAGTTATGTCAGGTACTATGAAGATATTCACTATACGATAGCTAAGTTTAACATATTCACACACACATATATTTCTTTTATTTTCACCGATCAATCTACATCTTGGGATTTAGATTATATAGGACTTGTATAATGCTTACAATACTATTATTGTATTCTTTGAACATATTAAATTACATATGTAAGTCATTTAAAGTAAATATTTATCCACTCTTTTAATATTATTTTTTTCATTAATACAATGTTATGACAACAAAAGTAATTTGTCGTTCATTTCAAATTTCAGTTAAAATTCCATAGTTTATTGTTTTTAGTATCTATCTTGCTGTATTGGGACCTTATTGCTCATATTATGTCTTTAATATATCAGTATAGTTATGTAAATCCTTCTGTTATTACTTATTTTTAAGTTTTTTTGTGTTTTTTTTTATTGTAATATGCATTTTGGCAAGTTCTTATGTTAATTTTTAAGTACAATATTTTTATTCTCAAGGGACTTTGTCCCAGAATAAAGTTGATTCTTCTATTCTATTCTATATATATATTTATTTTTTTCTGTTTGCATTACAGACCATGTAGATCTTTTGCCACCTTAACAAGTATGCTCAATCTCTACCTGTCTTGGGCTATTTTTATTATATATAGTATGCAAAAGACCACGTCGGAGGCCAAAAAGCAAATGGATAGATAGAATCAACAAAGATACAATAGAGCTGCGTGCAGATAAATGACAAAAAATAGCCCAAGACAGGCAGAGATTGAGCATACTTGTTAAGGTGGCAATAGATCTACATGGTCTGTAATGCAAACAGAAAAAATAAATATATATATAGAATAGAATAGAATAGAATAATCACCTTTATTCTGGGACAAAGTCCCTTGAGAATAACAATATTGTACATAAAGATTAACATAACAACTTGCCAAAATGCATATTACAATAAAAAAAAAAAACAAAAAAAAAAACTAAAAAATAAGTAATAACAGAAGGATTTACATAACTATACTGATATATTAAAGACATAATATGAGCAATAAGGTCCCAATACAGCAAGATAGTTACTAAAAACAATAAACTATGGAATTTTAACTGAAATTTGAAATGAACGACAAATTACTTTTGTTATCATACCATTGTATTAATGAAAAAAAAATAATAAAAGAGTGGATTAATATTTACTTTAAATGATTTACATAAGTAATTTAATATGTTCAAAGAATACAATAATAGTATTGTAAACATTATACAAGTCCTATATAATCTAAATCCCAAGATGTAGATTGATCAGTGAAAATAAAAAATATATATGTGTGTGTGAGTATGTTAAACGTAGCTATTAAGAATTTTTACAAAATTGTTAAGAACGTTGTATTAGGAAAATTTTTTCTCTGCATGAATTTGTAATATTTTATTTAATATATTCCATTCTTTTGTCTAATATGAATCACATTTTGTTTAAGAAACTGTGTGAATATCTTCATAGTACCTGACATAACTATAAAGTCATTAGAATTATTATATATTAACTAATAAGTCCAAGACTAGACTAGATACCAAGCGCCAGTATGCATACCGCTGGGTATCTAGTCCAGGTATCAGATAAAAATATCTGATAAAAGTATCCG